ATTTCTTCGCTCCACAAAGGTCTTTTAGTGATTTTTCTCATGATTAAATCTATATTACTATATTACTATCTATATTATAGGTGTACAAAATACACTAAAATTCCCATTGTGTGTACCGGTACCTAAAATAGCTATCAACAGCTATCAAAAGTGAGTAACCAACTCATATGTGGTTGTATAACAAAACCTCTAAAACTAAAAAAGAAGGCGGAAAAAAAGATGTTTATCTCATAAAACTTAACCGAGTTTCTCGGTGGGCGAAACTCCAGAAAAACAAATTGACCAAATTGAAAAATACCCTGACCCCCCCCCCCCAAACACATAAACAACATTTTCATCCGTCGTATATTTCCGTTTACAAGTAAGAGTGCAACATATTCTATGAAATGAAATTTCTGCGCCCCTTTCAGCCGAGAAGTGCGGTCAGCGGCTTTTAACACCGATATAAAGAGCTAAACTTGTCCGGGCCACCTTGATTCCCCGGGCGGTGAGCGGCTTTCAACACCGATATAGGAAGCTAAACTTGTCCCGGGCCACCTTGATTCCCCGGGCGGTGAGCTATTTCTTATTGGCTATTTCACACGTGTGTTTGTCGTGACGGGGGAGACTGGCAATAATCTGATCCTCTTGTGAAACTGACGGGTCGCACGGACTGTGGGTTGAGCCACATACACGTGTGGGTGAGTCACATACAAGAGCTTGGGCGAGTCGCATACAAGTGTGGGTGAGTCGCATACAAGTGTTGGTCATTCAATACAAGTGTGGGCGAGTCACATATACAAGTGTGGGTGAGTCGCATACAAGTGTTGGTGATTCAATACAAGTGTGGGCGAGTCACATATACAAGTGTGGGTGAGTCGCATACAAGTGCTGGTGATTCAATACAAGTGTGGGCGAGTCACATATACAAGTGTGGGTGAGTCGCATACAAGTGTTGGTGATTCACTACAAGTGTGGGCGAGTCACATATACAAGTGTGGGTGAGTCACTAATACAAGTGTGGGCGAGGCACTTATACAAGTGTTGGCGAGTCACATATACAAGTGTTGGTGAGTCAATACAAGTGTGGGCGAGTCATATATACAAGTGTGGGCGAGTCACATATACAAGTCCTGGTGAGTCACATATACAAGTGTTGGTGAGTCAATATAAGTGTGGGTGAGTCACATATACAAGTGTGGGCGAGTCACATATACAAGTGTGGGTGAGTCACATATACAAGTGTGGGTGAGCACATACAAGTGTCAGCAGCGAGTCACATATACAAGTGTGGATGAGTCAAATACAAGTGGCAAAATAGTTAGGTTGTTCCTTGGTAGTAATGCTGGCTTCCGTCCGTCACAATCTGACGATGGTGTTAACATCGCCTGGGATTATTCTTTTTAGGTTTATAAGCCGGTACCCTACACAGCAAATCGCCCCTCACCCCTCAACTGGATAACACAATGGATCATCATTTGTGGATGATACATCTTGGCACCAGTGGCGTCGCAGGAGTTGCCGGAATGTTTGACTGTATCAATGTAATCCGCCTACGGGACTCCATCTCTGAGTTTGAATTCAGAGTTTTAATTCTCTTAGATGAGCTGACATCCAAGATTAACGAATTACATTCACCCGGAGTGCTGGTGATGTTTTTGCTTGACTGGTGGGGATTGAACTCTAGACCACGAACTAGAGGTTAAAAGTTAAATAAAAAGTACTTTTGTTGCATTTTTTTAAAATGTTTAAGTTTTCTTCGCACTTGTCTGAGATGGATGGATAGTGGTATGTCTTAGTATTATTCTATTTCCAGAGGCGTAGATAAGAGTGTTTGGAACCCATGGACGATATTCATTTTTACGCCCCCGGGGGGGGGGGGGGGGGGCCAACTTTAAAACGGATTATATTTATAAATAAAATATAATAAACCAGCAAAGGTAACGCCAAACGGCTTTTAAAGAGGGTTAAAAAGTATTATTCTATTTCCAGAGGCGTAGATAAGAGTGTTTGGAACCCATGGACGATATTCATTTTTACGCCCCCGGGGGGGGGGGGTGGGGGGTCAACTCTAAAACGGATTATATTTATCAATAAAATACTATACACCAGCCAATGTAACGCCAAACGGCTTTTAAAGAGGGTTAAAACGGTCATATCACACGTGATATATGACACTAGACAAGCTTTGAAGCAAATTCAAAAACATTATTATTTATTATTATATTCCTGGCCGTTATGACAGTTATATTCCAAAACTCATTTAGGCTCCCCTAGTTTAGCACCCGGATATATCTGCACCCCTCCCTCATTTTTTCTAGTTTCTTTGATATATAATCTAGGTTGTACAATGATATTATTATGTAAAACATCAATTACAGAACTAAAATACGAATGAGATAAGATGTAAATTATATATCAGCTTTTCACAAATACCTGGTCGCGAAGTGCTTTTTAAAAAGTTTTTTCCCTCTTGAAACCCAAATATAACAGTAACAGAAAATAGTTTTGAATCGGGATTAGCGAGGTGAATATTTTATGACTTATTGTTCGCAGCAAATATGAATAAACAATGGTACGTCTGTTAGATTTCCACAGATCACTGGAATCACTTTTTGTTCTCTGATTAAGTGTTGAATGCTGAAATTCTACAAGTAAATTTGAGTATGCGCCAAAATGCATCCCTGCAATTATGAAGTTATAAAATACCAGACCCATCCCTTCACGTTTGCTTGGGAGCCTTTGGTGACCTTGATTTCTGCTCCATCTTAACGTAACGTACACCACTCCCCCAGCAATGTGACAGTACAAAAAAACAACAACAACAAAATAACAAACGAAATAAAACACCAGAATCACACTAATTCTGATTTATAAATTATTTGAAATATTTAACAATTGGACATTCAATTATGTTATTTTACGAGTTATGGTATATGCCAGAACAAGCTTTAAATTTTTTTAGTGGGTTACAGTTACAAAGGAGTATTTTTATTAGAAATACACGGGCCACGAACAATTAGACTAGTATTGGGACACTGTTCTAGTTCTATATCAATGAACGTTTAATAATGTATTATTGAAACATAAATACACAATAGTCTGCCAAAGATATCAGCAAATGAAGATCTGTTTTTGCACTTGCACTCCCCTGGCACTCTGGTTTGGGGTGTATTTTGCGACTTTTATCACATAGGCTATAAATATAATTGATTGCTTTTTAAATTATTAATAAAACACACAAAAATGTTAGCTTTGTATTTTTAATATTAAATAAGTTTTTACTTTTTTAAATTCCAAATATATACTTTTATTAAATTTATAACGTAATAAAAACTTAAACTTTAATATACTTCTAATAAGAAAATGCCGTTGTAGTCAATCAGTGCAGCGAAACTACATAACCAAATAGCATTCACAAAATTTTATTATTTTTATTTAAATCTGGATGGGAGGGGGTCGGTCATTTTACCCCAGGCAGCACAAGATACGTCTCAAAATAAAGGAATGAATTTGATAAATAATTAACCTTCATGGGTACATACATCTCGGAGCTAGGAAAAAGGATGTGTGCATTTTTACGTGCATGACAATATATTTAAATCCTATGGTATTACATATGTGAAAAAAAGAGATGTTACATTCTCTTTTTACAAATATGGGTATGTTATTTTTGCCCAAGGCAGCACAAGATACATCTTAAAATAAAGGAAAGAATTTGATAATTAATTAACCTTCTTGGGTACATAATGTCGGAGGTAGGAAATAGGATGTGTACATTTTTTATGTGGATGACAATATATTTAAATCCTATGGTATTACATTTGTGAAAAAAGAGATGCTACATTCTCTTTTTATAAATAAAGATATGTTAACTGATGAAGAAAATCAATGGCGTTAATAAACGTGGGTACATTTATATAAGTATAGGCCTACACATGAATATCAAAACCCAATCTTTTTACTTTACACACTTGAAAATTTAATTTTGAAAAATGGAGATAGGTTAATATTTTCTTTTTAAAGATGAAAAAATATATTTTTGTTTTTACTTTGCGAAAAGTAAAGTGGGTGTGTATTTTTATGAGATTAACAATTTTAAAAAAAAGACACTCAAGCCTGTTATGAAAAGTTATAGGCGTGAAAAATGGTTGCGAGATTCTTCTTTAGATAAAAATAAAAGAATTCTTTGTTTTACGATTTTCTGATAATGTATAATTTAAAAAACAAGGTAAATGTGTGTTCACATTTTTTATGAAGATATCATTATATCAAATGCCTTTAATAATATAAATAGACTATACTATATTTATATAATATATAAAGCTTTTGTTACAAATTTAAGATTATGTTTCATAAACAATTTTAAGAGAAAAAAGTTGTATTTCAAGGGCACGAAAAGGGGGTAAATCTTAAGTATTTCTCTAGCATAGAAATCGTCCCTCAATTAACTTCTGTAGTGAAAAAAAGTGATATAATTAGTGATAATTTAGATTGGGTGATTTAAGGTCATAATGAGGAGGGAAAAGTAGTTTAGGGGCATGAAAGGGAGTAGGGTAGTCGTATAATATAATATTAATAATATATAGCAGATAAATACTTCTCAAAGCTTAATGATGTTAGAAACTTAAATATCTTTACATTACATAGATACTCTTTTTAAAGTTATGAATTGTGATGAGTTTTTGCAATAGCGGGTAGAAATTATTGAAAGGACCTACCATTATTATCCCGATAATATCGGGTCATTTATTCTAGTATACCGGTAGTATAATATATTTTATTTAGCTCAAAGCCATACACACAAATATATTTAGTTTGTCAATCAGAAAAAAAAAATTATGTTTAAGCTACCTAGTGATGTTCTTTTAAGTCCTCTTTAAAATTATAATTTTTTTTTTTCAGAAATGAACCATTTTGGTAGAAAAGTCCAGAATGCTTAGGTCTATCCTATGTGGGGGAAAAGTCAGCATCTCGGTCTTTTGGCTAAATAAAAAGTGATAACTTTTGTTAACACTAGAAACACTTCCGGGTCCACGTCTGTTTACAATATTACACAATTGCATATTACAAAATTTTAAAAAATTAACTACCTCTAGCAGTAGCACCTATCGTTCGTATTAGCAAAAATAAGATGTTGACCCTGGTTGTCATTTTAGTTCGATAATAGTCTTTGTTCGATGGTATTTTATCAATTGGGTAAATATTTTACTTGGACTTATTAGTAGTAACTTAGTTGACTTCACATGACTTAGCTACCTTTTTACTAACCTAACTTACTTACTATACTATTACTAGTTTAGTAAGTTTAGTTACTCTAAGTTACTACTCATAAAATTTAGTCTGTGTGTTCACTATACTATGCCTGACATTAATGACAATATAAGCTGTCACGTCACCACGACTGTGTGTGTCGTGTTTTTTAAGGGAACTTACTAAGCCTAAAATTTACGTTTTGAATACATATTTAATTATTTAATAACATCAATGTCATTTGTCCTAAATTTAAATTAAGCTATTAAATTATTAAATAATGGCTTGTTAGCTCATTATAGATGTCTATTATAACAAATTGATTAGTAAAAAAGCCTCTCTAACTTTGGATTTGAGCTGCCTACTTCAAAATAAATTCACACTTGAATAGTTAATAGGCTATTATTTTATTACACAAAATAAATTGATAATGACAATAGTCTAATATATCACAGATTGTAACAAGTGACTATATTATATTAGCCTAGTTAATATGCCAATTAATACTATTATTCTTTTCTTCTTCTGTCTATTTTTACTGTGGACTTGTCACTGGGAGGTATAGTTGCCGGATGATAGTGTAAGTGATGCCTGCTGGAGGTCATGTAGTTGATTTTTAGTGTGTCCTTAACCCTCTTGGGAGAGCTGGGCCAATGTATGGGGTTAAATGGTGAAAAGGACAAATGGTTGATCCATCAGCCCAATAATTTAAGCCTCGAGATAATGAGATTGTTTCTCCCATTTCTTGCTCATCTAAACATTTTAATGGCATCTTCCATTGATATTTTATGGTATTCTGTCATTAAATCAATTTTTTTTACATAGTGATCCCTAAAAATGTTTTAAATATATGTGACCTTGAAATATGTCAAACGCATAAGCAGCTTTAAGGGAACATTTTATGTAGTCTTTCACTCTACATCTCATTCAAATATTTAAAATTTCGGCTTCCATCCATCCCTGTGGCGCTACAGCCCATGTAGGGCTTTGGCCTGCCTCACCACTTCCTTCGGCTCAGACTTAACTAATGCCTTTCTTTTCCATGCTTGGACTTTCAGCTGCTGTAGATCTTTTCCTACATCATCTATCCACCTAAGCCTAGGTCTGCCTTTGAGACTTTTTCCTCTGGGGTATTGATGATACACCCTCTTCGTTCCGCTGTCATTTGGCATTCTCTCTAGGTGTCCTGCCCAGCGTAGGCTGCCTCTTTTTATTTCTGCCACTATCGTGGGATCCTGATATAGACTGTATAATTCCTGGTTGGTTCGTATTCTCCATCCATATTCATCCTTTGTTGGTCCATATATTTTCCTGAGAACTTTCCTCTCCCATGTGTTAATAGGTTTTCTGCTGTTTTTGTTAGGGTCCATGTTTCACTTGCATATGTTACAACTGGTCTGATCACAGTTTTATAAATAGTTTTCTTTGTTTCTCTTGTAATGTATATACATTTGAGTATTTTCTGACTACTGAAGTATGCCCTGTTTCCGGCTGATATTCTTTCTTTTATTTCTGTTAGTAATTCGTTTCTTTCATTTAACAAGAATCCTAGGTATTTGAATTGATTTACTTTTTCAAAAGTTTGGTTTCTAATTTTAATTGTTTCATCTGTTTGTTCCTCTCTTATCATGGTTATGTATTTTGTTTTTTTGTTGTTAACTTCCAGCACTGCTTATAGAGATGCGTCTTCTAATTCAATAAAGGATTTTTGGTATGTCTTTTATACTTTTCCCTAGAAGTGCTATGTCATCAGCATATGGAAGATACTGAAGTGGTTGGTTGTAGAGTGTGCCCGTTGGTTGTGGGTCTCGAGTTTCCCTCAGAAAGTATCCTGTTATTGTTCCTCGGGTGTCAATGTGTATGTTTCTAATAACTCTCTCTAATGTTAGGTTAAAGAGCATACAAGACCGTAAGTCTCCCTGTCTTAGGCCTCGTCTAATATGAAATTCCCTTGAATATTCTCCTTGACTCTTGATTTTGCTTTTTGAGTTGTTCAGTGTTACATGTATTAGTCTTGTCAGTTTGTTGGGTATCCCAAACTCCTGCAGAGTCTCATATAAATAGTTTCTTTTGATGCTGTCATAGGCCATTTTATAGTCCACTTAGAGTTGATGTACTGGTATATTATATTCATAGCATTTCTCTAATAGGCATCTGATGGTGAAAATCTGATCAGTTGTTGATCTGTTAGGTCTGAATCCACATTGGTAATCACCTAGTATTTCTTCAGTGTAAGGTTGTAGTCTTTTGGCAATAAGCTTCGTCAGTATTTTGTATGTAACATTTAATAGGGAGATTCCTCTGTAGTTTGTGCACTGAAGTTTGGAGCCTTTCTTGTGTATTGGCGTTATTAATGCTGTTTCCCATTCTGTTGGGATTTTCTCTTCTTGCCAAATTTTAGTTATAAGTTTATGTATCTGATTGTGTAGTTCTTTTCCTCCATATTTAATCAGTTCTGCTGTGATACGGTCTTGTCCGGGGGCTTTGTGATTTTTCATGTAATTAATTACCTCTTTGGTTTCTTCTAGGGTTGGCCATTGTATAAAAGGGTCTGGTCCTCCCTGTGGGGGTTGATAATCTTCTTCTTGTCTATTGTCTGCATTCAGTATGTCCTCAAAATATTCAGCCCACCTCTCCAGTACTTTAATATTTTCCGTGATTAATTCTCCATTGTGGCTCTCACACATTTACGGTCCGGCTTGGTATCCATTCTTTTCATCTTTTATCTTCATGTACATTCCTCTTTATTTCCCTCTCTTGATACATCTTCCATTTCCTTTAGTTTATCCTTTTCCCATTCCCTCTTTTTCTTCCTACACATTTTTGTTGCTTTCCTTCTGGCTTCCTTGTATGTTTGTGTTGTCTTTCTGGTTTCCCATTGTAACTTGATCATTCGTGCTTTGTTTCTTTCTTCCACAGTCTCTCTGCATTCATTGTCGAACCAGCCTACTCTATTGTTAGCTTGCTGAAATCCCACTACTTTTTCTGCTGATCTTTTAATGGCATTTTTTTTCCTATCCCACTGATCATTTATGTTGTTTTCCCCATTTACTTCCTCCTGCAATGCTTCTAATTGTGCTTCTACTTCATTCAGGTAAGCTTTTGCAGTTAATGGGTCTTTGGGCAGTTTTTGGTAATCGTATTGTTTGTCTCTTTCATTACGACCATTGTGAACTAAGCGTATCCTCTGCCTATATTTCACCCTTACAAGTAGATGGTCCAAGTCCACATCTGCTCCTCTAAGGCTTCTCACATCTAATATATCTGATCCATTTTCTCCAATCAATTAAAACATGATCGATTTGATTGCGGGTGATTCTATCTGGTGAGTTCCATGTAACTTTATGTATATTTTTGTGCAGAAACTTGGTGCTGCTAACTGACATCCCTTTTCCTACCGCAAAGTCTATGAGTCGGATGCCATTGTCATTGGATTCTTCGTGCAGACTTTCCTTGCCAATAGTTGGCATGAACACCTTTTCTTTTCCTATTTTGGCATTGAAGTCTCCAATCACTATTTTAATATCATGTCGTGGTGCCTCTTCGTAGATCTTTTCCAGTGTCTCATAAAAGGATTCTTTATCCTTCTCTTCTGTGGCTTCCGTTGGAGCATGCACATTTATGAGTGTTATCTTAAACATTTTTCCTCGCACCCGCAAAGAACACAATCTTTCGTTTTCTGTTTTGAAGCCTATGACTGCACTGACCGCTTCTTTTTTCACAGCAAATCCTGTTACTAGTGTGTTGGTGTTGCTACCACTATAAAATATGGTGTATTCTTTTGTTTTGAGGATGTCTGAATTTTTCCATCGAATTTCTTGCAATGCAGCAATAGATATTTTATAATTGTCCAGCTGATTTACAAGGTTGGCTAAGGCCCCTGCTCTAAACAAGCTTAGTATATTCCAAGTCCCAATCCAAAAATCATGTCCATAACCAACCATGCATAGGTCGATTTTTGGTATCAGTCCGGGTTTTGTTCAGTTGCTTGGCTTTCGTAACGTTAATTTTTTTACGTGGCCGGGTTGTTAACCCTGCGCACAACCGTCTGAAGGGTTGCCCCTTACAGCTCTCTGGATAGCTGCCTTAGTTTTTGGGTAAGGTTCCCTTGCCTTTGTGGATCCCTCCACTTCCTACGAGGCAGTAGGTTCTGATTTTGGTCCGCCCCAGGTATTTTATTTCCCTGGTACACTCCATATCTGGTGGGCTTTCCCCTATCCGCCACTTGGGGAGGCGCTCGATGGAAGATCAGTATCTCCGCACGAGAAAATTTAGGCTTCAGCAATCATAAAATGTGACATAATTCTGCAAGTAAGACGGGTTTATTCTAAGTGTAAAAAAAAAGCGAAATAATGTCCAAATTAGTGTTAAAAATGCAAAATAATGTCCAAATTATAGTACAAGACAATACTCCAACATAGATGAATCATATTTCAAATTATGTTTTTTAACTATTACTTAGTAACTCTAGATGAATATTTTTTAAATGTTCGGTTTTCTTAATAGCACACCCTGTCCCAATTGTATCACCTAATATTATTTTTAGCTAGTCCGACAGAAAAGGGTAATATTTATGATTGTCATAATTTTTTTTTTGCAATCAGCATATGATCAAATTATAAGCAATGTGAGCACGTTCTTAGAGCCCTAATAGAAAGGAAGGGCAGAGTAACTGGCAACTGGACCAACATTTGAAACATCTAATTTAATTTTATTTTAAATTTTATTACAACCAAACAAACTACCAGCCATTGACTTTATATGCATCCCATTTAGTCACAAGTTCAATTAAAACTGTTAAAGTAGATTTATTACTTTTTCTCCATTAAAATAATAAAACTGAAAAAAAATTATGTCCTTCTTAGGATTTGACAGCATGATATGGCAAGCCCAGTGAAGAATCCAGATCCAAGTTTTGACAAGCTTTCGAATGATTTTCTACATTGCCCTTTATGCTTTGAACAGTTTAAAAATCCCAAGGTTTTGCCATGTCAGCACACTTTTTGTCTCTCGTGTTTGAGAGCTTATGTATCAGTTCGTGGTTTTGATGCTACAATCCCATGCCCCATGTGTAAAGAATTGGTGTTGATTCCCGACAATGATGTGGCCAATCTCAAAAATAACTTCATGATTGTCAGCTTATTACAATTTGTCCAGGATTCAAAATTAAATCTTCGAGAAAGGCACACGACTCAAAATCAAGTCAAAGTATCATGCCAGGATGGGGCTCTATCTTCAACTGTTCCTGCATTATGTGGGGCTTGCAATGAGTCAGGGAGTCTTGACAGCTTTTGTCAACTGTGTTCAAGATGGCTGTGCAAAATATGTACGAAATCACACAGCCGTATACCATTGACTGCTGATCACCCATTGCTGAGTATGAAAGAGGTGGACACGCAGTGCAAAGGAATGGTGGATGTGGGTGAAAAGGCAGTGACAGAGCTGCAACTAGCCAACATGGAGAGCCAAGACTTTCTTATCTCTCAAATACAGGATTTACCCGACAACGCCAGCCTCGTGCAACATCGCATCAATGCTGCCGCCAAAGAGGCACACCAGGTTGTTCAAGAGAAGGCCGATGATTTGACACAGCAGTTGCAACAGTTTATGTGTAAGCAAGAACAATACTTATCAGAGAAGCTGGACGTCATCAATGAAAGAAAAGATGATTTGGAACACTTGCAAAATCTCCTCACCAATGTTAAAATTTCAAATGATGGATATGAAAATCAGAAGGCCATAAAAACTGTTGAGAGTTTTCTGAACAGCTCGTCCAAGTCAACATTTTCACCACAGTCCCACAATTCCTTAAGCTTAGCATTTGTGACCTACAATAACAATTTAATCGAACTGAAGCAGCTGGAGATGGGTCAGCTTCGTGTGGTTTCAAAATATGCACAACAAAACCCACTCTACCTAAGTGGCCGTCCACTGACTGTGCACAGGATATCATCTCTGGTTGAACGTGAATACATAAGCGCTTTGGCCATCAACAAATTCGCAGACAAATTTGTGGTGGCTAACAACCAGACTGTGTTTGTTTTTAAACCAGACTCTAAAATTCCAAAGAGTTTTCTTTCACCTTTGTCAGAAAGAACTGTAAACAAACCTTGGGGGTTGGCCTATTGTGAAGATGAGCGTCGTGTGTACATCTCAGAGGCAGGCAGACATGAAGGAGATGGGGCTGTGGTAACTTATTCACATGACGGTGCATTTCATTCGGTCATCGCTTCCGGTCTGACTCTACCCAGAGGTTTAGCTGTTCACAAAAGTTACATATTTGTCTGTGATCAAATTGACAGGTGTGTTTACATCCTCACCATGTGGGGGAAAGTCATCAGGGTCTTGAAGAAAACTGCAGACGGGAGGTATCTTTTTAATGCACCCATGTTCATCTCTGTTGGGAAGAACGGTGTCATTGCTGTGACAGACAACTGCACATCTGTTAAAATATTCAACAAAGACTGCAACCTTTTGTTCACCTACACGTCCAACCTACCTGAATCTCAGTTTTGGGATGTCCATGTGATGCTGAATGGAGTTATTGTGGTATGTGACTGGAAGCACGGACTGCACAAAATTTCACCTGACTTTAGCAGCAACGGTTTGGTTGCCACCGAAACTAACATACTTAGGGAACCATCAGCTCTAGCAGCTTTGGAAAATGGAAATTCCATTTACATAGGAACTTGTGGGGGAGAAATATTCTCAGCCATCTGATTCAAGGTCAAGGAGATGTTATGTTTGATACATTTTTTACTGTTATGTGTTGTACAAAACACAGTTACGCTTATGAATTTTATTTTTCTTCTGAATTAAAATATCCTTCTTAAAACATATGCAGATATAAGTGTGAAGGCATTGTTTAAGTAGCTAGAGAAAAAGTGGGGAAAGCTATTGGTTAAGCTAAAATCATTTTATATCAATTTTTACTATATACTGCATTTCAAGTAGAAACTAAGACAGATGTTTACTCAAATATTTTTAAGTTATACATTATAAAACAGACAAGTTTAACTTTTTTGGATGGCTGCAAATTTATCTAGAATAAGTCCTTGAGGGTGGAATAGTATATTTTTACAGAAATAATTTTATCCTGTCAGCGTCTCTACTGTGTATGATCATTCTACTCCCTGCTAACTAAGCGCTTATAAAGTCCTTGAGTGTGGAATAATATATTTTTACAGGAGTAATCTTTCTCCTGCCTGCTTCTCTCTTTTTTATGACCAGTCTAGTCCCTTTAACAAATAAGATCCCCCCCCCCCCCTTTTTTTTCCAATCCAGCCAGACTACTTATCCCAATCGTTCACCTGCATCCCAGCATGCTTTTAAGTCTGTTTTTACCAATGAAAAAAAATTAAATTCTACCAGGATAACCTTGCCACTGTATTTATTATTTAGTTACATGATATGAAAATACAAGTGTCATTTTAGGAAAATAGAATTTCCCCATCTAGCTGTCTGGTAAGCTATCTAGCTGTCTGGTAAGCCATCTTGCTGTGTGGTAAAGCAGCTTAGTTTATATTTCTCTTTATTTTTGTCATTGATTGATGTTGTTGAACTCAAGTTTGACCACTGTAGTTTATTTCTTTCAGAATCCATAAGGAAAGTGGATGCACCATTTTTGCTCTTGACAATGACTTGAATTGTTTTAAATAATTTAGTTATATTTTCTGATTTTGTATTCTTTGCACTGGGACTTTGTGAGCTATAAGTTGTTTCTCAAACATTGTAGCATTGGACTATGTAAGGTTTGCTTCAGTTACTGTACATCTCTCTTACTTACAGCCTCACACAAGGCTGTGAACTTTTTTTATACCACAGGTGCTTTGCTGCCAAGCTTCACTACTCCACTACAACACTATTGTATTGTCATAATTTTAGTTTTACATAATATATATGTACATTACTGGTAAGTAATTAATCTAATTTCAAGACTGTATTTATTATTAAGTTACATGATATGAAAATAAAAGTGGAGAGATTCCATTGTCATTTTAAGAAATTCTTCCCCATCTAGCTGTCTAGTAAGCCATCTAGCTGTCTGGCAAACGCTACATTTGGTTCATGATCAATTATATAAGTGAACCCTCTTAACCTTGAGGACCCCATGGAACTAGCTAGTCATAAAAGTTGTTCTCCACTCAAATAAATCCTTCTGAAACTGACAATTCTAAAAGTTTTTGTCATGCAAGCATGTCTCACATTTATCAAATTATATAATTCATAAAGAAATGAATGTGAATAAATAAATAAAAAAAGCTTGTGAAAAATAAATGTGTCCTTTATTCCATATTGTAACTCCCAGAGCAAACAACTGATTTATGAGAGCTAACCAACTGAGTAGAAGGCAATGACATATTATGGAATACTCGTTATACATTCATAGATGCAGGAATTTTAACAAAAAAGTTCATACAAACAAATACATTTTTTAAGGAGAAATGTAATGATAAATTGTGATCAGATTAAAAATGGACCAGGCAATCATTTTCTAAGTTTCTTGCAGAAGTTGATCTTTTCTATTCAGCAACTTTAAGAAGGAGAACTTAAGTACAGAAGAGATATTCTGGTGCACATAAATTCTTACATGACTATGTTTCCACATTATCACAGTCCAGGATGACAGTTTATTTAGCATAAGAACAACACATCGCATCTGCATAGATTCAGTCAGATCAATTCTTAGAAGCTTTTAAGGGCTATTGGTGAGAAATTATAAATAAGAAAAAGATCAAAAACAAATATTAACAGTAATTATTATGTAGATTAAGAATACAAGACAATTATACAGATTATCTTACAAGTAATATAGATGTTCATATATAAAACATGATTATTGGGGGGAAAAAATTATAGCATTTTTTAATATTAATAAAAAGCTATACACTTAAATGTGGATTTGAGTTAGATGAGTTGGTCCAAATATTTGCAGAGACATATGAAAGGTATTTGTTAACAACAAGCTGTGAGATGGCAATAGTTTTTAGGTTGCTTTAAGTGGTCAAGTGGAGAAACAAAACAGCCATTAAGATTTTTTTATATTTCATTTTCACCCAAAAAAAATTATTTTTCAAAAAAAATCATTATACATACCAGTTCTGCTACCGTATTTAAAAACTAGAATTCATTAAATGGTTGAAAACAACCAATATCTGATTTACTTTTCTATGCACTGCTCTCTGATGAATTAATTTTGTCTTCTCCAACACAACCACGACTGTCAATACCAAATGACAACCATGTGAACAAAATTTGGTATGGTTAAACATTATTCAAGTAAAAAAATTTCAACATCTTTTGTGACACAACTGTTTGTGATAAAAAATACCTTCTGTAGAGAGTCAAAGGAATACTGCGGTTTTCTGTAATACATGGACATAATAACTATATTACAAGGTACACTACTGGTAATGGAAATAATTATTGACAAACAATGATGTTTGCCACAATTCATGAAATAGTTTACAAACTTCATAGCTAAATAAGCATGCATTTATAATACAGGTTTCAAAGAGTTAATTATCATTATATTTACAAATGAGGTCAACAAATTGGTCATCAATTCACCAATACATAATTAACAAAGAAGTATGTAAGGGAGCAGTATGAGAAAATGCAAAATGTCGGCTTTGAAATTGTTTTGATATAAACAGCTGTCATGAGACTTATTACCTTTCTTGCAAGGCTACATTATGTCATGGGCAACTTTTAGAATGGTCGAGAGTAGACTTGGATCATTCTGTCAGAGATGACATTTGAGCCATTCTGTCAGAGATGACATTTAAGCCATTCTGTCAGAGATGACATTTGGGCCATTCAGTCAGAGATGACACCAGAGCCATTCAGTCAGAGATGACACTTGAGCCATTCTGTCAGAGATGAAACTTAACCATTCTGTCAGAGATGACACTTGAACCATTCTGTCAGAGATGACACTTGAACTGTTCTGTCAGAGATGACACTTGAACCATTCTGTCAGAGATGACATGGTTCTTTCTACAGCAGCCCATTGTCATTCACAGACTGTTGTGTGGCATCATGGGTATTTCAGGTCATAAAAGTTCTCTGCCTGCCCCTAAAAATAAGGACAAAAAAGTACATGTTCAATCATATTAAAGTAATTGAAAAAATCAATCAATCACCTTCAAAGACAAAGCAGTTAAACTTTTTAAAATGTCAGATCTTTAGAAATGAAAAAAACAAACATGGAGCTTTTCTCTCCAGATGAAGAGACTACCAGTTTCAATAACAGTGAACCCAATTCATTTCATTGATACTTATTTTTCAAATTAAAGAAAAAACTTTTGGTAAAGAAATGATATTATAATAAAGTTCTTTAATATTTCAAATCGCTTCAAGAAATTAAATTTGTAATTTAGATAACTTGAAATGTAATAATGAATTACATTAAAAAAAAAGGTTGAGTTAAAAACTGAAAGTTCACCATATTCTCCTTCAGTGAGATGCTGATGTACATTCTCTAGATATTCCAAGATATCTCCATTTTGTGTGGGATGGTAGTTTCCATTGGCTGGATGACTTGAATAACCAAAGTCTTCATTTTGTAAAATTGCTCTGAAAATAAAAACAACAAAATAAAAACATGTGCATACAATTTTTGTTCTAAATGAAATGCCGGCTTATTAACAAAAATGTTTGGTTGAATAAGAACTTAATTAATAAATGAGAACTGACTAAATTAACTCTTTCGATGAAGAACAATGCACACTTCGTTCATCCGCCGTTATCAAAAGCACGGACTAACGCGCTCTGCGTTTGTTTCAATATCATGTTTGTTTCTTTACTATTTCTCTGTTAAACTTTTTCAGAGCTATTTTTAAATAAGACTTTTACATAGAAGAGTGGTACTTAATTGTTTATAAGCAAAACCAAGGTTTATTTGTTGTAGTTTGAAAAATTATTTTAATGATTTTCTTCGCTTTTTTTTCTACTGTTGCTATAGCTACTCTAGGCCCTTGTACGTGAGTAAGTTTCCTAGATAATAAACAGCTCAAAAAGCTTTGGAACTGTTTTATACTATTTCTTTTGATTGTGAAGATGATTTATATTTAGATCCATCGCATAATTCCAATAGTAGTAGTTTTAGAGGATTTGAGTTATAGAAGTGAAGTTTAACTCATTCCCCCCTGCAATGCTACTTCCGTATTTAATTTATTTGCCTGAGAAAGGGAAGTAACCCCGTTTTGAAATTGTTTACATTTTTTAAATATTTATTTAAGCTACTAAATATTATTTAATTTTAATGAATTAAGAACAAATGCAACAAAAAATGAATAAGGTTTAATATAAATATAACATTAGCGGGGAAAAAATAAAGAACAATGACCAAAAAATCGATTTTCGGCACCTCGGACGAACACATGCTACATATAGACGCGCCATACTAAAGCACACATAGTTTTAAAGCGAAACAAGATAAAAACTTCCGGTTTTTAAATTAAAATCACGCTGAACCACGCCATCGCCGGAAGTCTCGAGGGATGCGAGATTTCATTGCTATTTTTAAATAGATATGAGAGAGGTGTGTCGCTATGCGCCGGGACGCATTTGGACGCATTCAGCGGAACCCGTAAAAGACGCATTTAGTCGCAAACGTCGGGAATGAGTTAAGTATGCGTACATCAGAGGGTTTGGAGGAAAAATGGTTTAGCATAAAATGTTTTTTTAAGGTTCTTTTCTGTAACTTATTTTATTTAAACTGAAGAAATAAGTTTACAAAGATCCTTTCAATTATATTTCATTTGGTATTTCATTTTTGGATTAGTCTTACAAACCAAAGAATAATATTTTAAATATTTTTTAATAAACCCAACCTCTCACTCTTTTTCGCTCGTCAATAAAATGTACATTTTTTCGATAAAAAAATTCCGCAGAGAAAGAGTTAAGAGAGGATATTTGGAGTGAGGGCAGACATAAATTTCTTTCTCAGGATTCATACTTTAGTTTGCAGCGTCTTCATGGCTCACCAAGTCATAAAAACAATAACACACAGCTTATCCCAGTAACTCACCTCCTACTGGTTTGCCTGCCCTCTCTCGGTAATGATTTGGTGGTGTACTGACGACCCAGATCTTTGGTAGGCGGTGTTGTGTAGCTGTGAGGAGATCTCAATGTTGTGATTGTGTAGGTGTCCCCATTGGGCACTGAAGGGACCTCAGTATTTCTGTGATGTGTGCTTGATGATGGCTTCGAATGGTGGTGGTGATGACGAGGATGAGTGGGAAAGCTGGAACTTGTAGGGACATATGCTGGAAATGGAAACATACAATGATGGAACACGAACCTACATGAAGCTAAAATATATCATCCCTTAGAGTGAGCACATTTGCACAGGGGGAGAAAATGCTCATTATTTTAATCTCATATATATGAAGTTTTTAATCAAATATGTGAATCAGAATGAAAGTTTGTGGAATATTTCTTAAAATTTCCTATAATTTAAACATCAAGCCTCTTAATGATAAATGAGAAAGCAAACTCTCTACAACTTGGAATCATTAAATTTAAAGCCATTTGTAAATATAAATAGATAGGTCATAATTTAATCTTTGCAATTTAATATAATTTTCTTTTTAAATAAATGTTTAAAAAAAGCTCCTTTTGTAAGCTTTTAGCTGAAAGCTGCTTCATTGTTACAGGTAACAATTTTAGTAAATATTTACACAAATACACCACAAAAAAAAAAAAAATCTTACAATGATGTGGTGGAATCTGTCCTGTCATCACAGGGGAGCCTACTCTTGTTGCTCTCTTCCACTTCTTCACCAGATATTTCATTCTGCAAGGAAGTTTTTACAAATTAAAACACAAAGAATGCAGACATTATGAAATATAATCTAACTCTAACTATACATAATTTGTTGGTCTAGTTCTCCTCACATAAATTGTTGATTTAGTTCTCCTCCTATAACAGATGTATCTCAAAAATAACTTGATTCATTTAAAATTTAGTTTTTGATTCTGTAAAATATCATGATAAAAATTATGATGGTCTAATAATACCTTTGGACTGGTTCAAATTTTTACTCCCCCCCCCCCCCCTAAGAGTTTTAATTTACCTGGATATTGCAATGATGACTCTTCCTGCTGACCTAAACATTGTGAATGCCCTTGAACCAGACCTGTGGAGGTTGTTTGCGTAAGGTGTGGGAAAACCTCCCATAGATGCCAATATTGCCAGCGTTTCTTGTTCTGTGTCTCTGTACCCACCAAGGAGAAGCAGAAGATACTTCTTTTGGTAAATTAAGGCTTTCCTAAAACTTTCTGCTCTTAAGTATTTGCCATACAATCGGTCAGTCTGTAGAGGAAAAATACCAATTTCTAATTCATTTACAGGACTCAGATAAAATTATGTGGATTATGTGAATGAGCAATAATTTTTAATCTTGCTGAAACAAATGCTATTGAAAAATTTCTTGAATTTTGTGAACATTTCCCTCTTTTTTTGTTAGGAAGAGTAACTCAGTCGTGCAGATTTTAACTGTTAATAAATTATGCTAATAGCACAGCATCAAGAGTTCACAGAAATACATTTCTCCTTGCCTTGTTGGGATCAAATCGAGCTATGTCTCTGTCTGAATGCACCAAAGAGCGAAATTGTTGAATTTCAGTTCGTAATCGTTCAATCTCATGCTCTGCTGAATTCAGTGCCATCTGAAGACCAAGCCTTTCACTGGCCCACACGGTGCGGTCATAGACAACGTCATCTTCACTTGCTGTGTCTGACGCATATTGAGGAAGATTCACCTTAATATATTCAAGGAAAATGAATTATTAGCAGCCAAAGACAGGTTGGTCCCTTGCTACGTAGATGTTTCTACCCTTGTTAAATTTCAAATTTGTGTTTGGTTAAAGCTTACAAGTTATAATCTTACAATTATATAAATGCTGACTGCATAAATCTATGATCAGGGAACTGTAACTCTAGCATTTGCAGGTAAAACAGCAGCTGTTCCTAATCAAATGTTGAAAGTTTCACCAACTTATCTCATCCAATATTGTGATTAGATGTTCTAAATGCTGCACTAACCTGGTGTTACGAACCCATTCTTACCAAGGTTTGTTACCCTTGTTTCTCTAGGGGTTATTATATTAACTCTACAAGCCAATACTTCATAGAATAAAGTATCTTTATTAACCAAACTACATTGTCAACTGCCAATACTCAATCACAACAAAACTATACAACAATAATGCATCATTTCCCCTTTAACACAATATGTCACAAAATACCAAACATTTAATAGCAACATCTACCCAAGTACTCTCCCAACAACACGCAATCACAATATACATTCAAGTCCTTAACACCTGGGCATGTGTGATTAGATGTTCTAGGTGCTGCACTAACCTAGGCATGTGTGATTAGATGTTCTAGGTGCTGCTCTAATCTGGGCCCATGTGATTAAATGTTCTAGGTTCTGCACTAATCTAGGCATGTGTGATTAGATGTTCTAGTTGCTGCACTAATCTGGGCATGTGTGATTAAATATTCTAGGTGCTGCACTAATCTGGGCATGTGTGATTAAATGTTCTAGGTGCTGCACTAATATGGGCATGTGCAATTAGATGTTCTAGGTGCTGCACTAACCTGGGCATGTGTGATTAAATGTTCTAGGTGCTGCACTTATCTGGGAATGTGTGATTAAATGTTCTAGGTGCTGCACTAATCTGTGCATGTGTGATTAGATGTTCTAGGTGCTGCTCTAATCTGGGCCCATGTGATTAAATGTTCTAGGTTCTGCACTAATCTAGGCATGTGTGATTAAATGTTCTAGGTGCTGCATTAATCTGGGCATGTGCGATTAGATGTTCTAGGGTCTGCACTAATCTGGGCATGTGCGATTAGATGTTCTAGGTGCTGCACTAACCTGGGCATGTGTGATTAAATGTTCTAGGTGCTGCACTAATCTGGGAATGTGTGATTAAATGTTCTAGGTGCTGCACTAACCTGGGCATGTGTGATTAAATGTTCTAGGTGCTGCACTAATCTGGGAATGTGTGATTAAATGTTCTAGGTGCTGCACTAATCTGTGCATGTGTGATTAGATGTTCTAGGTGCTGCTCTAATCTGGGCCCATGTGATTAAATGTTCTAGGTTCTGCACTAATCTAGGCATGTGTGATTAAATGTTCTAGGTGCTGCATTAATCTGGGCATGTGCGATTAGATGTTCTAGGGGCTGCAGTAATCTGGGCATGTGCGATTAGATGTTCTAGGTGCTGCACTAATCTGGGCATGTGTGATTAAATGTTCTAGGTGCTGCACTAACCTGGGCGTGCTTGGATGTTTGCAGTTTGGTCTCCATTTGTTTTAGTGAGCTGGCTATGTGTTGTTTCTCCTGTTTAAGCCTAACAATGTGGTTGGCCAACTGTTGATTGTGTTCCAACAACCTACTGACTTGCTCTGTTCTGGACTCAACATCTTCAGCCTAGAAATTAAACATATTTTTTTAAGCGACCATATTTTTATAACAAACCTGAACCCCGGGTTAATAAATCAAAATTAAATTTTAAACAAAAAATAGTTGTTTTTTTATGCAGACTACCAAAACTCTTTGAAAAACTTTGCTCCAAATTTGACATAGACCAAAAAGAGTGGGCATGAGTGCATGCCCCTGTCCATGTTTAATTTCAATGACTATGAATACAGTACAAAATTGAGCTAGAATTTTTTCTTAACCCACGAACTGTGGTCGGCCGAAAAAATCAGCCGATAAAAAACATGGTCCGATAGCAACTTCCAATCCAATATTTCAACAGAATTATAGCCACTTCCTTTTATTAATAATTAAATCATCTTCCGGTTCAAGCTGTTTCTTGATAATTTATAAATAAATACTTTTTAATCAGAGTTTTATATCGCCGTTTTTTTAAAGCTACAATGGTTGAAGTTATGGCAGAGCCTTCAGTGCAAGAACTAATAGAAATATGTTTGAAAGCTTTTTAGCAGAGGTTTTAAATGATACTGATGATGATTTTAACATTCCCCATGACGATATCATTTGAGATTATTCTTCTCGTGAATTTTATACTAGTCTTAGTGATACTGAAGTAGGCCTAATGAGGCTACTGGTAGACTTCGAGCCAAGCCCGGAGATTGGGCAAGGACTGACTGAATTTTAGTCACAGAAGCTACAGATTATAGTTCAGAACTAATAAATTTTATAATCAAACAACCCAAATCAGTTCCAAAGTTCCTTTTTAAATGTTTACTAGTCAATAATAACTATTTTGCCTGAGATTTTGTATTTTGTACTTACTTTTAGCAGCGGTCCCAGTTTCTTATATAAATGACCTAAAATTATTAAAATCGCTTTCAGAGGTTTAATTGCAATCAAAACCTTAGCAAACTATACATTGTCTGAAAGAGAAATGAATTGGCTACAACATTTAGATTTGCGTTTTAAGTGTATCTATAAAACTTAATGATGTTATGAGCACTTGAAAGCAAGACATTTTGTCAATTTTTTTTTTCCTCGAGAACTCCAAGGTCAAGGACACTGATCAAAAAATTTTTACGGGGTGGACAATATGGTCAACTTTATCCCCATCCATTTACCTTTCTAAAAATATATACTTATAGGGGTCTTGTATCAATATTTCTATGTCATTTAATGCAATTTCAAATGGTACTCAAAACGCTCTGAAAAGCTTCACACCACAGAATGATGCATGCCACAGTTTGTGGGTTAAGGATGTTTCAACAAACATGAGCAACACATGAAAATTAATTTTATTATTTTAATGGAGAACCTTTGATCTTTTTTTTCTCAGTATCCTATTCATGAATATTATAAATACTTGGTAGACGAGCTCATAGTTTAGTGTGAGCTCTAGGGACAGAGTGAATACCTTCTGTTGAGTTTCTGCTGTCCCCGTGATCTCTCCTTTAAGCAGCCTCAGTTCTGACAAGACATCCACCAACAGGCCCTGGTGTTGGACAGTGTGATCAAGTGAACCTCTGTAGTGTTGTGATGAGGATGTCATCGAGTCCAGCTGCGTGGCAACTGACTGGAGTTTAGAACAGCATTGGCTCAACCGTCTCTCAAGGTCATTGTCCACCAAAGAGGCCTGGAGCATTAAGGAAACAACTGATTTAATTTGGTGGAGATACATTATTGATGTAACCAGAATCAGCATTGGAGGATTTAACCTCCTAAACTGAGCCACTGTTTTACTAACTATCAAAAAGTCCACATGGCTGATTTAAAGAACCACCATTTTACAAACTAACAAACTTACAACAAAGAGGGACTTGGCAGCTGTGTCAATTTTAGAACTGATTTGCCGAGGGTCACCGGATGCTTGTCTGGCTTGTTCCAGTTCCTTCTCTAGCTCCCTGGTTTTAGTTTGAACTCTTTCCAACTCTAGCTCCAGTTCATTCTAGAAGTTTAAAATAATGAGGAACAAAAACAGTTTTGATTGCAGTTTTACAATGCATATTTCTGGGAGAGATTTCAAACACCAGCACAGCTGCTCGACTTTCAAAAATAATATGCACTCATTGCTGATCAAAACTTTGCATCATATCAAAACTTTAAGCTTGAGCCAAGTGCATAATAATAAAGCAAAAATAAGACCAAAGTTGATTGTGGCAATCTGGTCATTCAAGGTAACAGTTGATTGTGGCAATCTGGTCATTCAAGGTAACAATTTGTTCAACTCACAACTTTAAGTCTGAGTCCCTCCCTGTCTTCCTCCACCAGCTTCAGATGGAGGCGGAGATTTCTCTCGTGGTTACTGCCCACTGCACCATCGGGTTCTGTTTTTTTGGCCCCCTGGTCAGATGAAGCCTGGTCAAGATTGATTTTAAGGCTATCAGCACGGGATTTTTCATTCTCATACTGTTGCGTGAGCTGGTCATGTTGGGACTAGAGAAAGAATTATAGCCAATAAAATAAATCTAAAACATAATAATTCTTAATTACTGAACGTCTCAACTTGTGATCAAGTCATTACTTAGTTTACATGTTTTAATAATTGTAAAGCGCTTAGAGCTTTATGATAAGCGCTATATAAAAATGCCTAAATAAATAAATAAATAAATATATTTACTCATATAGTCATATGGATATTTAAAAAATTGACAGAAATCTAAAAAATGATAAGTAATGCTCCAAAAAATTTTTAAAAATTGATGAAGAAACCATAGTTTTAAAAAAAAATGACAACTGACTTTTTATAAAGCACTTTTTTTTATTGCGTCTAACACATGAAACACAATGTACAGGTCTAACACAACATACACATTGCACAGGTCTAACACATGAAACACAATGTACAGGTCTAACACAACATACACATTGCAAAGGTCTAACACATGAAACACAATAGGTCTAACACAACATACACATTGCACAGGTCTAACACATGAAACACAAAGTACAGGTCTAACACAACATACACATTGCACAGGTCTCTAACACATGAAACACAATGTACAGGTCTAACACAACATACACACTGCACAGGTCTAACACATGAACCACAATGTACAGGTCTAACACAACATACACATTGCACAGGTATAACACAACATACACATTGCACAGGTGTAACACAACATACACATTGCAAAGGTCTAACACAACATACACATTGCACAGGTCTAACACAACAAATACAATGCACAGGTCTAACACAACAAATACAAAGCACAGGTCTAACACATGAAACACAATGTACAGGTCTAACACAACATACACATTGCACAGGTCTAACACAACATACACATTGCACAGGTCTAACACAAAAAATACAATGCACAGGTCTAACACAACATACACATTGCACAGGTCTAACACAACAAATACAATGCACAGGTCTAACACAACAAATACAATGCACAGGTCTAACACAACAAATACAATGAACAGGTCTAACACAACAAATATAATGTGCAGGTCTAACACAACATACACAATGTGTACAGGTCTAACACAACATACACCAAATACCTTCAGTATTTCTATTTCATGTTTCTGTTTGCTAACTATAGTTCTCTCCTGTTCTAGGGCTGCCTGATGTTGATCTCTCTCTGCCTCCAGTAACTCCCTCAACCTGGCATTAGTCTGAGTCTCACCCTCTAGCCGGTGCTTCACCTCTCTGCATTGAATGAACACAAGCAGAAATACTAATACTCCATGGAACGGCAAACTGTCACTTGACCTTTATTCATTTCATTGGGGGGGGGGGGGGTTTTCTACTCATCCCTAGACATTTTTCACTTAATTATGTTTTCAAAAAAAAAAAGTCATAAATCACAAGAGAGAAATTAAAGAATATAAATCTATCAAGGTCTTATGAGGAAAATGATGGGAAAGCTTTCAACCATTGAATAAAAATCTCACCTCTCCATCTGATCCCTGTGTAAAGCTTCAATGTTGGCCTCGTACTCCATCTGCTGGCTGGCTAGTTGTCTCCTGGCTGCATCCAGCTTGTCAGACACCTCATGAAGCTCTCTCCTGGCTTGGTCTTCTGCCTCGGAGAACTGAACACACCTTTGCCTTTCTTTTCTCAGCTCACTCTGAAGATCCTACAGTTGTTAAGAGCCATCATGTGTGGTTTATTAAGTCAATGCAAAATAACATGAAAAACGTAATTATTCCGAGCATCATAAATTTCAAAAACATATCAGCACCATTCATTCTTTTAAGGATGTCAACAGTTGACAAACTGCTTACACTCTCTTTGGTTTTTGTGAAGTCATTTAAAAGAGGAAATGAAACGGGATCAATGAATATTTGAGTTTTAGAAATAGTATTACAATATTAAATACCCAGGCAGTGCCAGGTATATAATAGATGAGATAATAATACTGGTAACTGATTGCGAATAAATGAAAACAATGTTAAAAACTGTACAAAAAAGTTCCAACCATTATGTAGCTGTCCTCAGACTGGGATTTCAGCTGTTGTTTTCTGTCTGCCTCAGTCATGTCTTCTTCTAGTGTCTTCAGTTTCCTCCTGGTGGCATCTAGCAACTCTGAAAGTCTGGCAGACTTGGCTTTCTCCTCTTCCAGGGCATCACTGGACATGACAAAACAAGACAACACTTATTCTTAATGTACAATGCATGCTTTGTGTTCAGCACTGGGCGATTCAAAACAAGTTTTCAGGATATATTCAATGAAGAAATTTTAAAAATTGAATAAAATTAAAATGTTGCCCTTTTCTCGTTCACACAATGCCTTTTAAGGTTTGGATTATATTTAGACCTGCTTAAAGTATATCATCTTAAACAACTCTATTAATTCTTTCAAAATATTTTATGCTGGTTTATTTTTTATTTTGCTTGTTTAACAGCAAAAATTTGACCATGATATAGCTAATCATTTAGCCTATCTTATTTTGTTATTGCATGTCTGCAACATAGTTGATAGGCTGCAATTAATCAAAACTGAGTAGCATCAATTTACATTTTTAGCCAGTCTTCATTATAATTCTATAGTAGAGTGAGGTGGTTGAGATGCATTGTAAGGCAGGCTTTAATTGAGCCTTAGCTTTAAGTTACAGGGCTGATTGATTTATATCAATAAAGATGCTTAACCCTGAGAGAAAGAAAGTTCTAATATTTAGGTTGATTCTACATGGATGAAATAATGTTTCTTCTTATTATTTTTTTACTATAACAACAGAAAATTGTAAGATGCCACAAGACACTGTTGCCATATGATAAACTGGAGTTTAACCTCGTCAATGTATTAATCCACAACCTTGGACTAAAAGAGATAACACCCACTGTCTCAACTGTTATTTCATGCCTGATTCCCTAGTCTAACATTCTTGAATACTATATAACAGAAAAAATTAAAAAACAAATGCGTTGATCAATGGTACACAATGATCAAACTTCAGAAAACCCACACCACTACTTTTACCAACATGTTCTAGACACAAATTGAAACATTTCATGCAGTGGGTGTGTTCAATCAATGAAGTTAATGCCAGGTCATTTTGCCTGAGAAGGTGGTTGATGGTTCACAGGATAAAGGGATGAAAGATGGCACATTGAATGGAGTGGGTGCCGGGCGGGAGGGGGGGTAGAGTTTTGAGCATTATGGTGGACAAGAAGTTGCTGTATGTATAATTGTTATTATTGGTCAAAATATTAGAGGAGATTATCCAATAAAACTACTTTTTTTTAAAGGAATTTTTCCAGAGTTTAACCCCAGAATGTCACCTATAAATTCAAATGCATTTATAATAATTAATATAAATGCTAATATTAGATCTTTTAACCCTGATAACACTACAGTAGTATTATCTAAATCACACAGTATAATTTCAGGCCTCCTCACAATAATTTACATGCAAGAAAATCTGCAATACAAAGTGGCAACTCTGATGATGCTAAAAAAGTACCATAGTAAAGATTTTAAAAGCTTGGAAAATCAGTTTGATGTTAACTCAAATACATGTATTTTAAAACAACTATTATGTAACACCGAGAGTATCAGTGAAACCAGGACTCCACAAGATAATATTGCTGCACAGTACGCCAATCTACAAAATGTGTGTCAGTTCATTTAGTTTTATATGGTGGAAAGCAGGAAGCTGATGGTACATGCAGAACGTAATGAAGCGATCAAGGCTTTGTCACAGGAAAAAAAAACATGGTGAGGAAATGTCAGTTTGATCACTTACAGTGCTCCACTCCAGTCCAACCTGTGAGACCAGACGAGCCAACATATTCAGTTATTATGTCATGCACATATCATATGTAACATGTGCAAAGTTAGGGAAATGACATATGTTAGGTATGAGGGCGGCGCAGAGCATTGTAGCAAGAAAATCATGTTTGTTGCAGAAATATATTCAAGACACCACTCATTTTGATTATCACGGGCCACTAAATGATGAAAATTTCCTTTCACGGAGCCCCTTTAAAGTTGAAACAATTTCAAATGACTTATACTCTTGACAAGTTCAATTTTTAACATAATTCTTGTACTAATTTTTTTAAATACTTGTAATGGTGTAAATACGCTATAAATGAGTTTGAATAGTTTTTTTAAAGTAAAATGGTACCCAGATGATAAAATTTGTTAATGGCGTACAAGACCTTCATTGTGTAACACAACATTTACTGACTAAGTAATCATTAGTGAGACTCCTGAAGCAGCTAATAGTTTGTGATCCATTACTGTCTAAAACTTATGCTACCCAACACTGACTGGTGTTTTTACAAGGATCAAAGAAAGATCATTCATCTGTGGGCGGCCTCAAAGTAGATGACACTATGCAATGAGTGAGTGAGTGATGGAGGCAGCAGAGATGGTTTTTGTTGTGGTGACACAGAAGATAAAAGTAACACAAGGCATTTTTTTTAAAAAGAGGAATCTTTGAAAGTAAATGCGAAAAATAAGTGACCAAATGGCACTGGGAGCTGATGAAAACTGGTGATGACAAAATAGTGAGAGAACATAGTGAGATTGCGATGATGCACTTCTGTGCCGGCATGAGGTATAAGATATATCGTAGTGTTCATGACAGAAACTGCTCACCTGTTTACAATTTGACCCATTCTGAGATGATTAAAAATATCAATTACTACATAGCACTGCCTATTTTCAAATCTTAAAATTCAATAGAAAAATATATTTTTTCTACTGTTATCTTTAAAGATTAGATTACAGAATTGGTGCTGATCATTTCAAAATTATAAAAAATATTAAGAATATTATATTTTATATTAATTTTTTAAAATTAAAGTTATGACAAGCTATTGAGGATTTGAGGATAGCACTTGTCATCTTTGTCTTTTTTTTTCATTTAATAGAGGATCTCAGCAACAAACTACATAAAAGATTTGTATAAAACATTTATATATGGCATCTTGTCATCAGAGAATTTATAAAATGTATGCCCATGTTTTAAAGTACAGCTTCTTTCAAGAATGTTATTTTTTCAGAACCTCAATAGAAATATGATGTTTGAATTTTACTTGGGAAATAAACAGATATTTACATAGTGTTAAAAATTAGGAAAAAAATCCTTTCTGAAAAATAAAATCTCTATATGAATCTCCAATTACATTAACATCTCTATATGAATCTCCAATGACATTAAAATCTCTATATGAATCTCCAATTACATTAAAATCTCTATATGAATCTCCAATTACATAAAAATCTCTATATGAATCTCCAATTACATTAACATCTCTATATGAATCTCCAATTACATTAACATCTCTATATGAATCTCCAATTACATTAAAATCTCTATATGAATCTCCAATTAGATTAAAATCTCTATCTGAATCTCCAATGACATTAAAATCTCTATATGAATCTCCAATGACATTAAAATCTCTATATGAATCTCCAATTACATTAAAATCTCTATCTGAATCTCCAATGACATTAAAATCTCTATCTGAATCTCCAATGACATTAAAATCTCTATATGAATCTCCAATTAGATTAAAATCTCTATATGAATCTCCAATTACATTAAAATCTCTATATGAATCTCCAATGACATTAAAATCTCTATATGAATCTCCAATTAGATTAAAATCTCTATATGAATCGCCAATTACATTAAAATCTCTATATGAATCTCCAATTACATTAAAATCTCTATATGAATCTCCAATTAGATTAAAATCTCTATATGAATCTCCAATTAGATTAAAATCTCTATATGAATCTCCAATTAGATTAAAATCTCTATATGAATCTCCAATTAGATTAAAATCTCTATATGAATCTCCAATTACATTAAAATCTCTATATGAATCTCCAATTAGATTAAAATCTATATATGAATCTCCAATTACATTAAAATCTCTATATGAATCTCCAATTAGATTAAAATCTCTATATGAATCTCCAATTAGATTAAAATCTCTATCTGAATCTCCAATTACATTAAAATCTCTATATGAATCTCCAATTAGATTAAAATCTCTATATGAATCTCCAATTAGATTAAAATCTCTATATGAATCTCCAATTACATTAAAATCTCTATATGAATCTCCAATTACATTAAAATCTCTATATGAATCTCCAATTACATTAAAATCTCTATATGAATCTCCAATTACATTAAAATCTCTATCTGAATCTCCAATTAGATTAAAATCTCTATATGAATCTCCAATGACATTAAAATCCCTATCTGAATCTCCAATGACATTAAAATCCCGATAACGAGCTTCACTGTTATAAAGCATTATGATACAAATAAGTTACCTCTTTTCTTTTACATCAGCAACACACAAACAGTTTAATGTGGAATGGCCATTCCATTAACACCCAGGTAACAACCATAAGAATCATTAACACAATGTTAGTGTTAGAAAAGTCAGGATTGAAAGCTGTTTTAATAACTCACGTGATGGAGGTGAATCTCTGCTGTTCCCGCTGTAAGCTGTCCTTGGCCTTGGACAGCTGAATCTGTGTGGAGGACAGCTCAGACTGCAGTTCCAGGACATGGGATCTTTCCTGTGTGCTCTGTGAGGACAGCTCTGAGACACGCTGACGCTCAGACTTGAGGGATTTTTTCAGATCATCCTCAATCACTGCCTCCTGTTGCAGTTTGTACTCCAACATTTGGACTGGAGAAAATTTAGAGAAACTATGGTTTTAAGAAGTCTTCTATTCATGTGTCAAACATTTATCAAATGTAAAAAATTTATAGTTCACTTTTGACATACTGTACATTTAGAGTTGTTCTTTAATTTTTTCTTTTAAATTGTAATTTCTTTGTTAAAAATAGAGAATTTTTCACAGTGATCCATTACCTTGTCTCTGTAGCTTCCACTCCAGTTTAGATTTAGCTTCTTCTAACTGAGTCACTTGTTGGCTGAATTCATCCCGGCTACTTTGCAACTGGACCTTGGCCTCAGACAGACGCTGGTGCAAACTACTGACCTCAGAAATAAGGGACTGGCGATCTGCTCGCATCAAGTCATCCAGGCTTCTCTGGTGAACATCAGTCTGATTCCAAAAATTAAAGGAAATGTTTTTAATTTTTTTTTGCCATTGATTAATTTGTGATTAACGATTCCTGTGGGTCAGCAAATGTGAGAATTCTAATAGAATATGCATAATGAATTCAACATTTATTTAATCGTTACTGGCAGTGACATGTCTTTTATAGGTGAAATATTTGGCAACAGATTTATAGGTTTTGCTCAATAATTTATTTTATTTGTTAAAAGAGATTGTGTGTAACCTTGAGTTAATTCAATTACTAAAATATTTGTCAGACTCATTGGACAAAATCCTTAACACCAACTTCTGCTCTCTGTAAGAGTCAATCAAATACTAACCAGTTGTTGGAGCTTGGTTTCCAGCTGTGTGACTATGTCCAGATCTGGGTAGGAAATACTGGCGTCACTGACCTCTGCTTGGACAACATCTTTTTCCTTTATGTAGATATTGACAAAAGCTTGCAAGAAACCAGATCTCCAATCTTCACACACCTCAGACTCCTTGTTAAAACAGTGAAATGATTGAATCAGTAACTGAACACAGTTCACGAACAATCTTTGGCCCTTTTTTTTTTTATTTCTTTCATAGCAAAAAACATGACCCACCACTTCCAACGCTAATTTTACGTTAACAGGCAAAGCACTTATTCATTTATTAAATTATGCTTAAACAAACAGGGATGTTGGTCATTTATTTAATGCTCAAGATATCTGATCTCACAGTGCTACAAAACTAGATTTAAATACATGGGCTTCTATTCCTTTATCACATCTAACAGAAAATGAGTACCTCAAACATTACAGTTAATGCTTCCTGAAATAGTAACTTTTCGAGGAAGGATCTGTACAACAAATTTTCAGTTAAAAAGCCCGATACAAACTTGAAGAGTGTAAATATAGCTTATAACATCTCATTGTCATCATGGCATTTATTGTCAGTCCCTACCTTTATATCATGGAGCTTATTCTCTCATCTGATGGAGGTTATTCTATCAATTAAATTACAGCTGGATGGAAGAATAAGTCCACCAAAATGCTTTTCCTCTCAACTACCACAGTGCTAATAATTTCATTTGGTGAGTGTCCTTACCTGCCCAGACAAGATGTTGACCTGCTTAAGTAAATCCTTGAGGGCATCAATAGTAGCCAGCAAAGCTTTCCTCTCTGTATCCCATCCAGAGTCAACTGACCTGCTTCCCTGGTTCACTGGGGCCAAATGTTGCTTGAGGTAACGGAGGTCAGGCAAGCTCAGGAAATGTTCACCGAGTTGATTTAGACGTTCCAACAAGGCCTGAGGTAATAACGGTAATTTTTATAATACTTCAGTTATGCAGTCATTTTTAGACAAATCATCAATATTAGGAAAGTCTCAGTCTGACAGAAAGAGAGTAAATTCCTTCTATTAGATTAAATAATTTAACAGATCTATTTCAATGCATCAATTGTTTTATTTTTTTTTTCCAGGAGTTAAAATAAACTAGAGACCGACCAAAAGTGATTTTCTGATTTCGGCCGAAGTCGAAAATGGGCCGAAAGTTTAAAATGACATTCGGCCGAAAACCGGAAAAAGGTCAAAAGTTAAAAATGACTTTCGGCCAAAACCGAAGCCGAAACCGAAATATTTAGATATTTTGAAATTCGTTCCCGCATACATCGAAAATGATGGGGGAAAGTATAAATATTTACATTCTTTTTATAAAAAATGAGATAATCGTGAATATTAATAAATAAACATCTAATATAGGGGTTTCAAACTCGCGGGCCGCAAGCCATTTGTGACCCGCAAGATGATATTATGTGGCCCGCTACATGACAGAAAAGTTTAGTGTTAATGCGCTAGCCCGTTTCCCCCATTCTCATATCTATAACGTGACTCTCCGCGACGGTTTCAGTCGAATCTCACCAACTAGTCTAATTCTGCTTTTTTTTAAATGTTTCTATATATTTTTTTATTATGATTATAATGGTAAGAACCTTTTTAAAATCGGAATAAAAGTTTTTATTTTATAGCTTTTTATGCGACAGACATGGCAAAGATTGCGGCTTTGAGAAAAGTTTTTTAAAGTAAATTGGCGGGTAATGCACAACCATAATTGTGTAAATCGTAGCAATCTGCACATTATCAAAGGATCCATATTAAAATTGCCGCTAGTGTTTACGAGTGAGGGAAATTCCGAGCCTGTCAGCTTGGTCAATTTCTAAATCATCTTTCTCTTATGCCTTTTAACCCAGTCTGGGTCTCTAAATTTTTTAGACTTCAAAACACAGACAGCCACTTTTCAGCTTTTTGCTGTCCCTTTCTCCTTTAATGTGCAAGATGCCCAGCGCAGGCTGAATGGAAAAACAAATAAGCATTGAAATTTTATTGTATTGCCCTCCACCTTCCCTGAAATTTTTAGGTTGTTCAAACGGATCATACGACTTTTTGGGAGTACCTATCTGTGTGAATAGCTCTTTTCCACTCTGCACTTTAACAAGTCAAAGCTCAGGGCCAAACTTACTGATGAGCATCTTCAAGCTATACTGAGAGTCTTAGTTGCTTCCTCACTCAAGCCAAAGTTGCTCAGCTGTGTAAAAAGAAGCGCTACCACGTCTCTGGCAACAGTGAGTAGGTGGAAGTAAGTGAATCCTAGTTCTTGAGAACACTGAATGTTTTAATTGTTATTTATAAAGGTTGAGCAGATTGTAACAGATGTAATCGCTTTTTGTGTGGAATACTTGATGCGGCCCAGTTTCACTCAGACACTACCTCCTGCGCCCCCCTGATGATTTGAGTTTGAGACCCTTGATCTAATGAATACTTTGGATTTTACCATTTTAATATAAAAGTAATTTAAATTGCTTTACAATTTTTTTAAATTTGTATGGCAGGAGAAAATTTGGCAAAAATGGGAAGGGGGGGGGGTTGGAATAAATGCAAAATAGACTCTTGAGTGCTTTTGCTTTTTATAATATAATTACAACCTAGAAAATATACCTACAACAATTATTGTGGCTCTAATAAAGCCAATAGTCACCTAAATATATGTTATTGAGGCTATAAAAATATCACCACAATGTTTCGCTGTTTTCGTAATACTAATGCTTTGTTTTTTCATTAATATCTTGCAAGATATCACTGTATTAATATTCAACCTAGTAACATCACACTAGTATTTCTGTGCTGGTGACGTAATTATTACGTTCGGAGACTACCTCCCTCACCCCCATTGGTGGTGAAAATAATTTTTTTAAACCGGGTCTCTTAAAATTATTGTTCTGATCGTGGTTCTAAAAGATCGCTTAATTTCTTCTTAAAGATCGTTTCGTTTGTTCTTAAAGACAGCTTAGTTTGCTCTTAAAGATTATTTAGTTTGTTCTTAAAGATCGTTTAGTTTGTTCTTAAAGATCATTTAGTTTGTTAAAAAAAGATTGCTTATTTTTTCTGTTGAAGATCGCTTAGTTTTTTCATAAAGATCGCTTAGTTTGTTCTTACAGATAAATTATTTTGTTCCTTAAGATCGATTAGTTTGTTCTTAAAGATCTTTTAGTTTGTTCCTAAAGAACATTTAGTTTTCTGTTAAAGATCGCTTAGTTTATTCTTATAAATCATTTAGTTTACTATTAAAGATCATTTGTTTTGTTCTTAAAGATCATTTAAATCATTATAAAAGTCATTTAGTTTGTTCTTTAAGATCGTTAAGTTTGTTATTAAAGATCGCTTACATTGTTCTTAAAGATCGCTTTATTTGTTTTTAAAGATCGCTTTATTTTGTTTTTAAAGATTGTTTAGTTTGTTCTTAAAGATCGCTTAATTTGTTGTTAAATATCGCTTTCGCTGAGTATTTGATGACCGAAAACCTCAGTCACTTTCGCCGGATGGCTGAAAGTCTAAGTCAATTTCGGCCGAAACCAAAAAAATAACAAAAGTTAACTTTTCTCTTTTGGCCAAAACCGAAATTAAGCCCAAAGTTAACTTTTCTGTTTCAGAAACCAAAACTTGGCCGAAAGTAATAAAATGGCCACTTTCGGCCCCTAAACCAAAGCCGAAATTCGGTCGGTCTCTACCATAAACAATGGTTACCGGAAATTGGTTTGACAGAAATTTTGTCCACAGAAAATTGATAGACGGAAATTTGATTGAACAGAATTTTAGTCAAACTTTTTTTTCAGTTCACACGATCCAATTTTTGTCATATTTCTTTTGGAACGCAATTTACTATATGGTAAAACAAAATGATGTGTTAAAAAAGAAATTGGATGCAACATTATATAGTGTGAACTGAAAAAAATTCGACTAAACTTCCATTTAATCAAATTTCTATTTGATCAAACTTCTGCCAATCAATTTTCCGTTAAAATTTCTTTCAAACAAATTTCCGGATACGATAAATAATACCTAAGAACAAATTAACAACTCTGTTCATGCTTTGTCTCCCTTACCTGCAGCCTCTGTGGCATGCTATCATCATGTCCCTGTGTGGGAAGGACTTCTGATTCAATGTTTTGTCCATGGTCCACTGAATCTAAAGATATAAATTTATTAGCAAAATAACATTTTGAAGCCACGACTATTTAATAAAGTGTTTACCTTTCAACAAGGGAATGAAAAAAAACATACTTTGTTATTACAAATCTTAAAGTAAGTATTAAACATAACTGAAGTGCAACCAGTGCGCTGATGATGTCATTCTCAACTAGATGCGGAAAATTGACTTTTAAAAAAACTATTATAAGAAAATGATGTCAGTTAAAGAAAATGACAGATTATTTTTGGGTTATACATTGAATTTTGCGTCTTAAGTAAAACAAAATACAATAAGATGTGCCCACCTGTGTCTTGAGTCATCTCCCTGATAGTTTTCACTTGTTCCTGCTGTTGTAGAATCAACTCATTGATATATTTCTCATGATTACCTTCTAGAGTTTGACGTTGTTCTTCTAGCGCCTTTTCTACAGCTTGTTCCTTCATGAAAAGACACAAATATTGACATGTAGAAACCACTGGGCTCATTTAACAGTTCATTTCAATATATTTTATCATTACTGACAGTGCCTAAAAACCTTATTTTGAAAATGTTAATTACTTGCGGTAGGATTAAAAATTATATTCATAAAATTATAAATATTTAGAATTGTTAGTATTCTAACCGAATTTGTAAAAGGTTTATCAGGAAAGAAGGTTCCCATTTCTTAATTGCTGCCTAGTGCATTAGTGTTAAAGGTTTGCTTAAATGTAGCATATGACTTGATATTAAAATAAAGACAGGGATCATAACACCATCAACATAGACCATAGCTCAATTAAGTTTTCTGACAGACCAAGACAACCAAATCTCAAATCACCTGTTCCGTTTGGGACTGGGCTTTTAGCACAGCCAACTCATCCTCCCTGGCCTTCAGCAGCTCCCTTAACTTCTCGACCTCTTGTTCGAGGCCAGACTTTTGTACACTGTTAGCATCTCCGGCCCCAAACTCTCCTGTCATTTGGTGACTCACTCTCATTTCTTCCAGTGCTGAGTCACAGAGAGAAAAATCATAGTTTCTTAATACATTATTCAACATCCCATAGAATTTTTTTTAAAGAAGTCTCACTTTAACCAGACTTACTTTTGAGCTATTTTAATATGGTTACTGTATATATCAAAATTGAGTTTCCTATGATATCGATGGAGGTAATCAATTATAGTAATAAATATAATAGACTTTTCATGCTTGGCTCTACATTTCAAAGAAGCAGAGAAAATGAATTGTTTGAAGACAACAAAGCTTACTTTAATTAAAATACAGGAATTATTTTAAACACAAAACACCTTAACGAGATAGATGTAGTTTGAGATGAACAAACATTGCTTTGAAAATTTTAACAACCTATTTTATTAGATAGTTATTACTCAAGACTTTAAATCCATGTTAATTTTTTTAACAACTTACAAAGATTTATTTGATGAAAGTAGCAGTGGTCTTTATCTTTTACAATAAATTTCATTGTTATTTTTCATTTTTTTATTTTTAAATTGATATGTGCGCTACAAAATATTGATAAATCCCTAAAACAAAACAGAAGTTTTCTTCATCATCAGTGGCACTACAGCCCTTGTAGGGCCCTGGCGTGCTCCAATATTCAGAACAATCCATCGCTTTCCACCTCCATACGCGAATCCCCAACTGGTGTAAAGCCTTCTCTACAGCATCGACCAATCTCAGCCTAGGGCGACCGGTGAGTTGTCTGCCCCAAGGTTTCTGCCTGTATGTCCCTTTTGCTGCTCTAAATTCCGACATCCTTTCAATATGTCCTGCCCAGAGCAGTCTGCCTTTTTTTATTGTTGCGACTACAGGTGCGTCTTTGTACAATTGGTATAGCTCTTGGTTTGTAAGGATTCTCTAGACATCATTTTCCATCACTGGGCCGTTTATTTTTCTGAGGATTTTCCTCTCCCATATATTGAGAAGGTTCTCTTAGTCAGGAGTTTTCTTAATCAGTGTAATCTTAAAATATATTTATTTATTTCGGCATTTTTATATAGCGCTTACCTTAAAGCTCTAAGCTCTTTACAATTATTAAAAACATGTAAACTAACTAAAATAAAAATGAGACATTAGAATAGTAACTACTATACTATAGAAACAATTAAAACATAATTTAATCAAATACACACATGTACAATGTGATTTAATAGGGTTTTTTATAAACAGGTTAAATTCTACCTGAATGAGCTTTCCTCAGCTGCATCTTAAGCTGGGAGATGGACTGCTTAGTTTCAGGAGATAATGACTGGCCCTTAGGAGTGGACGCCATGACATTTGACGGTTTGAGCAGATATATCTCCTCCTGCAGCTGGGTGATCTGGTGGTCCTGGTCAGCCTTCTCCTGGCTGTGAGATCTCACCATTTCCTGGATGTCATGCTGGAGTGAAGAGATCAGTACCTCCTTCTGGTTAATTTCAGTTCTCAAGTTTTCCAGCTCTGTTTGGAGACTGATGATCACAGTTTGTTTTTCCTACAAAAAAAGACACAGTTGTTTAGATTACAGGGAAGCAACAAAAATTACATTTATACAAAATTAACTTTGCACACAAAAAACAAAACTTGCCGCTCAACCATTTAAAAAAAAAACTGCTTTATCAGTTTCTTGTCAAATAACATTAAAAAAATTAGATTTAAGTTTTATTCTTAATTGTCTGAATCTTTTTTCACCAAGTATACATTTAACTGAGTTTGTTCTAGAAACAGGCATTCAGGTTGATGATAATAAGTTGTTTTTTTTGTGTGCCTCCATGCTTTTTCCAATTTTTTTAAAATGAAGGCTGCAAACTAAATCCCACCAAGTCCCATCATGCACCTTGCAAAAAATAGGTGAGTTGAGAAATAATAGTTGAATGAAAATTTAAGGCAATAAACTAAAAATAACATAAAATGATTACTGCAAAATTTTGAATGCTGCCACAAAAATAGACCTAATCCGTGCCGCTATATTTAAGAGTAATAATTTACACCATTTTTCGAACACTGTTTCACATTTTACCAAATATGTTTAAAAAAGATTGATTTGAAGATTATCTTAATTACAGTATGTTGTTTGTTAGGGCAAATAATTGACATGCCCATTGACTGATTAACAAAAACTCACAATGATAAGTGAATCCATAGGGTTTTGTCCTCCCATTTTAAGCCACCTCTCCAGGTTCTGTCTAACTTGTTCCAGCTCAAAATTCTTCTGTGACAATTCCCTCTGCTGCTGCCTGGCCAGTTTCTCCACTTCGTTCATATGCAGCCTCAGGTAAGTGCCGTCTCTGCTGCCCAGAGCTAGTCCGGCTGGCTCCGAGTCCCATCGGGTCATTCCCCCATACCCAGCGGTGACTTCATCCATAGGAAGGGATGCGGAGAGGTTCAAGGCTCTTGAGGATCTTGTGGCATTCTGAAGTTCAGAGTAGACGGTTGTCCTAAGTTCTGCCAATTCTGCCTTCCTCTTTCTGATGGCCTGAGCTTCGGCCGTATCCTCTTTATCCTGCACAAGTCTCTGCAGCTCCTGAACTCTTACTGCTACAGGATGAGGTCTTGAGTTTTCTTGCTGCAGGGCCTGTATCTCTGCCTGCAGCTGATGTATTTGCTCTTCTCTCTCAGTCAGCTGATAATTGCTTTGGGTTAGTCTGTCCTCCAGTGTCCTATACTTGGTGGACAAGTTCACAAGCTCATCTGAGGCCTCTAGCAGTTTGTGTCTCAGTTCATGAACATCAGTGCCTATTTCAATCATACCATTCATTTCCTTGTCTTGCTGTAGCATTTCTTTGGTGTCATCACCCTTTAGCTTGACACACAATGCCTGGAGCTCTTTTATCAGTTGTTCTTTTTCTGCCAACTCTCTCCTCAGTTGTGTTTCCAAGATTTCCTTCTCCTCAACAACACTCTCCCTCCCTGCTTCCACGTCCAGGATACAGGATTGACGGAAACGGAGCTGGCTTTCGAGCTCTTCAATGTTTCGGTCTTTATCCTCCACTACCTTCCTCAGGGTCTCCATCTCGGTCATGTCTTCCAGCAGTTTCTCCTTCTCCAACTGAATGTCCAACATGACTGACTGCCTGAGCCTCAGCTGCTCTTCTGCCTCTTCCAGCTGCCTCTTCACCACACTCAGCTCCTCCACTTCCCTTGCTTGACATTCCAACCTATGGACCTTTTCTTGTATCTCCTCCTCCTCAGCCAATGCCGAGTCCAACTTGCTCTGTAACAAATCAACTTTGGCTTGCTTTTCCACCACTTCAAGTTTCAAGCATTGATTTTCTTCCAATGTGGTCTGGTATTGTTCTTTAGTGATCTCTGCGCTGCGATCATTGGCTTGGCACTTCATCTCTTCCTCCAAGTCAAAAATATACTTCTCATATTTTTCTCTCGTCTCTTCAATTTGTTGTAGAAGGCGTCCTTTTTCACTTGCTGCTTTTTCCTTTGCTTCCAATAACTCATGGTCTAAACTTTCAATTTTTTCCCCCAAACTTGCATTCTCTTGGCACTTTTCTGAAAATTCAATCAGGTTCTGTTCAAGTGTGACAATTTTCTCTGACAACTCTGCAATGGTCCTATCCCTCTGGGATAGAGTGTCGGAGACCAAGTTATTATCAGCCGCTTCCTTCTGACCTTCCTCTGTTGACTTTAGTGCCTCTCTTTCTTTCAACAGTGCTTCTTCCAGGTCAGATTTTAACTTCTCTGCTTGCTTGCATTTCTCCTCCAGCTGAGATTTTATCTTTGTCATTTCTTCTTTGACGTTGCCCTGTATAAGAAAAATAATTAATTACTTCAGGATAAATTATCTGTTCAGACATTTAACAATGTTTTTTTTGTTAAAATTTAAAAAAAAAAAAATTACTAAAATGTATACAATTAGATGTGAAGGCAAGTACTACTTTGCCTACTGTGTAAACAGTTGTAAACAATGTTTATTGATAAATCAGAAAACTAAATCACCTGGTGACTTCATATTAATCAAACTAAACAGTACATGTGTCAATTATCAAAACAGACAAAGAATACTAAAAACTTCACCTCAATAAAATCATGAGTATTTATATGAAATTATAATAAAATAAATGCTGGATATTACATGCACAAAAATTGGAGAAGGTAATTGAATAGGGTTAGGGTTAGAATGTAACGTGAAAACTTAAAAAATATTTTTGCAAGACACAAAATAAAAGTTACATGTATTTTAAATTATTTTTTTCAAAGTTGTTTAGATTTACATGCCAAAAAACGAAATGATCAAGATTACATTATTAGATAATAATCATTCCTAAAGAATCAAGGACATAAAATGGTGCATTTAATGCAAAAATAATGGAGAAGTTTAACTCACATTGTTATTATAGGAATAATGCTTATATTATTTACCTACAACTCAGCTGATATAAGTTTTAAAAGTTCCGAGTGCTTTACTAAATAATTTCTTTTGAAATAGTTTTTAATTACAGAAGTTGTTCATGAATAGATAGACACTAAAATTGAACTACAATTGTAAGAGTTTCTTGACATTGAGATAATTCTAATATTTTTATATCTCTTTTTAGTCTCAAGGAAACACATGCTTACACTCTCATCTGTTCCATCTTAATTCGTATATATAACTTTTAGTGGAAGTACATGATGAAATCTTTTCTACAATTCTTCAGATAAGGCTTTGTAAAATTATACAAGAGTGCAAAATGGTGTTTCAGCATTTAATAAAAAAAAGAGAACAAGTAACACAGCCACAGGTGGGTTTATACAACAGTACTGTTGCTGGTACGCAGGTGTGCATGTCCTGAATGAAATAACTTGTACCTTAAAGCCGCTTTCATGCTCAAACATGCCAGGAGACAGTGGGACTTGGACAGTAGGCAATAAAACGAGATTGATAAACTTAACACATGATTTCCATTTCAAGTTAAATTCTTCTTTTGTTGGTTTTTAAAAGATGTTATGTAATTGTTTCAGATTAGTATACACAATTGATAAAAAATTATGAAAGAAAGAAATTGTTTGCACATTGAAGATTTAGTTTTTAAAATTCTTAATTTTACTTAACATTTCTAAACCACTATATTTATAATTTTTGTAATAAATACTGCTGTTTATGAATTCAAACAGCTCACAAGTTTGATCAAATGTAGTCTACAAGTTTGATCAAATATAGTCTACAAGTTTGATCAAATATAGTCTACAAGTTTGATCAAATATAGTCTACAAGTTTGATCAAATGTAGTCTACAAGTTTGATCAACTATAGCCTACAGGTTTGATCAACTGTCTATAAGTTTGATCAACTATAGTCTACAAGTTTGATCAAATATAGTCTACAAGTTTGATCAAATGTAGTCTACAAGTTTGATCAAATGTAGTCTACAAGTTTGATCAAATATAGTCTACACGTTTGATCAAATATAGTCTACAAGTTTGATCAAATGTAGTCTACAAGTTTGATCAACTATAGTCTACACGTTTGATCAAATATAGTCTACAAGTTTGATCAAATGTAGTCTACAAGTTTGATCAAATGTAGTCTACAAGTTTGATCAAATATGGTCTACACGTTTGATCAAATATAGTCTACAAGTTTGATCAAATGTAGTCTACAAGTTTGATCAACTATAGTCTACACGTTTGATCAAATGTAGTCTACAAGTTTGATCAAATGTAGTCTACAAGTTTGATCAAATGTAGTCTACAAGTTTGATCAAATATAGTCTACAAGTTTGATCAAATGTAGTCTACAAGTTTGATCAAATGTAGTCTACAAGTTTGATCAAATATAGTCTACAAGTTTGATCAAATATAGTCTACAAGTTTGATCAAATGTAGTCTACAAGTTTGATCAACTATAGTCTACACGTTTGATCAAATGTAGTCTACAAGTTTCATCAAATGTAGTCTACAAGTTTGATTAACTATAGTCGACAAGTTTGATCAAATGTAGTCTACAAGTTTGATCAAATGTAGTCTACAAGTTTGATCAAATATAGTCTACAAGTTTGATCAAATGTAGTCTACAAGTTTGATCAACTATAGCCTACAGGTTTGATCAACTGTCTATAAGTTTGATCAACTATAGTCTACAAGTTTGATCAACTATAGTCTACAAGTTTGATCAAATATAATCTACAAGTATGATCAACTATAGTCTACAAGTTTGATCAACTATAGTCTACAAGTTTGATCAAATATAATCTACAAGTTTGATCAACTATAGCCTACAAGTTTGATCAAATATAGTCTACAAGTTTGATCAACTATAGTCTACAAGTTTGATCAAATAAAGTCTAAAAGTTTGATCACATATACCGGTGGTCTACAAGATTGATCAACTATAGTCTACAAGTTTGATCAAACAGAATCTACATTTGATAAAATATAATCTTTGTAAAGCTGTTATGCTAATACTGCATATAAATCTTTTTTGGGTATATTAGAGAAATTTATTATCATAAAAAAATAATAGAATGGACAGAAAACATAGGTCAGGCAAACACAGCCAAAAGGGCAAGTCTGAAACATGAACTGTAAATGCAGAAAAACAGGCCAGGACTGGGAAGCAATATTAAGAGCAGACAACTCTACCATTTCCTCCAGCTGGTCACGCAGCTCATAGAGCTCTTCTTCTTTCTCCTCAACAACATTATCCTTTTCCAGCAGTTCTTTCTGCAGGGCAGCAACTACATCCTCAAGCTGAAGCTAGGACAAAATGGGCAGGGCACATAGTTTCAGATTTAAATAGTTTATCGAACCTCATAAGCCAATATGGAATATGGTATGTCTTAGGCTTCATAGAATGTTTTAGTCCCTGTCCCTTAAGCCCAACATACACCCTGTTCCATATTGACTTAGTTCAAGAGGCTTTGCTGTTGATCACCCACAATTTTGTGTAATATTTCTTGAATATCCTGTGAAACTAGTATGAAACTACAAGACATTGTCTTACATGATTTCATTTGATATCATTTTATTTGTTAAAAAAATATATATTTAGATTACATCTTTACAATAGCTATTTAAAATTCAAAAGTCTAGCATTTGCTAATGTCAGGAGGACTTTTAAAACTAAATTTATATTAAGTCCTTGTTTATGTTTAACTAAATTTATATTAATTTCTTGTTTATGTTTAAAAGATTTTTTAAAATTTGTAACATGCTTTATTTGATTAAGAAGTTGACACATTTTCAGAGTTGTTTAAGAAGTGGGAAAGATAGAACATATATGTAATTGTGACAAGGAAATGCACTTTAAAAGCTGGATGGGAAATATTCATTAAAACCAAATTAAATATGCAGCCTTGACATTTAAAAAATAATCATGAACATTTAAAATAAAAAATTAAAAATGAACACATTATTAAAAAATGATTAATTCTGCTCAGCAATTAAGAAAATGTCTATGTGATATGACAAGTGCATTCAAACTGGAATGTAGTCTTTTACAGAAAGGCATTGAATTACTGACCAGTGTCTCCAGGGCCTCAGGGTGAGCCTTGTTGTCAATCAACTCCCTGGTCAAACTTTCTATCTCCTTCTCTTTCTCCTCCAGCATTGACTGGACAGTGTCATAGTCTTCCTGGAGCTCGTTCTGTTGACCAAAAAGAAACTGTTTATTTATAAGACAAACCATTTTAATCTATTTAATCAATATTACAAAGAAAAATATTATTTTTAATTTTCAAAAAATAAGTTACACAATGTTTAACATGAAAATGTTTGTTTTTTTAATGTCATTATTAAAAATTTAAAATATTAATATGCAAATATTTTTATTTTCTTGAGATAAAAGTAATTTTGCGCAGACCTTTACCTGAAAACCGGTTAGACTGGTGATCTCATGTTGTAAACTGTCTATTTGAATTATCATTTGGTCCAGCTTGTCCTCCTTCTCATGGAGCTCTAACTCACACTTGTTTTTATTCTCTATGGCCTGTAAGATAAAAAAAAAAAAAAAATTAGGATTCCCTCCTTCCTCTTTCAATGGCAAAGTATATAAAAGGTAAATTATGAGAAACATCAGGTATTTTTTCTCTTATATATAAAAATGTTAAAGGATATCAAACTCAAAGTTATATAAAATACCAACAATTAAAGCAATAAGTAATGATAAATGATTGGTTAAACTTAAGAGGTAAACCCTTTTTGATTTAAAAGACTGTGTAGCAGCAATTACTTCTTTAAAACTGCTAAATGTCTAATGTCTAAGCAAAATAGTTGAGTATCAACAAAGTACAAGAAAATATTTTAGTACTTCAAAAGTACAATTACTTATAAAATGGAGGGGATAGTTTTTTTTTCATGATTAATAATACAAAAGACATAAGTCATTTAAAACTCAACCTATATTTAGTTTGCTTTTTTTAAAAACAATCCCATCATGTTTATTACAGTGCTCAGTTAATGCAATTGAAATGTGTAAAGGGAAATAAATCGTACAGCAGACAACTGTTCTTCCATGTCCCGTAACTCTGCCTCCAGAAGTTCTCGGGCCTCCACATGTTCTTGGATCTGCTGCCTCAGCTCCTCACTGCCTAGTGTCAGCTGATAAATCTCAGAGTCCTTGTGTTCAGCTGAGTCCTCAAGTGCAATAACCTAAAGAGAGAAAACAATAACATTTCATTTTTATAACAGGAACTGGGCCTGCCAACTAATTACCAATCAGTTAGTACAGAGCACCCCAACCAATGTGCCACAAGATGATGCCAGGTGTCGCATGCCAAAATCCTCCAAGAGGCGCAAAGCACGGAGTATATATAGGCACGTAATATTATAAAACCGTGCTGATACAAATGGGACAATAGTTATCTTTTTAACAAGCTGTCAAGCTCTGAAACTAAAAAATGTGTCCGATATGGACTGTTCATATACAGTATGTTCATATACAGAGTAATCTTATACCTTTAAGCATTCTACACCTTTTTATGTTAACTACATGGTGTTTTTTTATGATATTTTTGCATATTTTATTTGTGGTGTGCTCCAGAGTTCTTAGGCTTAGGATATGCCGCACAAAAAGGTTGATCAGCTCCGAGTTAGTATATGAAGGCTCATTTTTAAAAGTTAAACCTGGCAAACCGTTATATTATATGTAAAGGATTTCTGAATTTTAACCAAAAGAGGGTGATATGTTCCTTTTTAAAAAAGAAAAAACTATCGACTGATGTATTTAAAATATAAAAATTATCATATCTAGTTCTAAGTTTCTTCCACAGAGCAATGTTTGATTTCCAAAGACCATTCTATTCCAGTGTTATTTCAAGAGAATTCATGCTTACTTTCACTCCTTGCTCTAATCTATATTTAACACATATCTAGACTCACTAAAAGACTCAGCACACATAAAAATATTGTGTAGTATGTAAAATAACATTTGATCTCTACACATCCATTAATGTATTACTGTGTTGATTGAGATAGTTTTAAAACTACAATAACATGCTGTGCCACAATCCCCCGCCAAGAAAAGATGGACTTGTACCTTATCTTTATTTTGTTGTAATTGTGTCAGATTCTCTCTAAGTCTCTGCAACTCTTGCTCTTTCTCCTCCAGTAACTTTGTGACTTGTGTCAGATTTTCTTTGACAGATCTAAGTTCCCCCTCTCTCTCCAAGATGGTGTCCTCAAACTCTTGTTGTATGCTCGTCTGCGGAAGCAGTTGAGATTAATTATTTTTTAATATATATATTTTTTTTTTTTAAAAGATGCTCATAAATATCAAAATTATAATGTTATATATTCATAATAATCTAAAAAAAAATAACACACTAAAATTACATAAAAATATTCACAGAAATATCTTGAATTTAGAATTGTAAATGTCACAAGTGTAGTGCATCTGCTCATTGAAAAAATAAATAAAATGAATGCTTAAGTTCAAAGAGTTATATCTCAATGTCATTAATAGTTTTTCATTACTTCATACAAACATTATTATATTTTATGTTTTTATTTACAAGAAGATAAAAAGGTACCGGAGCTCTTTTTGTTAATAACAAATGCCTTACGTAATTTATAAAAAATATTCTTTTAAAACCTTTACCAAAAAACTTAACATCCCTTAAGAAAGATGACATTAGAAAAGGTGAGAAATGTTAAGCTTTGAGCATAATCTGTAGTTTTATAGAAATATATAAATTGGTATAAATAATACATTCTCATTAGAATCAAATTATTTATAGTTTGCTTTCATAAAATCATAACAAATAGAAAGATAAGAATTTAGTAAACTTTTTTGTTGTTGAAAATTTTAGTTTTAGAAACAATGTATTAACCCCTTCCTTACCGCAGGGTTTTGGTCATCCATTTTTGCTGACTCAGCAATAAAAAAACCTCTCTTTTTTTTTTTTTTTTTAAATATATATTTAAATAAATTTAAAAATTTTTTTTTTAACAGATGAAATTTTCCGTATATTTCATTCTCTATCCGATTCGCTTTTTAACTTCTCTATAGATTAACGAATAAGGAAATATACAGCATTGAAATTGACGTGACGCCCTTGGTATTTCAGAAAAGTTCTTTAACTTTTTGTTATGATGACAATATGACATCCTTGGTAATTGAAAGTGGGTGACCGTGATGTCTCGTCAACGGTAATGAAGTGGTTAAGAAGATAAATCTATGTCTTAAGCTTGATATTTTTGGATAAGCATTCTGATTATGGTCATTTTCACATTCTCTTATAATTAATCTTACAGTAAAACAGGATTCTGAGGTGTGTCTGTACACTCTGTGTGGAAAAATACAATCCTTTTCATAATGATGAAAACTAATGGTAAGTATTTATCAATTTAAAAAAAAATTAAATTCATTTTAATTCCAAAACTCATGTTAATCCTTACATAATGTTAAATTTTATTAGAAGTATGTCAGGACTAAAATGAGTTGGACTTTTATAACTGAAGAATATTCACTTGTGTTTTTCATCATTATCAAAAGGGTTCCCTTTTTTTCCGGACACAGAATATATTTTAAAAAATAATAAAAGAAATATTTTAGTCTGATAAATGATAGAAGTGAGTAGGAAGTGAATATGTTGAAGGCTCTATACTGGTTTTAAAATATGATGGCGAAAGTTTATGGATTTTGTTGAGCTCAACAAAAATTATTTTTGATAATACATTGTCAGAAGCCAGTTATTTTTAGTATACTATAAGGGAGGATGATAGATTCTAAAGAGAGAGTACTGCAACGGTGTGGGTTATCAGTAGATAATGTAAAGGCAAATAATGATGAGTTGAATAAAACTATATCTTTGATTGCTATAATAGTTTTGTACAACTGTATTCACTGAGCTGATTTTGTGAACATTATCTTAACCACAGTGACATTTTTCACATCACATCTTTCCATGTTTAAAAAAAATTAATTTAGACATTCCCATGCTTTAAAATAAGGTCATTAATATAAAAGTATGTCACAAAATTTACACAACATAGCATGCATTGATTAACCAGACAAACTGCTTGTTATAATAATTCCCTTATTCCAAATGTTAAGTGTTAATCCTGAGGGCAGGGTAAAACCTTAAAATAAAGTTCATTGACCTGGAATAAATTCTAGATTTGAAATAGAATACCTCTTTGAAAGGCCTAGTCTATTTTAAAAAAACACACATTTCTCAACAAAGTATATTTATTAGCTTATTAGCTGCTACATCTGGCATGCAGATTCTTTACTTGAAGTCAAACAAGTCCCACACATTTCTAAAACATCAGTCAATGAATCCACACAATATACATTCCTTTAAAATACATGGGGGAAATAATAAGCCATTGTTTTATAGATAAGCCAGAAGCTTAAAAAAACATTTGACCATGCATTAACTTTAAACTATTTTAATTTAAATCTTGAAACAAAATCATTAAAAACAATCTTATGCATTTCATGTTACCTTAATTTAAAAAATCATATAATTTTTGTATGATAAATGTGTGTGATTTTCTTTCTCACCCTTTTTATAACAACAATGAAATATGTATTAGTCAGGATAGTACAAAGTGGAACCTATGCCAAATAGAGAGGTTACCTTACAATTGGGTTAGTTTTATTAATACTGAAGGATGACAAATAGACCAAAAGAGGTTTGAAATATTAAAAAAAAAACAGAACTGTACAACTGTATTATTAAATGTGCTATAAGAAAAAATTTCTCCTAAAATGGCACTGTCTGCAGCAGTTATACAGATGCAAAGGTTTTGATGATCTCGAAATACTTATGTTTTAAAACAGGCAACTCAACTTTACAATAAACATAGATATTCCTGCTTAATTACGTCACTACATAGATTATACAAGTAATTGAAATATTACTGATATAATTTTAACTATGCATTGAGTATGGTTAGTTGTTCTTTAAAGAGGGCCATAAGCAAAAGAAGTGGCTGAAATGAAAATCGGCAGTAGGTACTGACCCTTAGATCGTCGACATCAAGTCTAGGCATCTGAACATTTAATAGACAAAAGATGCTGTATATTGTTTGCTTTATAAGTGTAAGATGAAAATGTCAAGGACACATGGTGAGAAGATGACTGATGGATGTGACCAGGAAATAATTGTTATGAATAAACTCAATGGCAGATAGTTAAATTGTTAAATAGTTAAACTGTCTTTTTTCTTCTTTTTAATCACTCGATACAATTTTACGTGTTCTGATTTCTGCTTGCTTAAATATAAAATTTCAGATTGCAAGGGTAGAATAATGCATTTTAAAATTGGTGGTGAAATTTCTCTTGATTTAAAGAGGCAAGATACTATGGCCACAGTAAAAATAGGTCACAGATTTTGATGTTGGACCAGAAAAAGAGGATCCTACTGTTGTCAGATTGATTATATTGGGAAAAAATTTAAACAGAAACAAGATGTTTCATGACAGTTTTCTTCAAGATCGTATTTCAAATTTAGTGTTTGAATAAAAAGAAGGCAGTACAGACCTACAAACATATTGATTTATAAAATATATATTTATATATATAAATCAGTAAAAAAAATATTTTTGTTGAGAAGCTGTTATGAAAAAGGTTGATGAGCCACACAAATCAGGTTACATATACAGTCAACTCTTGATAACTCGAACAACGGAAGTGATTTTGTAAAAGTTATGAAAAGTCACTAATTTGAAGGAGAAATAATAAAAGTGGAGTCTGGTAATAAAAACTGATAATTTAGAGTTTTAATATGACATCTGACAAGGTAAACAATGCATATCAAACTGAGGCACATAAAAAAAATAATTACATTATGTACTAGAATAGAAAAGGCTGAGATTACAGCAGGGCTTTAGTACTTGTTAAATATTTATTGACTGTACTTTGCAAGATCCCTTTCAGCCGTCCCCCCCCCCCTTTTGCATTACATGTTCTACATGTATAACATTTTAGTGTGCCATTATGTCCACGCCATTATGTCTGTGCCTGCGTACCATTGGCATATAAATAAATAAGTATGGAGACTTGTGAATGGGTGATAATTTTATGCAATATCAAAGTCCACGTCAAAAGCTCTAATTTCATGATTAAATTCAAGGTAGCAAGAGTTGACTTTGTTACAAATGATTAATTTAACATGTGTGACATCCCTCTCAATAGTCTTTATCACCATGATATTCTTGTGATTTTAGATTAGTTCCTAGACATCTCTACTGAATGTCAGCCAGTTATTTATTTAAATCAGTAAAGCGAAACTCACCCTTCCAGTCATGGAGATATTCAGTAAATTATTGGCGTCTTCATTCATAGGCAGAGACACATCTAAATATGGCTCCCCGCGCCTAAGACTATTTATATTATCCTGTAGATCACTGATTTCTTCATCCTTTTCTTTCAACCTCATTTGAAACTGCCTGATTTTATCCTGTTTAAAAATTATTAAAACACTTATCCCTTTTATCATTTATAATATTAATCAGCATAAATTGTCACATAAATTATATTTAAAACTACAACCTAAAATTACATGTAATTATTTATAAAGAAAAGAAATTTAGAATATGTAATCTAACAAGGTTTGTAAAACAACTGCATTTAGAAAAATGTGTTTTTGATATGTATTATTTTGTGTCACATGCGTGTTGACGTTCGGTCCGAATCACCCCAAGTTGGCTACCCTATTGTGGGAAAATGCTGCTCCATGTTTTTTAAATTAATAATAAATCCCACTTCTGCCATACTACAAAGCTGAAATTCAAACAATAAAGTTCCTCAGTACTGGAAACAAATGGTTACTAAGAAGAACCCAGTGACCAAACCTTATGCACGGCCTCCTCTTGTTGTGTTTGAGTGAGCTCCTCCTCCAATAGCACAATCTTCTCAGTGAGTTCTTCAATCTGTTGGTTTTTCTCCTCCAGCAACTCTGGTGGGAAACTTGGTAGGGAGGAAATACTGGACAGGTGCGACATCTGGCTCTGAAGTTCTTCAAGCTGACTCTGTGAATTCAAATAGTAAAATAAAGAAAAGCTGGGGGGAATATATTTTAATTCTATTTAATTTGCTTCTGACTTTGCAAAACCAGTCGGTCGCATGAAATAAAAAAAAAAATTAAACATTAAGGTCTTGGGCCCTGCTGCATTTTGAATATATACCTTCCAGTCCATAGCAATGAAAAGTCTTTTAGTAGATAACAATGAAGAATTCAGAAAGAAAATGAGGGAAGGCGGCGTGGCCCCATATATCATCCTGATATTTTTTTTGTAATTACATACAATATTTGCATTTGAATAAAAATATGAATGAGGTGCTTTTTTAATCGTTAGAATAGTTCTGGGGATTTATTAGCCCTAGCGGCCCATAATAATAAATACTATAATGAACTCAGGCTAAAACCTTAAAACAACCAACCTTCAGACTTTCATTTTCCTCCTGGGCACTTCCCATGTCTAGAATCTTAGTAACTTTAACCCTTATCAGCTCAGCTTCATCTCTCTTCAACTTTAGGGTATTCTCCAGCACTTCGATTCTGTTGTGTGCTTCACTTAACTGGTGTGAATAAAATGTCAATAATTGGTCTAATTTGTCTTTCACCATAGCACATAACTTATTAACATACTGACTGCACATGCTGAACAACAAAAACTACATATGGACTGATGAGGATATCTTGTGTTATTCTTTTGACTATTAATTAGATTTTACTTTACACAAGGTAAATTAAGTTTAAACCATGATAAATAAATTTCCATATAATTAGGGATTGTACGTAAACAAAGATGTAAGTTAAACATTGATAGTATTTTCAAATGTTGATGACCTTGACATTTGTTTTCTTTATGATGCTAATTTAGCTGCAAACCTTTTCCTCCATTTTTTCCAAATTATCCCGTGCATCCTGTAGTTTAATACGCAGGTGGCTGGAGTCGCTGTCTGCTTCCATGCCGCTGTAGTGTCGCAGCTGGTCCAGCTGGTTCCTGAGTCCAGAGATCTGCAGCAGCTGGACTTGAACTTGTTCCTTCAGAGCTGTGTTTTCATGCTCTAGCTCCTGTATGGGTTCAGGGGCATAGTGTGGCATATACATAAAAATTTTTCATACCTAGTTATTACAAATTATCAAAAGGGTGCAAAGGTCAGCAGTCATTATTAAAGGTTGGGCTGCGAAATAATTTCAAACTGACATCATGTATTACCCTTCTTTGCTGCTCTTCTCTATAAAGCAGACCTGTTTACCCCCAAACTCCTAAAATCGTACAATATGGTCTCAAAATCGTACAATGCAGTATTTTGATAGTAAATAAATAAAAATACAGTATATATAATGTATACAATAACTACTCCTATAGCGTGTTCAGTGGAATCGAGCTGAGCTGGCGTCAAAATATGGAACTGTAAGTAAACAGTAGATGACTGACGTTAACGGCAAACTGCGGTCACTTTGTTTAGCAGACGTGTATCGGCTAATACATATTAAAACTTGACGTCAGATAAGCATAAAATAAAATGTATTAAATTAAGAATGAATTACCAGTTAACAAATTGGAACCCCCACCTTTTTTGTGTGTGCCGTACAGTGAGCTTTAAAACACCAGCCCAGAACCCCCCCCCCAACCCCCCATAAACTTAACAAAATCCATTGTATATTATGATGTTACAGTAAACAAAATGTGACACGGGTTTTCACTACTGGTGATTCAGCCCAGTGGTTCCCAGAATAAACGCCACATCGCCTTGGGTGCTCGTTGCCCTCGGTGGCTGCGGCTTCCTCATCGGGGCGTTGCGAAATATTTTTAAGAATTCATTATTTTATTTTCACTTTTAAACCAATGTGACAACTTTCGGTCGTGGTGCAAACAGTAACTCACTAAGCAATTGCTGTTTGCATTTCCCGATGGCGCTCAGTGACCTACATACACGTTATATTTATTTTTATCCAACCTTTATTTTATTTGTGTATTCGCTATTTCGAATTGTACATGATAGAATTCAACACAGGGAGCCTGGTGAAAACGTAGTGTGGCATAGGCGCAGGGAAACGAAAATTTTAGAACCACTGGCGTAGCCCACCGAATTATACGTAACACGTGGCCTTACCATTCAGTGGAATAAACATTACTGTAATTTCTCTAATACTGAGTTTAGGTATAGCTAGCGAGTTCATTTGTGAAAATACATCTTGACAACATCACGACGGTTATTCCTGCAAACATAGGCTGGTAAATATCAATGTGCAATTTTAGGACTTTCAGAGTTTCGGGATGAATAGTGTAGTATTTTTAAATACCGCATGCACTATCTGCCGAGGAATATCCTCCCCCCCCCCCCTTTTCCACACCCCACAAACTGACATTACGAAAATGTAGGTGGCGGAGTTGATTTTATAGATTTAAATATTTAGACCCGCACCATACACACTATCTCCTAAATCCACACCACTCATTTTGCCTCTGATTGCTACTGAAAAGTCCGACTTGCAGAATGTGCAGTGCGCGTAATGATGGACCCTTCTATGAAGACCTCAACACTGTAAATTGTGTCTCATATTCAAGCAAGACTATCAACTTTCTTTATCTTTTGTTGAAGTTGATGTTTATCGGTAGAAGTAGAAGTTTCTTCTTCGTCATCGGTTTCGCGTGCATTTCTTTTTGTCGAGGCCATATCGTAAAATACTCACTAAGTAAACTAAACTAGGGGACCGAAAATAAAAAGGATCGCTGATTCCATTAATGGTAACATTAAAATCAGGCAATGTGCACACCCGTCAATGTAGCCAAATTCGAACGCCAAAGCTGTTTGGGAAATGTGACATTCATGCATAACATATGTGGTACGCAAAATAAACATTAAAAAGTTGTATAAAATATTTATACCCCCCCCCAGCCGCACCTTGTCAACGTAAAACAAATGACCATCTTACTATTACGTAAAACAAATGACCATCTTACTATTACGTTAAACAAATGACCATCTTACTATTACGTAAAACAAATGACCATCTTACTATTACGTAAAACAAATGACCATCTTACTATTACGTAAAACAAAGGGCCATCTAACTATTACGTATTATGTACCCGCTGAGGATTTGTATGACAGATTTGATTGGGGGGGGGGGGTCAACAGACTGCACCTACATTTATGCATACAATAATTATCCTGACAGTCTCTTATAGAGCCAACTGTCATCTAAAAATCTGTGAAATCCGTGAATTTTAATTAGGCCTTTTATTATTAATATTATCAAGGCTATAAGAAATATTACAAGATTTCGCAGTAAGCATACAGGCCTACTCATATAAGCTACTAATAATGCTTTGTGTTTTCATAAGACATCCCTGTAGTTGTAAAATTGAACATGACATATTGATAACACACTGTAGTCAGTAATTCATCTTTCCGTGCTGGTGACGTAATTATTTCCACCGGGCAGAACCCCCCCCCCCCCTCATTATTGGGGAAAAAATTGAGCCGTCGTTTGATTTTTTTTCCGTTTAAAAAGGGGTGGGGGTGGGGGGCAGTATTAGTAGTGATACCAAACTGTGGTATTACGATCGCTGAGGGTAAAGAGCTGCTTTGCCAGTTCTACCAATATTTTTTTAAATGCCGCTGACTAGCTCTGATAAAATACGTCCACATCCAACGTTCCAGTGCAGTAACAGTGGGATCATGTATTTTATTTTAAAACCATATCGTCTCTAGTTTTCCCCATTTTCACAATCGCCGCGGTTCAAGGGAACAAAACTACGTCACACGCTGTGTAGCAGTCAAAGGGGATGGCAGTGAATAGTATAAATATTACCGGTGACGCAGCTAACTAGGTCAGTGTGACACACAAAGCAACAGTATGACAATCATCACCATCAATACGATACTTTGCGGTGATATTTTTATAACCTTTGACACTCCGACCAACCCCCCACCCATGTGTCCCGTATGCCGCAGCTCTCCTTCATTAACAACCCCCACCTCCCCTTTCAGTGCGCACATAATATAATGAAGGATGGCCCCAACTTTAAAAAAAATTACAACCAATCGTTTTTCTCGTTTCATTCACTGCCAGATTTTTATTGGAAAAGGCTAAAACTTCAACAAACGAATTTTAATCGGAAAATTTTTTTTTTTCACCGGCTCTCTGAAAATCGTAGTTTTGGCGGGTCTCGGCGTACAATCGTAAAAGACATCTCAAAATCGTACATTGTATGCCAAAATCGTAAGAGTAAACAGGTCTGATAAAGATATACAAAGGACTAAGAACCTATTTCATTTTATGTTTAGTCTGCATTCATTTTTCTGTTGTTGTTTTTTTTTCACAATGGCTTTCGCTTCAAAATAATAAATCAAATTAATGGCTTTTTTTCGTTTTTCTAAGACCTAGCCAGTTTCTATTTCCACCAATCCGAGGGTTGAAGTATTTTTAGAATCAAAGTTTAAGAACAGTTTCTCATAATTAAATTAAATATATAATTGAATGTTGCTGAGATAAAATAAATTCCATCAATTAAAACAACAAAATCTACCTGTTCAACCTGCTGACATCTGCGTAACTCTTCTTCTAATGAGATCATGGACACTCTCTGTGTCTGTACGGGTGATAATATCATGGGAGGACTCCGCTCCTTCAGGTCCAGACTGGCACTGCAGTCATCCTCAGTACTCTCTGCATTGTCATCTGTCCTGTCAGTCAGTTGTCTCTCAAGTCTTGAGATCCTCATCTTGAGTTGCTCTTCTATGCTTCCCCTCTGGTCCAGTTCTTTTTCCAGTTGGGAAACCCATGTCTGTATATGGGGAGCAAAGTTAGTAATTTATTTATAATCTAAAGCAAGGGCGAGATACAAGACTATACAAGATGTATGGATCTGACACAGGAGATAAAATGATGATCAAAGCCTACATAAGATGTTGAGATCTGACACGGGAAATAAGATGATGATCAAAGATTATACAAGATGTTCAGATGTGAAACAGGACAGGATGATCAAAGATTTCACAAGATGTTGCGATCTGACATGGGAGATAGGATGAGGATCAAAGATGACACAAGATGTTTAGATCTGACATGGGAGATATGATGATTAAAGATTACACAAGATGTTTAGATCTGACATGGGAGATAAGATGATGATCAAAGATTACACACAATGTTTAGATCTGACATGGGAGATAAGATGATGATCAAAGATTACACACAATGTTTAGATCTGACATGGGAGATTAGATGATGATCAAAGATTACAAAGGAAAATACTCAAAAAATGTAATTTCACTATTAAATTGAATTATTAATCTTCTTTATGCATTTTTATTCAGCATTTAAATTCTGTCTATGGTAAACTTGTTACTCTATCTATGTCAGTAAAGCCATCTACCCACCTTCAAGTCATGAGCGCTAAGTTCCTTGTCTTGCAAGGCCTTCTGCAGGTCAAGTGTTCGTTGGTGCATGTCACTCTGACTGGCGATGCGAGCCTGGAGCTGCTCCGTTAGATCAGTGATCTGTGAGAAATAAATAAATGATATGTGGCAACATTCAGACTAATGAAATCACATAAGCAACATAAGTAAATGACATATGAAGCAACATTCAAAACAATGAAATCACAGTAACAGATAAAGTATCTCCATAAATGTCTCTTTGAACTTTATTTAAACCTTGATTAATCATGGTCTCAAATCATTTGAACCACTTATTTTCCAGCAAGTGTTCTAAGACATTTTTAAATTCCCTTTAAAAAAAGTAATCAAGGACAAAATCCAGAGGTACGTATTAGCGTCTTATTTGAAATTTATTTCAGAGGAAAGTATAGCAGTGATTTCTTTTTTAAAAAAATTTTTTAAGATACGGCATAGAAAGAAAAAAATATTTGAAATAGGCTGATTAAATAAATTTAGAATTAACTTAAACCTAGAGAAAACTTTTCTTTCTTTCTGTTGATCTCTACCTCTATTTGAAGTCTTTGCTGTGCATTGGAATGTCTGTCCTTTGCATCTAACATCAGTTCAAGTCTTTCAATCTCTTTCTGATGCTCTTCTCTCTCTTGCTCTCGCTCCTGTATTTGTTCCTTAAAAAAACACATAAAAGGAAAGTCAATCCTAGGACTATGAAGTTTACTTTCCAAGTCCATAATCTTCAAAGGACTTCATGCAACTTTAGGAGACATCAAATAACATAATAACCATGTCTTTGTAACGCCTTAGATATTATGGATACTTAATGAGTGCGAGTTTTGCTGGAAGATAAGGAGAGACTCCTTTCACCTTGCAAAGATGATAAAGAATATTTGGACTAAAGTTTACAGCCTAAATGGCAGCAAGGATAACTGGGCTCAGGTCCTCTAATCTCCAAATCAATAGTTCTGATATTTTATTGGCTCATGACCCTATAGAATACAAAACACTAACCTTCTCACCAAACTTAAAATGATTTTTTTAAAATTGTATACTACCAAAGGTAGACGGCAGAAGAAAATAATACAGTTGCTTGCACTCATTAAAAATTATTTCTTCAAGTCTGTTCTATATGTTTACTGTGAAAATAATTATTTTAACATTAGGCATTGGTCTGCCCTGAACTGATGCACAAGTATTGACTTTGGAATCACTATTAAAATGGTATTAATATCACTTAGTAGTAAGTCTATAAGTATATCATCAAATTTCATTAACTTTAAATGCAGAGGTTCTTAACTCTAGTGCACTTTTAAACTATTTAAAAAAAAACAAAAGGATCAGCATCAATTCAAATTAAAATTAGAAAGCATCGTAAATAGATAGAGCAGAGGAACACCCAAAGTTTGTTTCATGCAGGGGGTTCCACAGACAATTGAAAACTCTACTGTATCATGGTGTGACTTACATCTACAAAAGCTTTACTGGCTTTAAGCTGTCTCTCAACATTCTCAAACTGCAGTCTGAGATCTTCCAGCTCATGAGCCTTCTCTTCAATGGCTGCCTCATGGCGACGTTCTGACTCCTCGGCCTGCGTCTCAAGCTCGTTGATGCGTTTACGGGTCAGGTCAAGTTGCTGCTGAAACTGATTGGCCAGTTCCCGTTTGTCTTTGTTCAGAATGGCAACTTCCCCAAGTAAAGCTGTTTTACAATTAGGAATATTAAATGTCAGACCATTTTTAAAAAAATGGATGAGCAAACATTAAAATCTAGATACATGACATCCATAACGACGAATGGGACAAAATTTTGTTTGAAAATGTTGTCCAAAAGAAATTTAAATGACAGAACTGAACATTGTTAAAATTGCAAAACAATTGTTAGAAGCTAAGGCTCAAATCAAAGTCTGGAATAGCTGTACAGCAGGCAGAAACAGAAAATCTGACTAAATCTTTAACTACTTTAACAAGAACAAAAACAGAAATAAACTTCTCCTTTGACTAGCTGCAGTAAAACAGAAAAAAAATGTATTATCTTGCAAAGAGTGTATACGTCTGTCTGTGTTTTTACTTACTATGCAGATAACCATATCTTGAAATTGTGCCTTTTTAAATAATAATAAAGACTATTTTTAGCTCACAAGAAGATATGTAAAGAAATGTAAAATAACTTTTAAGTTATATAAAGTCGTCTTTTAAAACGAAAGAAATCATAAATTCTAAGGCAGAAAGCTTTGTTGTATAGATCAGATAACTCTTTTATTCATTAAGTCATTGATTGTAAGATTACTATATAATTCACACAATTATCTTTTAAAATGGTTTCCTTATGAGTGATGTTGCCACCAGCAAATAATAATTTCTGAATGCTTTGTAAACAAAACAAAAGCAGTTTCTGACCTTGACACCAAGCTTCTATAACTTCTACAACAAATGAGTGGATGAGCCAGTGTTGGTTTGCATAGAACTGATTGCATGGGTTGGTCATTCTTAAAAAGGTATCTTAATTTTATACCACATGCTTGGGTCACTCAAATAAAGATAAAGAGGTGACAAACCTGGAGCACCATCCCCTACAGTCAGCAATGGTTGGGGCTCATCCACTGGGTACCAGAAAAAGACAAACGAAAAAAGAAAACATGCTCAAACTACAGAAGTACAACATAAAGTCATGCAGGAAATGGTCATCTAATTTCATTTAAACTGGCTTCGGCAATTATCATCCTCACATGTTCAAAATGAATGGTTTAAACTAATTAATTTCACATTTATTTCAAATAAAATATTTCTTGCTATAATTGCTATTAAAAATAACAAATGTATTAACTCTGTATCAAAAATTAATTCAAGTTCACATCTGAACATTCCGTTTACAATGTTAAAAAGTACTCAAAAATGGGGAACTTTATTGCACATATTATTGATACATAAAATATTTATTTATAAATCAACTTTGCTTTTACCTTGAGTTTTTAAAATTTATTATCATTATTATGAGAAGAAATGGATCTGCATATAAACATATTTGAAATAAAAGCCAATAAAAAGTTATGTTTTCAACATATTTTTTCAGGTTTTATTTGAAATTTTCAGCCATATATTTTCCCGTTTGATTGCAATTTCTTAGAGAATCTTCCTATAATTAAGTAGGCTTTAACCAAGTGATCTGGTTAAAATAAAATGGTTGGTACACACAAAACAAAATAGCTATTTGAGAGAATTTCTTAAAAATGAGCCATAAAACAATAGGGGAAATGGCAGCAATGAATAATAACCTAACAGCATATTAGTTTAGACAGTAACTTCCACCGGGGCCAGCTTAACAGCAACGGGAATCTTAAGGCAAAGTAATCCTATTCATCAAATTATATTACGAAAAGCATTTTCGGCTCAGGTTATGATTTATTTTGATCCCCCTCCCCCACCAAAGAAAACAAAATCTAAAAACGTGTTCACAAAAACTTGGGAAATGTCCCTCCCACAGTAATTTGTTAGAAAATGAATTGCCAAAAATATATTTCAATATTTATTAACAAAATAGGCAGCATGATGCTCCTAAAAGCATGAGGCCCCCTAAAAGCACAATGCCCTGGGCAACTGCCCTGTGTGCCCATGCCTTAAGATGGCACTGACTCCTACCCATATATAAACTAATGGCATAACTAAAAAATTATGAACTTACCACACACACAAAAATTATTATAACTGTATGTATTTCATTCTTGTATAAATTATAAAATCATGCAAAACCTCCACCTTTGTCAATACAACACCAAAATCTACACCAAGAAATGACATCTTATATATGAAAATCTTTTCATTAACATGCATTATTATTTTAAAATGAACCACTCATTTTTAAGTTTAAAAAGCCATGACATGAATAGTTATTTTAAAATGAACCACTCATTTTTAAGTTTAAAAAGCCATGACATGAATAGTTATTTTAAATGAAAATAGTGAATAAGGAGCAAAGTTAAAAAACTGCTATTTCAGAGTTGTGTAAGTCTACATTGTTGGTGCTGTATGGTTAACCACAAAATAGGGTGACAATGAGATATTAGAACACTAGACATGAAAATTGTTTCATAAGTATTAGGATCTAAGCTCATGTACTCCAACCTGTATGTAATTAGATTCCATACATAGGTGAGGCTATGTTGGGTGTGAAGGCACATTAGGCAGTATTTGCATTAGGGTAATATTATGGGCGCACAAAGGGAGAATGGCAAGAAATGGGGGGAGAATAAATAGTGAGTCGGTTTCATGAGGTTATGAATGTTATCATTGCATCAGGGAATATTTATAAGTCTTAGTCTGCAGTCAATAGTTTAATAATTTGAAAAACAAACCAATATTCATTTTTCTTCTTCCTTTTTGAAAAAAAAAAAAACTTAGTTGCTAAATTGGAATTTATTATGATCTATTTTGTGCCTTATTTTCTTTCCTATTATTTTTGTTACTTCAACTATAAAGGTAAAAACTAAATTTGTTTTTAAATCCTCACCGAGTTTAGGACCATACATTAAATGATAAAAATCATAAAAGCAAGAGAAATGTAAGCTCTAGGTCATAGAATCACCCACCGGAATTTCTTTGATAAGAAGAGAAACCAATTTAAAAAGCTTCACTCCCAAGAGAGCCTTACCTTAAGTAAGAAATTGTCAGCCAGAAAAACCTGAACAAACTGCTGAAAAAAGCTTGGCAAAGAGTTAGTTTTAACCTCCCAAATTAATCAAACCAAATAACTGAAAAGACCATTTTGCCAAAACTGCATACAGACTCATACCAGGACCATGAGAAAATTATTATTTGATTGACATGAATTTTTTTAATAAGCCCAGCCAGAAAAGCAAAATATTTTTAAAAAATGTATAACCCTTTATATAGGGATTTTGTTAGTAACATCAAATGTTTAAATTATAACTTGAGTTTTTTTTTTTTTTTGATGAAATCAATTTTATGAACTCCTAATTTCATGTTATGATGTCAAGTCATATTAGGATTCTAACATGTAGTACACGAATTGAAACTAAATGTATTTTATTTAGCAAAGCTGTATGACTTAGTATGAAAAGGAGCGATGAGCTACATGTACTATAAAAATTCAACAAAGTACTTAAAATGGGCATAGAGGATAACATACAGCCTTTTTTTCCTTTGGTTCAAACAGAACATAAAACAAAAATTGAAACATAGCAGATGATTCCCTAGGGTTGCAACATTCAGGTTAACTTGATCTATACTGGTCTAAAGTTGAAGCCTGGTTGTTTAGGATGGTCATTTTTAACTTGATATTATTTCAAGAGTTTAGTTCAGATAGCTGTATCTTAATTAAATTTGCTTGGACCATTGCCTTGAAGCTATCCCATACCGTTGTTGAAATGAGCCCTTTCTATAACAGTTGACAAATGATTGTAGATCAGGATAAATAAATTGACAAGGTGCTATGTATTTCACTTGATATCAATTTTAAATTGTTATTGCTTCTATCTATTTTTTTATATGTAAAGGTGGAGTTGGGGGATGGGGCTGTGATGTGTAGGTGATGGCATTCTAGAAATCCAGCTCAGCAGCCCCCTTCCTAATCCTTCACAGGTAAGAATTTTCTCAGGTCTTTAAATGCTTAACCTCTTAAAACCATAATCGTAGGGAAAGCTCACTTTTAAAATAATAAAAGTCATTGACTTTAAAATTATATTTGGTAGTTCAATTTATTAAAAAAACAAAATTTACTGATCATTTTTTCTATGTCTTATGGGTTTCAATTTTCAATTTTTCAAGTCTTGACCACATAGAGAAATGTAAGAACAAAATTAAGAGAAAGAATCAGCAGTATTTGTTTATTTACCCTTTTCTTTAACAATAAAATTGTAATGGAATAAAAAGTGGAGGTTTTGCATATCTAGCATGCATGAGTAAATTTCACAACAAAATCAAACAAACTAATAAATAAAAATACATAAAAATAACCCCGTACATCCCCCATGTCTATGAACCTGTGGCATGCCAGCAGCTTATGTTGGTCCCTACGAGGTTTTACTATATCATAATCTTAAATGCAAATGGCTTAAATAGAAAAATGGATTAGAATTTGGAATATAATTATTAAAATACGTTCTAGCTTGATACTCTAGCCATTCACAAAAAAATTAAAATATTTGCACCTTAGAGACAAAAAAAAATATTTTATTTTGAAGCTAATAAACAGGTAAATAATAAAAACCTTTTAGAAAGTGATACGAATGTCTGTATGAATTAAATTTGAATAAAGCAGACAGCTTAGTAAAATAATAATTTAAAAAAAAACTATTATGAATATAAACACTAATTAGTTTTTATCCCACTAAAAAGTAACAATATTTGTTTTAAATGGTTGTTACAGGGAACCAGATAAAATTCATGACGCAAAGTAATTATTCCACCTGATAAAGTAAATAATAAGAAAAAGCCATAACATTGTGTGTATTAAAATGATATCAATAATATTAGTTTTTGGTTCTGTTTGGAGGCTGCCTTCAGTAGAAAAGTAAACAATATCACATGGAACATCTCACAGGAGCTTTTCTTTTTATTTTCAACAAACGCTTTAAAATTACATTTTTATTTATGGTGATCAAGATGCTAGAAAAGATGTTAGCACAGCACTTACATTAAAGTTAACATGAAATATGGAACATTCAAAGGTGGAAATCAAGAGAAGTAACAAGTATATGAAAATTAACTGTAAGAAGAACCCCACTTTAAGTCAAAATTCTAAAATAATTACTTGTAGAGTAAGCTTACAATATGGTTTTTCAATAATTAGCCAATTTAGCCCAAATATTAATGTAATGCAATGTCAATCACCGCCTATGAAATATTGATCTAAATTTTAATATCTAGGATCTAAATTTTATAATCAACACCTTTCCCTTCAAATTGAATTATTCAATTTTTTCAGAACTTTCAGTTTTAGAAGATTATTTCAGAAAAAACTATTTGGCGGGGTTCAAAAATTAAGAAAACAAAATAAAACTATAAATTCTATATACATGAACAGTAAAGATGTTCCGGGTATATTATTCACTAGGCAGCCACCATCTCTGCAGTAGGTATGCCCCAAAGAGCACACCTATTGGGATGATGATCATGCCATAAGCTGAGAGAGAAGGAGAGTTAATGGATAGTAAACCTTGTATTTCCTGGCCAGGGTTGTCCCTCAGGACTTGCTGTTGGTGGTTCAGCTCTTCCCTCATTGTGTCCATCTCTGACTGAGACCGCTCAAAGTGCTCCAGCCGAGACCGTGTCAAGTCTAAGTCAACAATCATGGCCTCCCTTTGTTGCTCCAGAGACTGGATCTGGTTCTCCAAGGACTCCCTTTCTGAGCTGTATCCTGATATGAGGCCTTTAGGTTGGGAGTGGGAAATAGTTTTAATGTTTGTGACAAGAAAAGTTACATCAAACTTTGTCTTTTTTCATGTTACATAAAAATGAAAATAGAAAAAAAACATGGAGACTTGAAAGATTTTTACTATTATTTCCCATTTGTTTTTTCAAGCCTTTTTTATAATTTTTCACTATTATTTACCATTAAATGATAAAACTTTAAAACCCAGTACTGTGCATAAGATTCAAAATTTAATTGACTAAAACAATTCAAGGTTAAAAGTATTTAAAAACCATGAGGTATAATTTTTTTAAAAACTTGTACAGATAAACCTGGCAAACAATGCTATCATTGATCAAAAGCCTGCACTTATCTCCAAGATTATGCTGAAAGTCATTTGGCTAAATGTCCACTATGCTATACTTGGTTCAGAATTTTCTCTCTCATTGTTTAATTTAGAGCGGAGGCTACAAAAGTGGGAGATGGAATGTTTGCAAATAGGCACATAGTGAACTTGTCAACTCACCTTCAGCCTTGTGCAGCTCCAGGCCCAGGTAATCTTTGGCCTCAGTCTCAGCTGCCAGTTGGGTCTGAAGGTCACTACACTTACTGGACATGGCATCCATTTCATAGGCTCGTTCAGCTAGTGCATCCAGGAGTTCCTGCTGGGTCTTCTTGGCCTCAATCAACTGGCTGGTTGACCTTTCCATCAACTCCAACAGTTGAACAACTGATGTTTGTAGGCGACCTCTAGCATCTGTCACAAACAAAACCATTGTTTTGTTTAAATCTCAATTAATGATTCAAGAACCCAGGATCAGGTAATAAAAGACATCTCAATTGAAATTGGAAAAAAATTAAATATGGCAAAACATTGATTTGTCCCCACACATTTTTTTAGCATGAGATTGCGTGAGCAAAGAATTCAAAATTGTATACTGAATTTTATACCTTAATTAGTAAATCAACTGATTGCCTCTATTCATTACACTAATATTTTGTAGGAATTTAGTTGGTCATAATGGAGCTTCATCCAATTTAGCTTTCCTTTCGTAATTTAATTATATAAGAAAATATATGAAATAAGAACTGCTTGATGCTCTAACCAGCTAATATCTCCTCTCCTTCAGCATCCAGGTCAGGACCAACAAAGATGCTCTCAGCAAGCCTCTGTGAGATTTCTAGACCTTCATCAATACCATTGGACTGGAAGCTGGTGTTTTCTAATGACTGGCTGTCATGGCTTGAGTCGGCATCTTATAAGAGGTGCAGAGTTGTAGCAACATATTTAATTACAGGTGGAAACAGTGGACAGGTGGGCAGTTTTAAGCATTAAAATGTTTCTAATAAAGTAAAAAGTTCAGATATCTAATATCAATATAATTAAAATATACCAGATTTGTGAACAACCTCATCAAGGGAAATGTAATCAAATTTAATGAGGACAACAAATTTCTTATTTTGATAAGCCCAATCTCATTTGCTATATGACACACAATGTACCAAATGCTTTAAAATGATGCTTTTTAAATAAGTAACATAACTTTGAATCATTCTCTATTTCATTTCATAAACATAGTTAAACAGAGTTCAATTTTTTTTTAAATTGGCATTTCAGTTCTTTTAGATTACCTCCTTTCCTATCATTTCTGTCAGTTGCTGGGAAGTTCATTCTACCTTGCCTTTCACCTCGGAGTCCTGAGTCCCCATTTGAGGGCCTGGAGTGACCAGATGCCCCACCTTCGGTTGGTGAAATGGATCTGTTGGACACAACTTGTGTCAACCTTCGATTTATGGTGTCCTCCACGCCAACGTATGTCTTGACGGAATCTGACAACAGGCTCAGCAGGCGGTCATTTATACGCTGCACACTTTCTCTGGTGACGTCAATGGTAAAATTAGCCAATGAAAAGTAAGTATCACTACTAATGTTCCACAAAAAGTCTTGTCATGATAGTTCTTATCCTAAACACAGCCCAGCAGGACATGCACAAATGACCACTAGTTTAAATGATAATGTTTGCTTTTTTTAAAAAACAGATAAAATTCAGATTAATTTCTGATATTGATTTAATTACAATACAGTTACTTGCAGTTTATACCTCTCGGAACTTATCCTATCCAGGTCTGATTGTAACATGGCCACCAAAGCGGTGTCATCCCCTTTTAGTGTTCCGGTTGCAAACTGAAGAGAGCCCTGAGGTGGTGACATGGAGCCAGCCGCCTGAAACTGGGCCAGCTGTTGGGTCAGTCTCTCGACTTGCATCATGAGCTGATAAAAGAATCACATCCATTTAATCTTGAAATGTTCATACTCCTTTTTTTGTAGAATACATTTACCACTTTAAATCTCTAGAAACAATGATAGAGAAAATGTAGAGATGCTGTAACTGATAAGTTATTCCAAGTAGGCCACTAGAAAAATTAAACAGTGGCATATGGAATTTTTTTTAAAGCAAAAATAAATTAAATGTATTTTATAATATATGCATGTGTACTCATTCCAATCCCAAGCAGTTTTTTCATTGGAATGCCATTTGGGGGGTGGCATAGCACAGAGGCTAAAAAAAAAATTAGCTAAGTTATAATACAACAATATCTTTGAAGAAAAATAATTACAATGGCTTTTATTATTATTTATTTCAAGTTTTAAGTTTACATTTTGATGTGAAGTTAAAAGGTGTGCTACAGTGTTTCCTAAATGTTACAAGTGTTTTGATATAGTGAACAATATCAGAATCACAATATAAACTGAAGACATGATAACCAACTCACTTGTTGAATCCTGTGCTCCAACTGTTGTCTCTCATTTACTGATAGCGGTGGGGGACTTTTCACAACATCTGCAAACGTTCTGATTTGGATTTCACAGTGCTCGATTGCATTTACATTTGGATCAAGTGGTTCACTGTGGCTGCTAGAGCTCACGTTTTGCTCTGTGTCTTCATGCAGACTATCAGAGTTTACATGTGAGCCATCGGGATCAGGTCTGTGCACAAGCAGGTCACCTGATCCATAATGGTGGCTGAACTCTCCTGATTCATTCATGTTGATGGCACCATCCGAGTCATCTCCAAGTTTGACAGGTGTAGATGTGTCTCTGCTCCCATCATGGGAAGCACTGGAGGTATTCTCATCCTGAAGGGTGAAGTGAGTCAAGTGATATGGCTTGTGTAAATGGAGGAAAAAGATAGGGGGGAGAAAGAGGATGTATAAATCTACCAAGCTAATCAGTAATCAAGCTAAGCACAGTAGTGATTTCAAGCTTGCTGGTTAAGGGCCAGATCTGTTGCCCAAATAAAGAATGATCCCTACCACCATTCCATATAAAACTAGTCCACAAAATATTTGACATTGCCATATTTAAAGGTTTGCTCAGTAAAGAAATATCCATCCAAAAATATTTGTGACATTTGTTGCCTGCAGAGACAAGAAATCTAAATAAAGCCTGGTAACTTGTGAAGCATATGTACCCTTTCTTTAAACTTGAAAGTGGCTTTTCAACAATGATGGAAAAAGTCATCAGATCATACAAACACTGACCCTTACATTTTGTTCTCAAACACATCAGGTTATCAGGTCCAAGCAACAATAAATCTCATAGCTCTGCTTTCATTGAGTTATCAGGTCAAAGCAACTATATACCTCAAAACTCTTACAAATACAACCTCATACCTGAAAACTCAGCATGATCTCTTCTATTTCTGGGAGTGTGAGATTCTTCTTGTCAACCTGGTCGCCCTCACTTCCCCGGCTGTGGTTTCTCAACTCATCTAGTTCCATTGTAAGCCGATCAATTTCTTCCTGTTATATAAGTCACTTATAGTCAGCGCAATGAACAACAGTTTTCAAAAAAAGTTAGACATAAATATTTGAAGACTGGATTAAACACATATAAATATAAAAATCTAATACAATCATTTTAAATAATCATTTATACAAATAAGTGAATTTTGCTAATAAATTGTTACTATCTAAAATTTAAAACTAAATTGTTACAATTTAAAATTTAAATATAAATTTCCTTTTTAAAATTTAAATATAAATTGTTACTATTTAAAATTTAAATATTAATCTTAACTATTTAAATTTATATATAAATTTACTGTTTAAAATTTAAATTCACTTTTAAAATTTAAATATAAATTTACTTTTTAAAATTTAAATAAAATAGCAAGAAAAAACACCTAGGTAAATTTTTTATTGTTTCTGAATTTTGAGGTTATTTAAATTCAGTGGTCCATGAGATTTGAGAAGCCATTCCATACCTGGAGTCTCTGCTGCTGTTCGTGGAACTGATCAGTTAAAGTCTGTCTTAGCTGCTCCAGCTCCGCCTTGAATTTCTCTTTCATCTCTTCCTCCTCTTTTTCCCTGCCTCCCATTAAATCTTTCATTAGGGTTCGATGTTTTTCAACAAAACTTTTCTGTTATAAAGATAATAATTATTGTCTTATTATGAATCAAAGTTTAGAAACAATCCATGTTTGATCTATATCAATTAATGTCTTGCCCATTTGATGAGTGTTCAAATCATGCGAAATATTAACATTTAGACTTTTAAAGTGTCCAGCTAAAAAAAAATTAAATTCCATTAAAAATATTTATTGTAATTAAATAGATAGAACTAATAAGTATGGAATAGCATTAAAAAAAGTTGGTTTTTTAATAAACATAAATGGTGTGACAAATTAAAATGCAATAATTATTTACTGTATAAATAAAATAAAAATTGCACAAACAAATAAATTTAAGTAATACAAACAACTCATGGTCATTAAAATAGTTTTAAATTACAGGATAATTACATTAACCATTATATGCACAAAATTAAATAATGATAAACAGATTTAACAGCTAAAATGTAACCTTTTCTTCCTTCAGCATGTCATCAAAATCTTTCTGCATGAGAGACTTAGTTAATTCCAGTTGCCTGTCATATTTGTCTTGGAAAATCTCATTTAACTGAGGATGTTTACCCATTTCAACCCCTGAAACATTTTCAGATTACAAACTTAAATCATAAATCTTGCCATCATCTGCTTACTTAAAACCAAATCCAAAATAAGTAATAAAAAAAAGAAGATTCTGCTAAATTTCTGGTATCAAATATTACATATAGATCAATAATTATTAATTCACTTTTAAATTTTTTTTTATATAATTTACTAAAATGAATGGTAATTGAATTTATAAAATAATATTATTTTCTAAAATTGTATGGCATTTTAAAGTTTTAAATTTATATTGTGCAGTTTTGTCTCTATGGCAATATGATCTATGAGGGATTCCCTGATTAACACAATGAGTTTGACATGCTAAAAAGGTAATGCTGCCCTTAATACCCATTTGTTTTTTTTCCTTCTCTCCTTATTTTATTTTTAACCCCTAGTATGACTTTAGCTTTTGTGAGCTCCTGAAGTCATTGAATACCCAGAATAATCCTATGTGATCCTGCTCACTAATGTACAACCAGACTTGAGTTATACTATTTTTTTAAAACAAGGTTTAAATTTACTTATCATCCTGAAAGTTCAGGTGCAAGCTTAGTCAATTGTTTAACTCAGATTTAAAAAAACATACAGTACACATCTTTTTCTTAACTCCAACTGAAACTGGATGAAGATATAATATACTCGAAACATGCTATTAAAATATGATGTCCTGAAACTGAACTATAAAAACACCAAACAATTTTGTTACCTTCCATGAGGCGATCATATCTATCTTCAGATTCATTCAGCTGTTTACGTAAGGCTTCCATCTCTTCCTGGTGTTTGAAAGTCAGGCTTGTCCTCTCTTCCTCTGCTTCATCCAGTAAACATTTCAACTCATTAAGTCTGGCCTCATGCTCCTCTTGAATGGCCTCCATCTGCCTCTTAAAGTCTGTATTTTCCAATGAATTTACACTGTCAGTTTCAACATAGGTCAGGTGTGAAGGACTAGAGTGGGTAGATGGTGTGGCTCGGCCACGGTCACTGAGACTCTCTGATGGCTCTTCGACATTTGTGGAGCCAGTGTTGTCCAACGAGTGGACCTGATCACTGCCAAGCATGTGGACCTCATTTCTGTCCAGCCTGCCAGTCTGCATGAGTTCTAGCTGGGACTGATTGTCACTGTCACTCTGCACAGAGCTGGATCTGGAATGTAATGTTGATGAAGAGCACTTCTGGGAGGAAGAAGGAGAAAATGGTTCTGTTATGGCACTTTGGGAAAGATCGCTGGGGACTTTGTCATGTGGTATGTCAGATTCCATACGTTGGCCTCCAGCTTGATCAAATAAATTGTCATTTGTGGAATGTCTGGCAGCTAGCTCCGCCGCCTGCCTTCTTAGTTCAATTTCTAACTGTATCCTGAACTCGGACTGAATTGTCTCGAGCTCAAATTGCTTGTCATGTTCAAACTCTTGTCTCAGACCCTAGGGTTTTGGTGGTTTAATAAAAAAAAAAATGTAAGAATGTTTAGGCAAACATCAAACTATACTTTGTAAATATGTTTACATATTGATGTATTAAATCATGCATGAATGAAATGAAGAGTACTGTTAAAACCCTGGCCACTCCATGACTCCCAATGCAACGGAACGAACGCAATAACATGATTATTTGTTGCCGTTAATGGATATAAGGTCTGGGTGGCCAACAAAACCCTTGCCGATGATTTTAGTTATGCGGCCCTGAGAAAGCCGCTTCTAGGCAATCGTTTTGTCCCAACCAGACAACTCCCTGGACGGTGGGGGGAGGTAACTTAACACCTTTCCCCCAGAGAGGTAGTAAAGCCATTCAAACCCAAGGAGAGTGGACGCGAACGCTTTAAACGCAGCATTTCAGTCGACTGGATGTCCCCCAGGCCAGGGGAAAGGTTCCCGGCGTGCTTCCGCACGGTTTGGGGGGGGGGGGGATTAAGAGCTTGCGCTTGACGACCCACCGACGCCATCTCCAATATGACGTTATTAGTAGCAGTCAGATAATCATCAGTAAAATGTACACATTTCAATCAAAGTGTTTGACACCAACATTTTGTACCTAATGGCAATCACGAATAACTTAATTAAGGATCAATAAATATATAACAGATTTCAATAACATCTCAATTCTACAATATATTTTAAGAATAAATGTAACTAGTTATAGATTGACTAACATTTGCGATGGCAATGCATGAACTTCCCATCTACTAAAGTAACTTGACAAAACATGAACTCAAGTAACGCACATTTAAGAATCCCAATTTTTGCTACACCCCTTCCCCCATGATATGTCACTGCACACTTTTATTTCATGCCCATGAACTATATTGAATATTTTGATGTCCCAACCACTTTTCTGAAAAGACAATATTACCCACCAAATGCAGATGCGTTATTTTAAAAAAAATATCATTTAGCATAGTTATCAGGAATTATATTTTGTGCTCTATTGAAATCAATACTGAACCATATTTTCTTTCAAACATAGTGAATTATATGTAACATAATTCATTTTATTAATTATTTCTATGTCTATTTATTGAATAAAGAACTCCATTACTAACACACCATTACTAACTACGCCATCACTGCTCTCCTGCTAAAACATAACAACATTAACAATGCCATTTTCCATACCCAAATATACATCACAAAATACAAAGCATATAGCAAAAGCTACAAAAATAATCTCAGTACCAAATACGCTGAATAGGAAGCAGCCAAAAATGGGAGCAGTCAAACCAGAAGCATAATATATATAAGAGATTATTGGTTTCTTTTAATTTTTTGTTTTTTAGATTTTTTTTATAAAGACAATCATTTAACCCATGTAACAGACAATAAGAAAACATTTAAGCCTTACCTCTATCGTATCCTTATAAGTGTGTTCCTTCTCCTCCATCTGGTTCCTCAACTGCTGTTCCCTTTTCCTGAAGATTTCCAGTTGTTCCTTCAAATCATCTATCGTTTCTGAATCATCTTCAAGAGTCAACTGATCACAGCTATTATTGTTACTGTTATTATAATTATTATTGTTGTTGCTGTTAAAATTACCCTCAAATAATTGGCTCTCCCCCAGACCTTCAGAATCACTTTGTAGCTCCTCAAGCACAGATGAGCCAGCTCCAACGGTGTTTGAGACCTCTTGTCTCATGGCATCCACAGAATCATCTCCATGGATGCCACTTGGGTGACCGTTGGTTGTAATTTTGGACAAAGAGGACTCCTTCTCCTGCAGGTCTCTATACAACTTTTCACTCTCTTTCTTCTCTTCCTCCAGCTGATTTATCTTGGCGTCTTTGTCCTTAAGCAGCTCCTCCAGGTGATAACAGCGGGACTCGGCTGCATCAACTTCTTCCTGGAGGTCTTTCACCATTTGCTGTATGTCAGAAAGTTCGGTTTCCAGCGATTTTGATCTCAACTCCTCATTAGCCAGTTCATTTTGCAATTTGTGAAGCTCTGTGTCACGCTCTAAGAGATCAGATTCAAGTTTTTTCATCTGTGAGATGAGATCACCTTCCTCTGAGCTGACTGTCCCATCATATATGTCAATAGATTCTACAACAGTGCCTACGTCATGGAAGATACCCTGAGCTTCATGCTGGGTTGAAGATGACGCCAGGTTTGGTGTGGGGGCCTCAGCCATGTTTTTACCGATACCAGACAAAAGAATGGAGGATATCTGTTCCTCATACTTGTCTTTGATTGAGTTTAGTTTATCCTCAAACTCTATTTCCATGTTTTGAATGAGGTTTTCATAATGAGATTTAAGATTGTTGTAGTCTTGTTCCAACTTCTGGTGGTGTTCCTCAGACTCTTGCTCCTGGAAGTCTGAAACAAATCACAAATGTCAGATAGATCATGTGCCACCTTAGATTAGACAAGGTACTTTTACAAAATTCAAAATTGGAAACAAAGTATACATTTTTAATATTAGAATCATATTCACAATAAAACTAAACCTTGCAAAGTAAAATTTAGTGGGCAACCTTTGATTGGTAAAATATATTATCCTTTTTTTTTTTGTCTACTGAAAACTTCACATCTAATTATCAAGCCATATCAAATACAAGCATTTAAGATAAACTTTGCTATTCATGTTCCCAAATTTATGAATTTCTATTTGGTTAATAATCAAACAAAGTACCACAGAAACATGTTTTTAATATCTCCAATTTGTTAATCAATATGTTTGACAACCACCTGAATTTAATGATTACTTAGCAGAAATGTTCTAAAAAAAACTTTTTTTAATGGGCCGTTATGGGGATGAAACCCTGAGCCCCAACCTTATGAGTCTGATGACCTACTGCAATACTTAATGACCTGTTTGAATTGCTGGTTAAATTTAGATAGATGGATTATATTGGAGACATTTGGTGGCCATTTTTTTGTTTGCTTTGTTATTTTAGCTATTTTATTTTTCAGCATAGGTAAATCCATCAAACTTTAAAAGATTAAATTAAGTCACCAGATAAAGCTGTGCACCACATTTCAGTTCAAAGCATTCCAAAAAGTGGAGATTTGATCAACTGAATGTCATTACAGCAACAGTGACACATACAAAGTGTTAAAAAGCATGTGCTCACCACTTTGAGAGCTAATTTTCTCATGTAAGCTGACAAGCTGTGAATCATATTGCTGTTGAATGTCCTGCATCTGCACTTCAAGCTTGTTAACTTCTGCGGCTTGCTCTGTCATCAGGTCAGACCGGGACAGTAGCAAGGCTTGGTAATCTGTCAGAAGCTTAGTTCTTAGTGAAATTATCTCCTCCTGCTGACTCAGTAGTAGATTTTGTAATTCTGATATCAGGAAAAAGACAAGTGTTAATCAAGTTAATGACTTTAAATGGACATTAAATTCCACTTTTAACTGTGTTTATCTATTCCACAGAATTTTTTTGTTCATTTCATTCTTTATCCAGTGCTTAGCAATTATTCTGTAATTATTAAAAGCATGTAATTTCACATTCATTGCGACGACTATCACATTCATATTCAAGAGTGAAAATAGTCATGATAAGGAACAATTGTGTTTCCCATGTCTGATGTTTTATATATTTTTTTTAAAGAAAAAAGTGCTTAACCGGCGCAATCAATCTCCATTTGACACAAAAACTTTAAAAAGTCCAACAAACCAAATTGGATGAAAGGCATTACCTTGTGATGTTGTGGGTGACCCTGATTCCAGGACACTGTTTGAATTAGTGTCATTGTAGAAACTTGTCTCCAGGTCTTGGCTGATCCGCTGGAATAGGAGATTGATAATTAAATGAGATTATAATTAAAACCCATAGAAAATGGATTTATTTATTTATTTTTTTATAAATCAAAAGTTAAATTAATTCTTGATACTTATTATTAGGCTTGAAGGTGGACTGATAGCTAACTTGATAGCTAAATTGATAGATAACTTGAACTCTGTTATAAGATCTGGAAAGAGCATGGTGGGTAAGGCAAGACCATTTTTTTTCTTCCATATATTTTTAAGACTTCAGAGAATGCATAAATTATTTTGGTTTTCTAAAGTTCATGCAGGAAATAAAAAACAAATTTATGACAAGATAAAAATGTCTCTTTCTTGAAAGTTTCTTTATAACATTAACAATAGTAAACAAGAAGAATAATGTAAACACACTGAATTGTAGTATATTAAATTGGTATGTTGAATATAATATGATACAACTATTGAACCCACACACCCATATAAATATGGATGCATACATACATGCCCATATCTTCATCCCTCAAGTATTACCTTCACAAGCCTGTTGTAATCATCTGTTAATGAAACATTGACCTCTGACTCTGTAAAACAATAATTCTTTATTGTAATGGAAAACTTTATTATCCAGTGTTTCAGACACATGTTAAAATGACTTAGCTAATATTTATTATTTGCTGTGCAATTAACAGCTTTCCAAATTTTCTAAAACATCAAATAGTTCTTTTTTCTCTTCTCCCACGGTCCACATTTGATGATGTAGACAATGTTGCTAAATAAAATATTTCATGGCTGAAACGAACCGTGCTTGGAGTTTATCCACACTGGAGATTACATACTTATGAAAACGTGTGTTATAGTTTGAGTTAGCTCCTCTATTATGACAATCATTTTTTTATTTAACATATTATTTATTGTTTGAAGTAATTTTCAATCCATTTAGTTAGCCGGCTGGGACGAACCTGTAACATTGCCGGCCCTGAGTCTGTTGATCTCCTCCTTGTGTTGTTTCTTTAAGGCCTCCATCTGTTGTGTGTGCCATTGCTTTTGTTCTGCAGCTTCCAGCTGAGACTTGCCAATGTAGATCTGCTCGAGGGATAACTTCAAGGCGGCCAGCTCCAGAGAAAGCTCATCCTGAACACCAAAAACAGACAACATAAACCACTTCTGCCCTTCCTTTGAAACTAAGGGGGGTGGATGTATTTAAATCATATCATTAAATTTTTTTAATGCATAATCGAAATAAGTTTGTTATTTTTTTATGAATCCATGAATAGTTAAAACACCAGGATTTTAAACCATTTTTTTACAACACACTAAATTTAATCTATAAAACAATTCTGTGAAGGACCATTCATGGCCTTTTTTTAAAAAAAATTTTCACTGTTTCAAAAAGGAACACAATCAAAGCAAAGCATTATTTTATGTCAATTAGATTGTATGGATTATATTGTAAGTCCTTTAATAACTTTGTAGGTCGAGTACCCAAAAATGATCCCTTACATCAAAATCTTGGAATAAACCTCTGAGTGTTACATGACACACTATTTTGATATCTGGTAAAGAACAGTTGTAATTAAACTTAATTACTTTAACCAAAGATGTAACAAGCTTTCACCTGATGTGTTGAGATCAGGTTCTGGAGTTCTTCTGTGTGAATATGGCTCAAAGCTGTGATGATCTGATCCAAGGTGTCTTGCTGTTCTAAGTCAAGATGGCTGCGTAGGTCTGACAAGGCCTTTTTAATGATAACAGTGGATATTTAGTATGGTTTCAAATTTAAAAAGGGTTATTTTATCAACACTGTTTTAGATAGCTAAAGCAGAGCGAGAAAATAATTATTGTCCTACTGACATCTTAACTATCTCCAGATAAAATTATGTAGTCCAATACAGGGATAAAAATTAACTCTACTATTTCTTCAAAGCAACCTGATGTTTTACTTCCAAAAATTCTCACTTCTTTTCAAAAACTTTTTAAAGATGTTTAAAAATATTTCACATGATCTGGATTTATAAAATTTTAAATGATTTTTAAAAAAAAGAGTAAAAGAATTTTCCTAGTTTAAAATAGGTAAAACACAAATATGGAGAAAAATAATAAAATTCTAAAGTAAACATTTTTTAATTTTTAACCTTGGTATACTCTTCCTGCCTCTGTGCCATCTGCTCCTCGTTGCCTCTTCTTTCTGCTTCCAGCTGCCTTTGTAAAGAAGCCAACTGGTGCTCATACTGGATCCTCAGTGTGTCAACCTGGACAAGCCATTGGGTGAAATCATTGGTGATTTATGGCAAGTGTGACAAACTAGAAAAGATGTTGTGTCACAGCAATGGTGAATATGGCAAGAAACTAGCATTGTTAAAAAGTAAACTATCAAAACCCCGGGTCTGTTGTCTCATCAAGAAAAAAAACCAGTCGTACACAGATAGCTGCCTTCTGGATTTTATTTATTGTTTTCTTCATATTTGAGGGCCACGATCAATTTATTGATCATTTTGGCTCCTGATTTGAATTCAGGGTTAGCCTTCTCTTAGATGAGTTGCCTTCCAAGGCTAATGAGTCCCATCTACCTGGGGTGCTTGGGATTTTGGCTTTGGCGGGGATTGAACTCCAGACCACCACTATTTTAGTTTAGACCACTCGGCCACCCAGCAACCTTGGCCCAACTGCATTTTTTAGCCACGGCGGACTCAAAGACCCCCCCCCCCTCCCCCCAAATTAAAAACAAACACCTTTTTGCCTTTTTAGCCTTTACACTATTTTAGTTTAGCCCACTCGGCCACCCAGCAACCTTGGCCCAACTGCATTTTTTAGCCACGGCGGACTCAAAGACCCCCCCCCCTCCCCCCAAATTAAAAACAAACACCTTTTTGCCTTTTTAGCCTTTGGGGATATTTAAATACTAATAAAGAAATATTCAACAAAGAGCATATGAGTTTGAAATCAATTTAACAGATGGAGCGAAAAGTATGGTTTAAAGTCAGGTGTTAATGGCAATTTCTGCACAGAACAAAGAAAAAGGCAACAACAAAAATTATTCAAGGAATCATCTATAAAAGTTGGTAGGCCTACTCTGAAAAAACAACTACTGGAGAATATGGATACAAAATGTTAAACCATTGCAGCACATTGCTAGCAACAAAAGTTTCTAAGAGCCACACACACAAATATACAAAAGGACAACGTAAAGAACAATAAAACAACCAGGCGTTTACAGCAATCAATCTCTGGTCTCTAAGTAAGTAACGAAATAAACAAAAGTGATGGTTTATTTAGATGGTAACCGTCTGTTTAAATATAGCTATTCTTTAAAAAAATATTACCCCAACTATCGGAAATTATTAAAACTATATAAAAAAAAACTACACTTTAAATCGATGTCAAGTTCAACATTTGTTGAACAAAAGAAGTTCTTAAAACTTTATTTTGAGGGGGGGGGGGGTTTTATAAAAATCTTGAGAGGGGGGGGCCATTCCACTAAAGTTTGTATTGTTTGAGGCATTTTGAAAGCCCTGTGTTGTCCAAGAGCAGCAATTGAAGCAATTAAAATCTTGATTAAAGCTAATACTACTGTCTCATAAAGCCTACCATTAAAAACTTGATTTAAGCCAATACTACTGTCTCATAAAGACTACCATTAAAAACTTGATCAAAGCTAATACTACTGTCTCATAAAGACTACCATTAAAAACTTGATCAAAGCTAATACTACTGTCTCATAAAGCCTACCATTAAAAACTTGATCAAAGCTAATACTACTGTCTCATAAAGACTACCATTAAAAACTTGATTAAAGCTAATACTACTGTCTCATAAAGCCTACCATTAAAAACTTGATCAAAGCTAATACTACTGTCTCATAATAAAGCCTACCATTAAAAACTTGATCAAAGCTACTACTACTGTCTCATAATAAAGCCTACCATTAAAAACTTGATCAAAGCTACTACTACTGTCTCATAAAGCCTACCATTAAAAACTTGATCAAAGCTAATACTACTGTCTCATAAAGCTTACCATTAAAAACTTGATCAAAGCTAATACTACTGTCTCATAAAGCTTACCATTAAAAACTTGATCAAAGCTAATACTACTGTCTCATAAAGCCTACCATTAAAAACTTGATCAAAGCTAATACTACTGTCTCATAAAGCCTACCATTAAAAACTTGATCAAAGCTAATACTACTGTCTCATAAAGCCTACCATTAACAAAAAAGGCTGAATGTTTCAATCAAACCGTGAATTACTGCACCGTGAATTACTGCACCGACCCTCCCCGCTTCCCCTTCTCTCTTAAGAGTCCAAAATGTCTCAGATGGTTGATTAGCTGAAATGACCCTAACCGTTAGTTAAACTAATGCAAATCTAACTACACATCTATTACTTGATCATCGCTACTACTATAGGTCAATTAAAGTGTAAGAAAAGAGTAAAGAATTAGTTTACAACAGTCAACAGACACCTTTCGATTTGAAGTTCTAAGGTTTTATGACATTCACGGTGAATGTTAGTAGCTGGTGGTGGGGGCAGTTGTGAGCAAAGAAGATAGTAAGGAAATGAACCTGCCGGACAGGACTTTGAGGGTTTTATAACTAACACTATAGAAATAATGTGTACTCAAGGAACGGTGTATAGACAACGTATGCCACCAGGTCGTGGGACGTAGGATCCTTCTTACAACAAAATAAAACGTGTTTATATAAGATATTTATGGTGACATGCACAGTGGGTCGTGCGGGAGCCTAGCTGGAATCCGCCACTGTGCGCTAAATTTAATTTTTTTTTTTTTTTTTTTTGCATGGTATCAGTGGCGTAGGATGGGAGTCAGGGGCGCCTCTTTTTTTTCCCCCTGAATTGAGGGGCCTGCATTTTCGGCCAACTGCAGGGCAGTTTCTGTAGCACGTGCGGGCAAATATGAGCATAATTTTACTATCTCTTTTGGTAAGATCTGAACAATAACGCTCCGAGGCGAACCAAGTGTATTTGATTTCGTGAGGAAAGCACCGGCTCCAACTCACCATGTCTGCAAAGCCCGACCTCTCGACTAACAGTAGAGGAACTGATCACCCAATACCAAACATCAAAAGACGCTCATATTTTACACACAAAAAAAACTCTACAGGTTTTCTACCCACCCAAAGACATTCCAAGTGAAAGCCTTGTATTCACTAACGGATATCTTATATTTATATCTTATATTTCTGAACAGTTTTACATTTCCATTCAAAGGGTTGATTAATGTTTTAAAATTCGATCACAGCAAGGTTCTGTAAGACGGCACGCAGGTAATAAAAGGCCACATATATGTAATGTGTTAGTTTTTAGGTGCCTTGTATACCCAGAGCGTGCCATAAACCCACAATCAATGCATGGCGCACCCACACACGGGCACCAATAGATAGCCACTCAGAAATAAAGGTATTGGTTAGCGGGTAAAAGTAGTTTGAGTGGAGGGGGAGTTGTGGAGGAAGTGGGAGGGGTGGACTTGTGGGGGTAGGGGTATCCTGGTGAAAGCCAATAACCACAAACTAAGGTAGTAAAATTCTAAATGAGCATGTGTGTATTAAAACAAGATTTCAATGAACTGTCTCTGGACACGTTCCGTTTAGATTGTGTGTCAGTGACAAGGGCCGGAGATGAAAACGAGTGACGGTAAACGTAAGGCAGGGGTCAATCGTGCCACGAGCTCCCATCAAAAATAAATTGACAAGCCACGTGCTCAAGTATTCATGAGTACCGTGCTCTTTGTGGAACTACACTAAGGCACTGCGATTTACCATGAAACCTCTCTGCAAATGCAAGAAATAAGAGGTGTTTAATTTCTAAGTCATAGGCGTATACACAATTCTACGAAGGTTATTGTTTTATTGATGCTACTACATCTTCCTTACAAGGACAGAGAAAACAACCTTGGAAGATTTAAATCCAGTAGCGGGCGAGGGGACGACCGCCGTGGGCAATATGGGGGTTGGGGAGGGGGGGGGGGGGTAAATTCGGTGGGTTTTTTTATATTTTGGTTGAATTTTCTAAGAACAAAAAAATGTTTACAGTACCAACCATATAATTATGCTAATTAATTACTTTCCCTTCACTCTTTGCTAATTTCGATGTTTAAAAGTAAAAAACCTTGGAAGATTTAAATCCAGTAGCGGGCGAGGGGACGACCGCCGTGGGCAATATGGGGGTTGGGGAGGGGGGGGGGGTGTAAATTCGGTGGGTTTTTTTATATTTTGGTTGAATTTTCTAAGAACAAAAAAATGTTTACAGTACCAACCATATAATTATGCTAATTAATTACTTTCCCTTCACTCTTTGCTAATTTCGATGTTTCAAAGTAAAATTTAATGATTTTTTTTTTAAAATACATAGAGATCTTATTAACCTCAATGCATACTTTTTTTACTTCCAGTTAGTATACTTCATTTCATTAAAAATATATTCAGTTGTTTATCTTTGCGCCGATAAACAAACATATATATATATATATATTTTACAGTTCTTCACTTACAATGTTCAACTCCAATCAATTATTTACAAATATGGATCATATTACTTAAGCTTTAAATAGACATTGTCTAAATAATTGTAACCATTTTAAACATTTTTTGGACAACATGCACGGCTAAATAAAGGCGAAAGGCTACCTAAATTTTCAGCCGATGTCTAAACAATGATATTTTAATGCAAGCCAGTTGGAAATATTACTTTGGAGGGGGACAAAAGTAATTTCATTGCAACATCTTTCGATAAATGGAATATTTTTGCTTCAGAATGCCATCAGAGCATTGTGACCTGGTCAGGTGTCACCAGGGCATTGTGTCACCAAAGCAGGTTGCCATCAGAGCATTTCTTTCCCTAATCAGGTTGTCACATAATTAGGTTGCCACCAAAGAAATCAGACGCTATGGAGATCCACTAAGAAGTCAAAAGGTGGTGACACCACGAGTCAGCAATTTAAGCGTATCAATGGAGCCACGGAGTCAGATAATAACAAACACAATTGAACTTGATACTTCAGACAACCTAGTTATCCGCCAGAAGCCCAATACTAGTGACAGCACTGATCACCTATACTTGCCTAGCGTTCTATTGCAATTTTTTAAAAACTATTTAAGTCTTACATGTAGCGTTAGTCGATGACGCTCGCACCGGTGTTTCAATTGTTTGTTTCCCCTCGAACAATCCTAAGGTTTTTATAGCGTTTACGGAAAGTAATTTGATGTCAAACTTTTACCGAGTTTCCGTAAATGTACAGATGATTGGCAACCCATATATATGAGTTAAAGCTGAGAAATGTGTTCATATATGGAAAGTAATGAACTGCTGTTACATAATATTTAACTTGTCAAGAATAGTAGTTACTAATGCCAATGTCATAATGTATATACTTATAACTTGCGAAAGGGGAGGGGGCGCAATTCCCCCCCCCCCCGGGCGGCATTTAGTTAAGGTACGCCACTGCGTCAGTTCGCAATCCCAACGGCAGTTATCGCAGATCACTCAATGACATCTAAAGACTGGACGGCCGGAGTCTTTATGTTCGACGTTTGTGTGACGTCACATTTCGATCTCGGGGTCAGACTTGTTCACATTTATGCTGTTCTGTGTTCAAGTCACCACAGGAAATAAATGAGGAAAAAAAAAGAGATAAAAGGGAAAAAGAGATAAAGAAGCAAATAAATACTTTTTAAAAATAAGACGACCCATTTTGAAAAGTCTGTAATTTAAGCGTAACTACACCAATGGGGCCACGGAGTCACAAAGTAACAAACACAATTGAAGTTGATACTTCAGACCAGTGGTTCCCAAACTTTTAAGTTTGGCGGACCGGTGAACAAGTTTCGAAATTTTACCAGGGACCGGTGCATGATTTATTTTTATACTTTTATTTCTATTTGACAATAAATATGTATGTTTTGGGGACCGGCAGCGTTAGGCATGCGGACCGTCATTTGGGGACCACTGCTTCAGACAACCTAGTTATCCGCAAGAAGTTCTACACATGTTATGAAAATAACGCCTCGGATTCCGCGTTCACCAACTTTTCTTTCATACGAAAACAATATCTTTCGTGCTTAGTAGTAGTACCGTACTGAAATAGCTTAGAGGGGTCTAGGGAAACACCATGGTAGGGGATGATAAATATTCGCTATAGTCAATAGCTGTTGTTTTTTTCTGTTTTTTTGTTTTTCTCATGGTCACAATAATTACGACACATCTAGATTACCTTCTTGTTGGCCTTCTCAACATAAAGACCGTCAGGAATCCAACTGATGCACAGTCCGATCTCCCCGTCGGTGCCGACCAGGGCCATGTGGCCCTCCTCCATCATGGCCACAACACAGCTGCGTTACGAATAGATCCACTCCACCTGGTCTCCCGGCGTGGACCATAAGTACATACCCTGTAAGTCTACAGACTCTAATCACAACCAAGAATAACAATCACCGCATTGAATCGGACACATTTCTTTAGGAAGTCAAGTAAAGATGACGAGATTTATTGGTCTAAGTGTTCACAGGGAATTGTGTTCAGAACGACGTGGGAAAATGTCACATTGTTACTATCCTCCAAGTCGAATTAGACACGTCGTGATTTAATGGAAGGTTTAAAAGTAAAAAAAAAAAATTAAACTTTCTGCAGTATCAAGGAATGCAAGAGGATGTATATATAGATTTGTTTTAAAATCATAAAATGCTTTATTAGCCATACATTTAATACTTATAACAATGTTTGAGTTCAATTTAACTATCCGTCGAAGTTCCCGAAAGGAACATTGACAATAGTTTCTATTGTTAACTGGTCATGCTCCATGACCTTTTACATGAAATAAACCTTTAAAAAAAATACAACCTTTTTAAATAGAAAAAAAAAAATTATAAAAAAGTAGGCTTTCAAATAAAGTCGTTAAAGAAAAGTGGGTTTATTCTCCTAGGTATTGATCCCCCCCTGTACCTTGCCCATGAAACAGGGTGACTGCACACCACGCAGTGCTATCCTTATGTTCAACTCTTGGACTATCCTATCATTGACTGCACACCACGCAGTGCTATCCTTATGTTCAACTCTTGGACTATCCTATCATTGACTGCACACCACGCAGTGCTATCCTTGTGTTCAACTCTTGGACTATCCTATCATTCACCGCGGCCTTACATGGCTGATTTATGTTTTTTTTTGGGTTTTTTTAAAGTCCACATTCCTGGTCGACGAAGCAGATAGCGATCAATCAATATTTTATAATCGATCGCGTGAAAAAGAAAACGCAGAAACTGTTGACTTAAGGTCGACTGTATTCTAATTTCTCCTCTGGAATATCCCGGGCCTCTATGAAGGCCTCCATACGGCGGCACAAAGACCGTGACTGGTCGTGTGACCGAGGAAGATAAGTGACTGGTGTATACCTGAGGACCTACCAGTCCGCAAGGGGGAGGTCGATCTCAACAGTGCTGCGTGCAGCCATCCCAGGAGACCCAAACCCCACTGGCTCATTTATTATTTGTTCGAGATTAATTAATGCTTCAATCCTAGCGGGAGCCCATCATTACAATCTCAGTGTAGTAAACAACAGTATTACCAAGTACCTGTATACAGAGAAAAGCCCGAAGAGTGCATCCTTAGTTAAGTTTTATGGGGGCAAAAAAAAATAAATCTGGTTCCACTATCAATTATGTAACCAAAGAGAAGCGACAACGCCACGCTCTGACAAGTTCTTATCTACATTTTCATTGTATCATTAAAACCTTGATACGATTGGGCCATAAATCCTCTAGTCCATCATGTCAATACAAGTTATTAAACGCGTCTCTAACACTACATAGAAAACCTATCTACGTTCCTATAAATGTCAATATTTGATTACTCCACCCGTCCTGATCAAAGTTCTCACCTTGGATTCTGGCATGTTGATAAAAGAGTGCACACTTTATATCACTAATCCACTTTTCCAGCAACCCCTGACCTCTGTTTCTAATGAATCTACTGAGGAACTTGGTCAAGTATATTATACTTAGCCGTCCATTCTTTGTTAAAGCAACCATCGAACTGCACATCCATTGACAACGTTTTACTAAAGTACAACGTGTCCTGTGTGCTGTCCCCCCACCTTCTCATTCGATTGTTTAATTATGAGCTGAATCTGGTAACTAAGGGAAACGTCTACATCTCTCCGATTATGGCGATGGTTGCTTTAACAAGGAATGTACAGCTAAGTGGTTTTTTTAATATAGTGCGCCTTTGTTTCTACACAGACACCGAGAGAGCTACATTGTCATCGGTGAACACTTAGCTTTTTTTAATGTCAAATAATTTGTTCTTCTAGTTTTGTATTACCCGAAACGTCCTTTGAATTAATGTCTTTTTTCTTTCTTTCTTCAAGCCTATAAATATATCCTGTTCCACTATTTATTAGCTACTTTATAGAAGAGGTACTTTCAAAAGTTGAAGACGGGCCGGTACTTGTTACTTCCACTACTGATACACAAAATTCAGATTGGGATAAAGCAATGGACTGTCTACATACATAAATACAATAAACAGGTGTCATCAAACGGTCGGTTCGAGGTATACATCAGTCACTTGAACAATGGAGTCGCAACAACAACATCGTGAAATGAATATGGTGCCGTGAACCACTTGGATGAATGGCACTGCATGCTCTATCAGCTCTAATGTAACTAAATGTAAGCCCGCTAGATATAATACTGGTCAGTAGAAGACATGATAGGGTCCGAGACGTACGGAGCTGGCAGTGCTTTACCCTTAGACTTTAACAAAATGTTATTCTTCCCCTTGGGGCGCCGGTTGGGTAAAAAAAGGGGGAGGATTGAGGGGAATAATTTGTGTTTGAGGGCAGTAAAGATATACATTAAACAGCTATATAAAGGGGTGTCCAAAAAATTTTTTTTTTAAATTTTAAAAAATTAAAATCATTTTTTTCTAACTTTGTTTGGTTTTACTAACTGTTCGGTTGCAAACAAAACATCAGTTAATATTGCCAATCGATTGAGTTTAGGAGCAAGAAGTTAAAAAGAATATTATGTGACAGAAGGTGAAAATTTACAGAAAATCAGCCTTGCATTTGTAACAGTCATGCAATGCTTGTGTGTGCCCCTTACATGCCCAAGCATGCTAAGTGGAAAATATACTTATGAAGCATGAATATTTTAAAAAAGATGTTTAAAAATCTTTAAGTTTAAAAAAATTTAAATTACACAATTTTCAAAATGGGAAAGCGTTAAATCCAGTTGTTTATTTTATTTTTAAATATAAACAAATTATCGGATATCAAAAGTCCAATAAAGAAGTTATCAAGTGCCAAACAAATACATCAGCCACGACCGACAGGGTGGTAGACTGGGAACATTTATTAGGACACACGCCTTGATTTTTCCCCAATGAAATACACCTGCTTTTGCTATCGATTATAGGTTTGGCTGATTAATGTTTGGTCTTGGCCGATGAGTTCACCTAGCGTGCGTGTTTTCATCGGGGTGGCGAGTCGGGACAGGTAGAGCGATCAATCGCCACTCTTGTCCTCAGGCCATGTTTGGACAAGAGAGGAATCACGGTGCTTCTAATTGGCTGGAGGCAAGAGACTGGGCCGTCACGAGAAGATGAAACAATGTTGGAATGGAACGATAGTAGAACGTATCATAGCAGGACGACCCAGGTGAATCAAGCTCATATATAAAGGAACAACCTGTACAAAGGCAGGAAAGGTACAAACTTAGATATAACGGGAAGGAACATCATCAACTGGGAAAATCTGTATGACTAAAGACCTCCGACTCCAGATCCGCTCTAGAGATCTTGGGAAAGAAAGCGGGTACCACGCAATTAGTTGGCACCATCATAGATGACGTGTGCAAGATCGGTGAACTAGGAGGAACGGTGACAGCGCAGTGGATTCCAGGGCATGTCAACGTCAGTGGCAACGTAAAAGCAGACACTCTGGCGAAAACCGAGGGTGCATATCCTCAGCCAGATGTACCAGAAACTTATCTGGGAATCAAAAACTGGTTGGCGGACCATTGCCAAACGAAATGGCACAGGCAGTGGGCAGACAAACCGACAGCCAGAGGCGTTTTCGGTAACTTGGCGACTCCTAGCAGACAAGACCCATGTTGGGGGTTAGGTCGCAGGCAGCAGAGCCTAGTGACACAGATGCGCACTGAGCAGTGTCCCATCGGCACATATTTCAACAGGATAGAATATAACAGGGACCCTACCTACCGGCATTGCAGCCTGGTCCCGGAAAAACTAGCGCATCTTTTTGACCGGATGTCCCTCACTAGATGTTTCGGGGGAGGCCAAGGCGGCGGAAGAGTCCTACGTGAGGAGAATGTTATATAGCTGACCTCGGCAGATGGGGCTGGTGGCCAATGTACTAGCCGGAGTCATAAGCTTCATAATAAGAGCGTAATCTCAGACCCTCACCAGAATATGTGTGCTATTTAGTATGACTAAAGCCATCGCGAAAACACGAGGCAAATGAGGAGAAAAGTTTGAGAAAATCAGTTCCTAGGCCAAAAAGCAACATGAGTATAGTTGCAGGTGGAAGTTGTTATTTTTTCGAGTTGGCCTGCTATCCACCCGCACAATAAAATTATTTAAAAATTTAAATTGACATTTCTGTAACATTCTTTGTACCCAAATATCAGACAAGGAAAACGGTGAATAAAAATAACAACAAAAAAAGAAGTAAGAGAATAAATTTTGAACAGTCTTGTACATTTACTTAGTATTTCATGTACTTCATTGCCATTGGGGACCGATGAAAAAGACTAAATTTATAAGAAAAAATAGAATTGGAATAAGCAAACTAAAGGCAAAAGTACTACATTGCAAGCAAAAACATATACAGCAACAAGCACACAAAAATGAATGCCATAAAATATAATTTTAAAAAGGCACAAAGTGTGTGAAGAAAATGCAAGGCAAGTACATTAAATGATATCAAACAGGCAGTGTTTAGGTAAATATCCTACCCTCAAGTCTCAACAGGTGCACCACGCTAATAAGTATAATACGGTAAATGGTTTAGCTGGGATGCTGAAAGTCATGTGAAAAAATGTGGTAATTTAGTTGGGAAAAAATGTTTTAAAAAAAATTCACATGAAAAGATGCATTTAATACTTTCCTTCATTAATTCATTATAGACCTTTTGATACTTGTGTTACTTGTGTTATTATGATCAAAGGAAAATTTCGAATAGTTTTCTTTTTAAATTTCACAGTCGTCTCGCGTCCACTGACAAACCAACCTACAAAGCCATTGTCAAAACAGGCCATCACCACTGACAACAACATATCCCTCGTCATCAGGCAGCGTTTTTAAAGGGGAGAGTCCGTTTTAAATGGGCCCGTAATGGTGAGCAACCAGTGGTACTCACCTGCTGCATAGGTAGGCTGGGGGGCGTCACACTACCAGGTGAGATATCCTCGTGGAAACATGGCATCCCATGTCGGAACACGTCCAGTGTCAACGTGCAATCCTTGTGTCACATTCAATAACAGTGCCAGCCTAATGCTTTGGAAGTTAATCAATAAACTCAAGGCTTGCTGCCTCCCGCCTGATCTGTGCTGTTAATACGATTCCTTTACAGGTGGTACTGACGACGTGGTTTGCGTAAATCTACAGGTAATCAAGCGCGAGTGTGTGCCTTCATCAATGAGGCGTTTTATGCCATTCAAACAAACATCGAAACATGAACAAATACAATTATGACAGCTCCGTTGTGTCCAAGCGATGGTACACCACCTTACAATACTTGTGTGTAATCTGATCTACTCACACACGGTAAATTACAGATACTAACACTGTCTGATAAATAATAAGAATAAGAGACGTTCGTGTTACTTATAAACAGATGTATATTATTCTAAAATCTTCACGTGAAACCACTCAATGTTTTATCCCTGAATCCCTCACTGTGCATCAAGACACACGGCCTGTATGCCGGCGTATATGCGTGTTTATTAACTGTCGGTATCGTAGTTCGTCTCACGTGCAATGTAAACACGGCACTCTAACTAGGCCTTAACCAGTTCATGTCTCTACATGAAAAAGGGGGGAACCCAAAAAAACTATTTCTGGTCACTAATTTTTTCCTAAGCTTCGTTAAGAGTTATGGCTTATTTGTGTTTTTTTATTTATTTATTTTTTTATTTATGGATTGTAAATATTTTTTAGTACGAGGTGGTAACATTAATATTGGTGACGTCATTTTTACTTCTTTAAAGACATAATAATATGCAAATAGAAAAAACTACGCAACTTTTTAATGAAGCAGACTTTTTTTTTTTTAACAGACTCCAAGTCTTTGTCTTTATTTGTGAATTAACGTGGGAGTGAGGCATTACAACGTACGCATCTATGAGACTAGACATGACCCAGATTGGCCTACAGGTTAGAAAGGTAAACAAAGCCATGTTTATATAGTGCCAGACACATGCAAGGAACTTAACACGTTGTTATTGTTGTTTTTAATTTGCATGCTACATGCGCCACAATAACGTGGGTGCCACAAGCACAAAGTGTGTATGCATGATACATGCATCATAACAAATTGTTGACATGGGTAATATGTCTAGAAAGGGGTTGTGCATTTCACATGTATGGCATCAGTGTCAAGATAGAGCCACACTGTATGTATAGAGTTCATTTCAGCACAGATAATAAAACACCAATGAGAGATAACTTGATATACTTTCAGAAAACTCCTTTAGAAACTGCATCTCTACACTACTACACCGCCCTAAACAGTAGTCAACACTTTTTACACGCGATTTTTTATACACTAGCCAAGAACGTCGATGATAACTTGTAAATATATCTGTATACCGTATGAAACCAGGCGGTGAAACCATGTGCACAGCACTGAGTTGAAACAGATAAGGTTACACACAGTGGCACCGCCTCAACGGTGGCCGTGTTTGAGACATGATTAAACCTGCCTGTGTCAAGTGCTGTGTGCCATACGACCACTCAAAGAAATCGTTTCCTAGCTACACGACATGGCACAAGCCCCACAAAAAATAAACACCATTAATTAAATAAGAGGCGCAACGTTAAAAAAAGCCATTGTCTCTGTTCACCACCACACACACAGTATTAGATACCGTACACAGTATTAGATACACACGGTGCACTTTAAAAAAAAAACACACACACAACAGATTCAACACGGTGGACTTGTTCTGCTACGTCTTGCTGTGACACACTTTCAAACACGGAACGACACACACCAAGGTCTCCACTAATAATAACTGGATGACAGTGCTCTAGTGGGGAGAACCGACGGAAGGGGAAGAGCGACTGGGGGAGGAAGGTGTAAAAACAGCACACACACACAAAAGTTACTGATATTTACTATGTTAAGCACTTGTCACCCACAGAACTACCAGGGAGAGGAGTAGGGGGTGGTAGTGGCGGTGTTGATCCATACCTGGTCCTGGTGGACAGAGCGCGGGGTAAAGACGCACATCAACGACAGTTCCAGCACTAAAAAGTTATGAAGGTTAATTAAATAAAACGTCCGGGCACCAGTGGTGAGTCAAAGAACTCACAGCATCATGTGCAGCAGGGGTCCTTAACCTTTCGTTAAGGCAATGTCTTTCGGCGCATTCTGGAAGGGCTGAGCCGGGTATTGACCCGGATTTTCCGAGTATTAGCACATACCCGGACCCGGGGAAAACGGAAACGAAAGAAAACAAAACTATCACATCAGTGTCTCAAAAACACAAACTATCACATCAGTGTCTCAAAAACACAAACTATCACATCAGTGTCTCAAAAACACAAACTATCACATCAGTGTCTCAAAAACACAAACTATCACCTTAGTGTTTTAAAAAAAATAAAAAATATGACATTCGTGTCTAAAAACACAAACTATCACATACGTCTTGACGCGTGTCTTAAAAACATTATCACATTACTACTAAATTAGTGTTTAAAAAATATCACATTAGTCATGACTAGTGGCTTAAAACTCAAACTATGAAATAAGTGTCTCAAAAACACAAACTTTATCACATCAATAAAGTAGGAAGAAGGGGGGGGAGGGGGGGGGGGGGGGGGGGGGGGGCACCAACATTTGCTCAACAGAGAATGTAAAATAATAATTAGTTATTTGCGATTAAACTTGACAATCACAAACACGACCACCGTCAATGAACCTGTCGAGATTTGTTTGAATCTAATCATGTTTTCAAAAAAAAATTCTATTAGAGCATCTTCTCGTGCCGCAAGCAGCTTGTGTACAAAATGTATGTATAACAGCCTATAGCCTTTAAGGATGAAACAGGCGCACATGTTCATCTTCAAAAAATTAAGGCACACATTTTCACCTTTCAAAAGGAAAAATAATTCCATTTTTGCGCCTCTAGATTTCTCAAATGGGAGGGCATAAATGTCACTGACTGCCCCACAAGGAACGCCACTAATATATCAGGGCTGACGACGGCTTAGTTTGGGAAGCACTGACACTAAGTTTTGTGTGTCCCGCGCGCATTTAACAGCCAATGAATGGCGGCAATGTGGTGAGCTCGCAGCGTGGAATTCTAGCCAGGGTGTGGTCTCATGAGGGGATAGTCAGGAACGGAGCCCGGGAGAGACAGAGAGTTAAGGAGCTCACTGTCAAAGGGCAAGGTTGTGTTTCAACCTGCCTTAGGCGCATTAAGTCCAAAATGGATTTTAAAAAAAAGAAACGTGCGATCATCATTTTAGCCGGCTTTGGTTTTAATTATAAAAATTGGTATAGTCTATTCGGACTTCGGAGTCCGACGGTCTAGAGGTCGTTTATTTCGCAAATATAAAGTGCATGTTATATTCATAAAGATGATAAGAGGGGATTCTCTATTTATTCAAATAAGTGGAAATGTTTATTATTTCATTGTACACATTCATTTTCATCACATTAATAAAAAAAAATTTAAAAAATTTTAAATAAATATTTCGGTCCAAATAATACTCTCAGAATACATTTATCTTTATTTATCTCGAATTAAGCTCAACTAACGCATACACCAATTGTGTTTTCAAAGATGGTTGCCATCAAACGGTGTAAATCTTAAAATAAAATTATTCAAAACGCAGCTCAGTTCCGATGCAGTGAAGTAAGCTAGCCATTCTTTACACCAAACAATTTTTTTAATCATTTCGTGTTTGATTTCGTAGTCTGAACTAGTTTTAATCAAAGGGGGTGGAGAATTATTGCAATGTTCACCGTGTAACATACTTTGAAGTTCAAAATCATTAATTTCTCTTAATGAGCTTCCAAAAAAACACGATGCACGATCCGAATAGACTACCCTGTAGTACACACCTCCCAGCTCAGTTACACATGCAGACAGTGTCGCTCATGAATGAATGGGACGTCCATCAACAGAAACCTCTCGCAGTTGATTTCCTGGAAAACATTTGATAACTACGGAGATCACTTTTATAAATGGTCTCCTCAGAAGGTCTCCCCTACCCTACAACACTTCTTCTCTAAAAAAAAAAGTGTAGGCTACAAGAGTGCGACTGCAATCCTTTAATATCCATTCGGTTTTTCTATTGATACAATTTTAATGAGGAATGAAGTCAAATTAACAAAAAGCAGCATACGTGGCGTAAAATAAAAAAAAGGGAGGGGGGGTGGCGATCCGCCCCGGGCGGCACTCTTTTACTTTATATGATATGGAGGGTTGGCATTTTCTGCCAAACTGCGGAGTTTTCTTTGTGGAAGAGGACGGCAAAAAAATCTTGGTCCACCCTGGGTGGCACTAGCCCTTGATAGCATTTTCTGCTATGTTAAAATTGGATTCTGAACAATAAATAAATCAAGGACTTCGGAGTCCGGCGGTCTAGAAGTCGTTTATTTCGCAAATATAAAGTGCATGTTATATTCCTCAAACATTTCACCGGCCGCAATGGAGTTCGAGAAAAGATTGTACGCCTCTGACCAATAAACATCACATTCTGTCCGGGGCTACGGTTGAAATCGAGGCAACGATTTTGATCAGTCATCACGTCCCAGCAGATACCATCTTAGACACGGGACGATGGTGACACACGGTATTGTCTTTCATACATTAAGCCTAACCGGAAGGGTGAAATCACATTCACAGGCATTTTTTCACTCTAGGATTTCAACAGGAAATTAACAGTAACAAATCATGGGTGAAAGGAAAGGTAAAGAGAGTGAGAGATTTGAAAGAGGAAAAAAAAAAAGAAAAAAAAAAAGGGGGGGGGGGGGGGCAAAAATGGAGCAAATACTGTTGTTTTTTTCGACACTGTTAAGATATAGTACAGATTGCATCTTTTAAAAAATCTTTGTGTATATCTGTCAGTCAGTTAGTTAAGTTAGTTCGTTTGTAGGCACTGGACAAAATCCCTAAGGTGCATCTTCTACCCTGTCATTTTCCGCAGACCATCAGTTGGTACTTTATAGATGCTAAGTGAAGTCAAAGGGATTGAACTTCTGGATTCAGATCTATTTCTACCACTCATCACAAAACAATGTCTCGGCCCTGACCCCACAATTTCACAGGTCTTATTTAGGTACTGCCAAAAAATTCAGAAACAGTATTAGAACACTTGTAAAGGAAGATATATTTGTTTTGTTTTTTTACCATTTACGGTAAATTTTGTAGATTTATTTATATCAAGAGCGCTGTGACCGGGGAACGTTTTGCTCTCTGCGCTGTGGAGTCTGAGTCCTAAGTTCGGAGTCGTCAAAAAAAAAAAAAAATTAACTGTAGTTGGGGCAGCGGTGGCATCCCACCTGTTCGCATCGAATCGTGTGAACCCGTTCTTAAAGTTATAAGACTTAAGGAACGAGTTTTTGAATTATTCTAACATAATTTAATTTATGGTATCAGAATATGTTCCCACAGATTGTCAGCCTTTATAGAACCGGCTCCTGTATATTTAGGGTGCCACCACTGAGTTAGGCCATTACAATGTTCGATCAATTCGGGAAAATATATACTTAACAATAATAGGAACTGGTAACACCGTTCATTCAGACGCCCCATTTTTACCAAGCCACAGTAGAGAACAAAAGCCCTGCATTAGGCTGAGTAATGTGTGTGTGTGTGTGCTGAGCCAGTTTCCAGACTTCCTTGTTTAGACCATGCAGACATGATTCAACAGACATGATGAGATCAGTTCATCCCCAGCGAACTATAGAGAGCACATCTTCAAATCTATAGGGTGTCACATGAACCGATGTGTCGCGACCGCAGGGTCCTTTTGGGGGTTTAGGGGTGGGAAAGATCATCTCAGATAACTGTCCTTGCGTCGTCGTCGCCCCCCCCCCTGCATTAACGAACAGAGAGCCGCCACGTGATCAAGCCAGTGTGTCACCAAATGTTAATGTTACTAGGTCAAAACACTGGCAAATGTTGAGTGTGAGCGAGAGTTCATGGTAACACGTTGACATAAAAAAATGGGGAAAAGGGGAGTGGGGGGGGGGGGAGATCTGGTGACTAGGAGCAAACGATCCTTTAGCAATACCCTTGCCCTCCCAGGAGTGGTTCAAGAGACCTACACCAGGAGTAGTCCACGATGAGCGAGAGTTCATGGTAACACGTTGACATAAAAAAATGGGGAAAAGGGGAGTGGGGGGGGGGGGAGATCTGGTGACTAGGAGCAAACGATCCTTTAGCAATAACCTTGCCCTCCCAGGAGTTGTTCAAGAGACCTACACCAGGAGTAGTTCACGAGACCCACACCAGGAGTAGTTCACGAGACCTACACCAGGAGTAGTTCACGAGACATACAAGGGCTTCATTTATTCCGATTGGTAACCGTTTCTGCGACTCCGGATATCTGTTTATATAAACATCATTATGGTTTCGTTTTAGACCAGGCGTCCTCAATCGTCCCTTGGACACTTGGAGGCCAGATTATAGTTTGAAATAAATATCAACGAATGCATACGCACACATCTTAATTGTACCGTACTGCAATAACAGGAGAAAAGAACATAATAAATGTATCAAATGAAAAGAATTTTAATCAAAATAAAGGTATTAGTGGGAATTATGGGCCGTCCTTCAGGCAGAATGAATGGACAGTGTCCCAATCTACATATGTCACTGCCACCCGGGTATTCGAACGACGGCCAGCTACACCGGGTTTAGAGCACGTGGCGGGTCGGATCAGCCCGCGGGTCGTAATTTGAGGACCTCTGCTTCAGACCATAAAACGTGTGATGTCACAAGACGGAGTATCAAATGAGTTTTAAGCTGACAGAGGAAGAGAGCGAGATACAGAGCGAGAACGAGATACGGCGAGAGAGAGAGAGAGATACGCAGATCAAGGGGGAGAGAGTGGAAAGACAGATGGGAGAGGCAGAGAGAGAGAGAGAGAGAGCGAGCTGGGGAAGACTTTAAAAATATCAAGCTTACTTAATGTTAACTGTGTATAACTTATAACGATACTATTATTGGTAAACCGACGGAGCCAATATTGAAACAATCAAAGCAAAGATAATACACTGACAGTGTTTTTGCGTTATTATTTGATATTCATATACAGTGAAAGTAGACTGGGGTGTGTTTTAAATTATATGCTGATATAAAAACAACGGGAACCACTTACCCAATGATATCACAGGTAAAACCTGTAAAGTTCCGACCGGATGAAATTGAAATAAGATAGAGACAATGTGTAATCCTTTAGGATTCTGTTTAAAGCGAATATAGGGAATGGAAACGTTGGATAGGAGAAGAAACGACTGCGACTGCGTGAAACAATGTTAAATATAAAGAACTGCGGTCACATGAAAAGATACTGTATTGAACTTTAAAAGTACTTGATCAATAGCGAAAAAATATATTGAATAAATCAGGAATTTAAAAAGAATTGAAATTGGAATTAACATTGGAAATGCTTTCCCCATCGAAGATCTCAAGATAGTGAGTGTATTTAGCAGTATATGAAGACACAAAAAAGGGAGAAAACACTGACATAGGTACACGGGGTTTCAAGCGAGGCAACTCTGAATCTGGCCAGGATGAACTACATAAGAAGCAATTTTGTCATAGAGATTAATTAAAGCTAACTAGCCACGATATTAATTGATAGTAGGACTATAACAGAAATAACTTAAAACAACCTACTTGTGAATCTACTATGCTCACAGAATATTCTTTTATTTTCATTATTACATACAATTTGGAAAAAAATTATTGCAAAAAATATAAAACATTTTTTTTTAAAATATACAAAGAAAGAAATTTTTTGTATGCTTATCAATTGTATATCTCTAGTAAGGTCTAAGTATATTTTATTTTTAAACAATAATAATAATGAGATTCACAAAATTATTTAAGTTTTTTAATTTGCACTAAAGAGAAGAAGGTTTATTGATGCATAATTTTTTAAAAACACTAAACAATTTGTTCCCCAAAAAATATTTCTGTTCTGAGTATATAAAGTTTGAAATTAGATCAAACAAGTTCAGTCATTCCCTCCCAGCCACCCCCCTGGGCAAATTCATTACCATGTAATGTATTAATTATATAGTATATATATTATAATTAGATGAGATACATAAATAAAAAAAGTCAACTATCTTGTATTTAACCTATTTACAAACAAAATGTTTCTGTTTCCATAGAACACATTATGTTAATATATATATTTACTAAAAAATAACTGACGTCATTATTTTAAAATGATCCACATTTCTTTTTTAAAAATTTAAATTCTAGTGTAATTGCTTCATTTGTTGGGTACATATGGACTGAACACTTATGGTTTAGTGGTCAGAGAAGAATGACTAAACATGGGTTGAGGGGATATGAACAAGAAGGAGACAGAGACCTTTTAGAGAGACGTCTTTTTTCAAGATATTCATGACAACAAACAATAACTGAGATAGTATAAGACCTCCATGTCAAGAAGTAAACAAACAAAAAATGTATGCGGCAGATCATGAGGTTGAAATGAACAAAATTATAAGATTACTAGAGACCAGAACAGGTGCAAGTAAATAAATCTATAGAGTAGTGCTACCAAACATGTTACCCACCAGCTACATCTATCAAGCCCTTTAGATGGGTGATTGTGACCCTATGGAAAGTTCAAATGTATACTTTCCACCTACAATTCTATCTCTTCACAAATTATACTCCTCAAGGTATGTATGTATGGCTGTAACCGTTCAATAGGCATGCAAAATAAAATTCCCAGAAGTTAGCACTAATTGGGATTCTTATATAGAAGGTTACTTGAACTTGTATGCATGTTGTGTCAAGTACCAGTAACTTTAGTAGATGGGAAGTTCATGCACTGTCACAGCGATTGTTTGGCAGGTTGTTTCTAGTTATTGATAATTCCCTAACTTGACCCCTTTCTAAATTCAGAAATGTTGCCTTGTTATGTAAAATTTATCTTAAAAATGTTGTGCGAATTTCTCTTTTCAAAGACTATGAAAACAGGACAGAGGTTCAACAGTTAAAATAAATAGGGATCGGTGATAGTCAACAAGAAAGTTTCAGTGACAATGACAGTCACAGATTGTACAAAGTTTGAATCAAAGGCTATTTATTAATCAAATGACATTATTGGACGGAGAAATAGTGAAACATGACCCAGCAGATTAATATTGTAAAAAGAGAGGAAAAAAGTGCACAGCATTTAAAGGAATTGAACTAACAGACCACTTTTTTCACTCATCCAATTATATGGGTTTTTTTTAAACTTAAGAAATGTACATAGCCAAGATTTTTTTCTGTAAGTTATTAAGGTTGTTGAAGATGGTTTAATTCCTTATAAATCAAATGTACAAGCTTCAAGAGGTGTTCTTTTGTAGTCCAATAAGCCAGCCTTTTTTTTTAATTTTCAAATTAACCAGTGAATTATGTAGCGATAATAGTAAGATTAATATTATACTTTTAGATCAGTTATAATAATTCAACAATGACTATATCATGAGATAATTTTATACCACCAGGACCAGAAAGATCACTTGAATTTTATCTTAAAAATTTGTTTCCTTTTTTAACTTTACAAGTACATGAGTTAACCATAAAATGTAAGCACATAAATAATTTATTACAAAACTACTGTACATATCACAAAATTTTTTAAGAGTTATAAAGTATTTATTTGAAGCACATAAAATAAAATTGCTTTTCATACAAGCATCACAACACTTAGTCCATAATCCATGTAAACAAATATTTTTAAACTGCGGATTATATTAATTAAGGCATCAAAATTAATTGGATATTTGGATTTTACTTACTGTGTTACTGATCCAGCAGTAACATATACGATAACGTTTTTTAAAATCTTTGTAAAATTGACTAAATCCATTATGAAGTGAAAAGTCCACACAAATAATAATTTTATCCAAATTACAAACTTCTTTGTCAATAAAATCCAACTAAATGTGTTTTATATGTAAAATTTTTTGCGTATATAAATATAAGTAGAAATTTGATGATTAGATCAACATATTAGATCAAATGATATCTCTGTATACTTTTGTTAAAGATGTATAACTATAATTAACAAAATTTGCTGCTGTGTATTATACAAAAATTTATAATAAATGTTAAAAAAGTAAAAGGGCAAATATTAACTATTCATGCACCAAATAAAGAATAAAATAGCATGCAACAGGAATAACAATTAACAACACAATAAAAAGCTACAGTTGAACCAATCAGCAGTAAGCAACCCTAGATCAATCATGAGCAGTGAAACCTGCTCATGAGAAATAAACAAAATATACATCAAAGAAAGAGGGGGTAAAACCTGGACTGGATCCATCTTTGATTTAACAGCCCAAATAAATATTTCACCTTAGACATTTCAGGATGTTCTAAACATAAATAATGAAAGCAGAATTCTTTAATTTCATAGAGTGACTTTGTAGATACTTCTTTTTAACAAATTGGGGTTTCTACCCAGAATTTAGAAATCCTTACCGGTATTTATGTGAGAGAGTATCTCATTCCTAATTTTAAAACTTAATAAAATTGGTATCTTATCATATCGTAAAAAGATCTCAATATAATGCAGTTTATCAAACAGTAGAGTCATCTACTTATGACAAAATCTATCAGAAGATTAATTCAATTGTGGAGAGCTGCTATTTCTTTTCCATGTTTAAGTGAGAAGACTTTGCCAGTTGAACTTCATATTCCTGCTTCAGTTTTGACCTTAATTGCTCAATAGCCCTGAGATGTCGAAGACTGGTCTCTTCTTCTTGACTATAAAATCTTGCGTCCAGAACTAAGGGACCATTGTCTCTTGGACTGTCTTCTGTGTTGCAATGATGCCCCAACTCTGATTTGTAAACTGGCTGTTTCGGGGATGTGGAGACCTGTTGTGTTGCCGTCTTGGATTTAATAAAATCTTTTTCCCTCAGTTCTCGCATAAGTCTAGTTTTCTCTTCCATCAATGAAATTTCCCGGTCATGAAGATGAAGCTCGATCTCAGAAATTTGCTCCTCCATAAGTCGCTTCTGTTTCATGAGCTGCATCTCTGTAAAGTCTTTGAGCAGACACAGCTGTTCAAGGTGACGTCTCTCTGCCTCACAGTGCTGGAGCTCAATCTGCCGTTGTGAAAGCATCTTGTACAAGTGATCCAGCTCCTCTATTTTCTCCAGCAAATCTTCCTGGGCTTTCTTTAAAGAGTCAGCCATCAGGGCTTCTTGTAAACTTCCAGATATATAAGCTTCTTTTCCAGACTCTTTATCTCTGATCAGCTGCAGCAGGTCAAGCCGTTGTTTCTGAAGTGATGACAGCTGACTATTGAAAGACTTTTGCCACTCGACTGTTGTGTGTTCTTGTTGCTGCAACTTGTACTTGAGATGGAGGTTAACTGCATCCTGCTCTCTCAATCTGGATCTTAATGAGGTATTTTCATCTTCTAGCATGCGAATCTGCTCCATGCAAATGGCCAGCTTCTGCTTCATAATCTCAGCTTCGTCTGTTGGTTTCGTCAGCCACTGTTCTCGGCCAACATCAGCACTGAGTGACTGGCTGCTGCTGTGTGGAACTGAAGTTGTCCTGCACATGGCCAGATCTTTCTCAACTTGATCTTTCAACAATGCCTCTTGGAGCAAGGTGTTCTCTTTAGAATACATATCTTTTGTCTCCTTGAGGTCTTTCCTCAGCTGGCTCAATTCTTCAGCCAACTTCTGATCCTCAAGGCCTAATAGTGCTTGGTCCCCAGACTGCTCTAGATCATTATCCTCTACCATGTTTTCTAAACTGCTTTTGTGGGATACATTTGAACTACAATCATTGTCTAAGTGAGCTTGAACTAAACAAGGGGATTCAGAGGGAATTCCCGCTAGTTCTTTTTCACCCAATCTTAAGTTTATACCTTCAGATTTGCAAGTTAAATCACTCTGTTTTACCGGTGAGCTAACTTCTGATATATGATCCCCTGTTTCAGGTAAGCCATTAGCTAATTCTTTCATTTCAAGTTCAAGCTCATTTTTGTGGAAATTAGATTCTAATTCTTGGAATTCTATAAAATAACTATTTTCATGTGGCTTGTTTCCCCCCTCACCCCCGGCCTGTTTCTGCACAGTAACATCTTCATTGAAAAAATAATTTTTTGTTGTCAGCTTTTCCTCCAAAAATTGCTTATCAGATTCTAAAGCCACAACTTTTGCCAGTAAATTTAAGTATGACGCATCTTTGGACCCTAACTGGCTAGAAGCAACAGAGGATGAATCCCTACCTGAAATGCTTTCATTATTTAATGTTTCCCCATCATCCATTGACCCTCTCTGACCCACCAAATATATTAAATCATCGTCCAAAACCAAATCACCACCTTCACCTTGTTGTCTAACCACCCACTGGCACAACTTGTAGAACCTGTGTCTCACCTCTTGGCAGTCCTGGCGCACGCATCGGCCGTCAAACACCTCCCAGATGCTGCGCGGCTCCTGCTCAAAGGCCCCCGTCTCCGTGCTTGTGAGCTCCCACTCCAGGGGCAGATCCTGGCTGGACTGATGGGAGATCTCCTCAAATTCCTCCAGGAATCCCTCTCTGACTGAACTGCTTTCACTTATCTCACTCCTAGAGCCGTCAGCTTCATCTGCCAGTTGCCCTGGGTTTTCATAGGAAGTGTTTTCCTCTGGCTCAATGGTAGGCGATGTTGCCACCAAAGTTGGAGTTGGGGTGGACGACTGGAAACTGACAGTGTCCCTAGTAGTTAGCATTGACTGGAGCTCATGTTGAAGACGATCATGTAACCCACGGGTTTGAGAGATTTCAATCTGTCTAAGAAGTACATCTCTCACCTCAGCAAGCTCCTGAAATTTAACACAGGAAAACAAAGTTCCCCAAAAAGTCTTATCAGTAAAATGTATTAATATTAAATTTTACTGCACCAAATTGGATGTAAATGGATTAACAGGTCAACAAATGCTAAACTATGGTAAAGTAACACTGCACCGTCAAAGTATAGTATGCACTGTTGTGGAACCTAGACAGAGACAAAGGGTGTGAGAGCCCTAAACACACTTAGAGAAGGGACCTGAAAAGAGATGAGGTAATGGAAAAGGAGAATTCAAGAGTTTAAAAATAGAAAATATCCTTATGGCTTTTGCCCCACAGGATGATGATGATATAATTGGATCCTTGACTATGCTTGCTTTTTTTAAGGTATGTTCACACTGCAAATTGATTTCTTACATTCTCAACCAGGCAGGCTGTTTCAATACAAGTCGTGAGATTTTTTACGCTATGTGCTACTCATTGTAACAAAAACAGGGCCAAGGGGTTTCATTATCACAGGTTTGGTGAATGTTCCAGTATATTGTCTGCTGGCAATAAACAAAAGCAACCCCATAACAATATTATTATGCCCACACATTATCAGCTGACACGCCAGGTCAGTAGCATAGCATCCGGTAGAAAATAGAGTGTTAAAAATATTGTCTTTTTTTAAAAACACAAATAATTATTTGTATGCGATAGTAGCCATATTTTGTAGTTCAAAGATTAAAATTTTTGAAATAGATTTCAGGTTCGATTTTATTGGAGTGGGCAAAACAAGAAATCAATTGAGAGGAACAATGTCTTGTTTTTAAAAAAAAGTTATTAAAATTTTTAAAAATTCTTTTTTTTTTTTTTTTGTTGTAATTTTACGTTTCATTTTTCCTTGCATTGGTAAAATCATAGTTAAAGAAAAAAGTCAAATTCATTCATATTAAGATCCCCGACTGATACCGGTACTGATAGATACAAAATTTCTGCATTGTTATGCCTGCTCAGTGTGAACACCTACATGGGATATCCCAATCAGTTGGAGATGGTAAACATCAACAAATATCAGTGGATTCTCAATACACATTCACCACTGAACTTTGTTACTGCAACAAGTCTGCAGTGTGAAAGTACCTTAAGAGTTCAAAGTCTTACATTTTCGTTGTTCTCTTTTAAAGATTCTGGATCAAATAGTGGGAGTAAACCCTTAAAGTGCTTGATCAAAGCTATAATAGTGAAGCATTTAGCTTGCTCTAAAAGAAAGCTGAATATGTTCAATCACATTCTTGAAACCAAAAACTTTGAAATACCTTAACAAAAACAAGCCTTATTCTATTAATAAAGAAATAATTGTAATGATAAATACATGCCAACTAACCTGGTTTTCTTTATGCAGCTGTTCAACCACCTCATCAAGCTCTTCATTTCTCTCAGCAATGTCAGGCATGTTGACACCACTACTAGCCGAGTCGGCACCCTCAGAGTTGAGTCTGATAACATTGTCATGACGTTGGTATCGTAGGTCTTTAGAATTCCTCCTTTCCATCTCCTTCTTGACTTTACGCAAGGCTTTAGTAAATTTACGTTCCCACTCGTACCTGACAGCCTGGATCCTTTGAGCAAAGTGTTGTTCTGATTCATTTTTGTACTGCTCATACTGAGTTTCAAACTTGCAGGTTAGGTCAACCTCCTGCCGTCTCATCCTCATGACGTACTGTTCTTCCAGATCTTCCTTGATTTGATTGATCCTACTCTCTGTAACATCAACAGCTTTGTTCTCATTCTCAAGGGAAAGCGGTTGGCTTTGATTTGACTTCCCTGCAGGTTTAGTACTGTCCTGCTGGCTTTCATCACTGGTGTTAAAATCAAAACTCTGCTGGTGGATCTGTAGGTGCGAGGGTGACATTCCAACTGTAAGTTCTGCAGACCACATCATTCTCTGACCTTGCTCTTCAGATGTGTCCATTAGGAACAAATCAGAGATCTCAGGCTGAAAACCTTCATGAATTTCTTCCTCGCGAATCGGGTGCATGTTTAACTGACTGGGACTATCTAAAACCCTCTCATGCTCCATTTCTGGCTGGAATCTATCATTTTCCTCTTCAACAAAGTCTGGTTCTTGGTTGCCATAAGCAGTGGCGAGAGGTTTTTTAGAAGGTGATTTGTATTTCTCCTGGCTCTCCGCTACAAAGCCTTCCAGTACAGGATCTTCCACAGCAGGAGAAAAACACTCATCCCCAACATTTTGAGTAGTATCAAACTCTGTCGAGGTGTGAGAATATGGCGGACATATTGCCTCAACCCCTGAGCTCAAACGTAACGTTCTCTCTGGTGCTTTCTGCATCAACAGCCTCCTTTTGAGTGAGCTGTTTTCTTCTGACAAACTGGCTATTTGACTTTGCAGATCAGAAATATTTGATTTCTCTTCACTTCGCTCCTGTCTTATAACCACATCCTGCTCCATGTACATCTCAAGAGACTGTGATTTCAGTTCGAGCTGTTCGTTTTTCTTCAGCAGATCTGTGACTTCAGCATCTTTTCTCTTTACTATTTCCTCAAGAGCTTGTGAATGTTTCCTAGACAGTTCTGACAGTGACTGCTTTAAAGAGGAGATCTCTTCAGACATTTCAACATGTTTCTCTTGCCGTTTCTCAGCTGCTTCTTGCAACAAAGTTCTCAATTCCTCTTCTCTCAAGACAACCTGCTCTCTGAGTTGAGTCACTTCCTCCTCTAATGCCCTGTTCTTGATTTCGAGATCCCTTCGTGTTGTTTCTAGATCTTCTATTCTCAAATCCGTCCTGTGCCTCTCTTCAGAATAGTCCCCCTCGGCACTGAAGGATTTTCTGAGTCTTTCAAGTTCATTAGTAGCAATACAACACTTGTCTTCTAGCTCATACAGGCGAGATTCACAGCTCTTTTCCAAATTCTTCATCTCCAACTCATGGTCCAGTTTCATCTCCTCCAGGTGCCTTTTAAGCCTGGCGATCTCAGTTTCATACATCCTCCTCTTTTCCTCATTGTCTGAAACCTGAAATTCCAAGGTCTGTTCAAAATTGATCCGCTCCTTGTTGAACTTGTTGATCTGTTCACTGAGCTGTCTTTTCAACTCTGAAACATTTCTTTCCAGAGCCAAGCAGTTGTCCTCCAGCTCTGTGGTTTGAATTTCGTGAAGTCTTTTCAGGCCAGCAAATTCACACTCGTGATTGTTCTTGACTCTGGACAGCTGGTCTTTTAATTTGGAAAGTTCAGAGTTGGCGGTGTGCAGATTGCTTTCAAGGTCAGACACCTGATTCTCATACAACTCTGTGCAGGAACTGTACTTGGCTTTTGTATCAGCCAACTCTTTGAGCACTTGCTCACAAAGCTTCTCACTCTGCACCAGCTTCTCCTCCAACAGTGTAATCTGGTGTTCAAAAATCTCCTTCAGCTGATCTTTGTCATGATGGACATTCATAGCCTGCTCTGCCAGCTGAGATCTCACTGTTTGGATCTCCATGTCCTGAACACCAAGCCTCTGCTGCATGTCCTCCATACAGGAATCAAAGTTGGCTTTCAGCAGCTCCCTTTCCTCTTGGCTTTTTTCCAGTGCAGTTGTGAGAGACTCCACTGACTGCCTCAGATGGCTGTTCTCTGCATCCTTCTGTTCAATATCCGTCTTCAGGTCATTCATTTCTTTAACACAGCTGTCAGCTCTGGTTTTCGCCTCCGCTAAAACGTTTTCCTTGGCTTCCAATGCATTAGAGAGCTCAGTGATTTGTTCACTCAGGTTATTGCACTCCACTAAGTACTGGGATGATGTCAATCTCTGGGATTCTGTTTCAGACTCCAGCTTTGACATTTGCTGTTTCAGGTGATGGTGGTCCTCTAGCAGAGTCTGGCACTGAGCTGTCAAGTTGTCATTTTCTTCTCTCACTGAAGTACATGAAGCGGTAGTTTCTGCAAACAGTAATCTTTCATGTTCCAAATTTGATGATAATTCTGCAATTTGTTGGGAGTAATGTTCAAGCTGTAATGATTGCTTAATAAGGAGGCCATCTTTCTGCTGACACTCCTCAGTTATCAGTGTAAGCTGACTTAGGGCCAAGCAATAATTTTTCTCCATGTCCACACTGCAAGGTCCTGATTCCTTTTTGCCAAGCTTCACTACAAGATCTGTTTCTTGCATTATATGATGAGAGTCTACCATATCTACACCTTTAGGTGCTTGAGCATGGGCTATGGGTAAAGTTCCATTTGAATTAAAAGGAGTGGCCTCTGCAAATTGTTGAGCAGAACTAACAGATTCTTTCCCAGAGTTTAAGAAATGTGCAATCTTTGCTGAATGCTCTTCAAGTTGCAGCTCCTGACAGATCATCACAGATTCTTTCTCTTCCATCTTCTCCAAGGTGTATGAAATCCATGACTCCAATCCAGCATTATTTCTCTTTGAACTTGTCAAGTCCAACAACAGCCTTGCAGAGTTTGCCTTCTCTTGATCCAGACACACCAACAACTTTGATATCTCCAAGTCTTTCTCTGTAATGTACTGCTGCATGACCTCCAGGCTTTGTAGCATATTATCTCTCTCTACATTCCAATCCATATCTTTACTGTCACCTTCACAATCACTACTTTGATCTCCATGGATAACTTTATTGTGAGATTCCTGAACAGTTGCAGATTTAACTGCATGAATGTTCTCTTGACCCTCCACAAAGGCACTTGAATTAACAAGTTCTCTGGCTTGACTGACCTCTCTTAGTTCTTTTTCAAGTCTCTCAAGCTGTTGAGTCAGCTCAACAAGTTGCATATCGGACACACTCTTATCTTGAAAAACTCGTCCCAACTCAAATTCCTTTTCTCTGAGCTGTACATGAAGGTTGAGGACCTCTAAAGTAAGTGTTTCAGACCTCGTTGTCAACTCTATTATCAAACTCTCACTGTCTGTAAGCCTGGATGTTAGGAGGCTGATTTCAGATTTAAGACTTAAGGAAATATGCTTCAAGGTTTCCATGTCCCTCTCTTTGCTATTAAGCTGGCTTAAACAGTTGTCATGGTCTGACTCCTTATTTGCAACAATAATTTTGATAGCAGAGAGCTGTGCTTCAGCTTCAGTAATTCTGTTGTTCATGCCAGTCAGTTCTAAGTCTTTGTCTTTTAGCGTCATCGTCAATGCATCAATATCCTGACATTTTGATGAGACCTCATCCCGTAAGGCATTTACTTCTTTTTCTTTCTCCACAAGAACATTGTTCAGAATTACAGCTTCATTTACTGTCACCTGCTTTATAAGCTCTGAAATCTCTGTTTCCTTTCCAGCTAGAAGTTCATTCAAATCAACTATACAGCCCTCTTGTTCTGTTAACTTCATCTGTATCTCATCAATGAGTGCCTCCCATTCTCTTATAACTTGATCCATTTTCTTCATATCTAAATCTTTTTCAACAAGAATTTGGCTCTGCTTATAAATTTCTGCATCTTTTCCAGTCATGTTTAAGCTCAATTCACCAATTACAGATTCCTTCTTAGACAAAGTTTCATATATTTCACTAAGATTGTCCTCCTTTTCTCCAAGTTGCGAACTCAAATCATTCACTTCAGCTTCCTTAGCAGAAAGCTTGGCATTGATTTCAACCAAGTCTTGCAACCTAACTGATAACTCTTCATTTATTGTAGTAACCTCTAGTGACAGTCTTGTTCGGATCTCATCAATGTCATTTTCCTTTTCTGAAAGTTTTCTGGTGAGCTCCTTTGTTTCTGACTCTTGCACCAGCAACTTTTGCACCAGGGCACTGAGACCAGCTTCTCTTTCGTGCAACTTTTCACTCATTTCTTTAATGCCTGCCTCCATTTCAGATAGTTGCAACATTTTAGTTTCAATGTCTGCCTCTTTTTCCAAAAGCATTTCCCTCATCTTTCCTCTTTCATTTGCAAAAATGTTTTGCTCTTCTTCCAACACAAAAGAATTTCTAGAAACATTTGCCAACTCTGCATCCTTTTCTGTCAGCAACCTATCCAAATGAGCCACCTGAGCATCTTTTTCTGAGATAACTTGAATTTTATTTGAGATTTCTTCCTCTTTATTCAACAACTGACCTGTCGAATTGACTAGTCTCTCTTCTTTGTCTGAACAACTTTGCAGAGCACTGACAAGTTCTTGTTCTTTTTCAATAAACTTTAACTGTAATTCCGTAAGTTCATCAGATTTTTCTGTAATTATTTTGTGTGCGTTAAAAATCTCTGCCTCTTTTTCTATTAAGTCTCTGTTCAGATTAGCAGCTTCCTCTTCCATGTCGGCCATCTTTTCAGATATATCATCAGACACACGGTTAGAATTTGCAAGTTCTTCTTCTTTCTTGTTAACAACATGTAACAATCTGGCATTTTCTTCATCTTTTTCAGACAACTTTATTTTCAATTCAACAATTTCTGTCTCTTTCTCACTAAAATTGTTAATCATGTTTTGAATAACTTCATCCTTTAATGTTATGCTTCTGTTTAACTCTGTCACAATTTCTACATGGTCAGAAACATTTCTCTGCAGAGCAACCAGTTCTATTTGCATGTCAGTTATCTGTTTGCTAAAAACATGCTCTTTGTCTTGGGCATTCTGAAGTATCTCAGAAATCTCTTGGTCTTTCTCAGTTAACCTTCTGTTTAAATCAGTATACTCAATGTCCTTGTCTTGCGCATTCTGAAGTAGCTCAGAAATCTCTTGGTCTTTCTCAGTTAACTTTCTGCTTAAATCAGTATACTCTATGTCATTGTCTTGGGCATTCTGAAGAATCTCAGAAATCTCTTGGTCTTTCTCACTTAACTTTCTGTTTAAATCAGTATACTCAATGTCCTTGTCTTTGGCATTCTGAAGTAGCTCAGAAATCTCTTGGTCTTTCTCAGTTAACTTTCTGTTTAATTCACCAAACTGAATTTCTTTATCTTCAGCATTCTGAAGTAGTTTAGAAATCTCCTGGTCTTTCTCGATTAACTTTCTGTTTATTTCAGTATACTCAACATCTTTGTCTTGGACATTCTGAAGCAATTCATTGATCTCTTGGTCTTTTACAGCTAACACTTTGTTTAATTCAACAATCTGATTGCTTTTGTCTTGGACATTCTTAAGTAGTTGAGAAATCTCCTGATCTTTCTCTGTTAACATGGTTAAATTAATTTCCTTGTCTTGAGAAGTCTGAAGGTGTTTAGTAATCTCTAGGTCTTTTTCAGATAACTTGATATTTAATTCAGCAAGCTGTACATCTTTGTTTTGGACATCCCGAATGTAATCATTAATATCTTGGTCTTTCTCTGCTAACTTTCTGTTCAAATTGCCAACCTGAATATCTTTGTCTTCAACAGTCTGAAGTAGCTCAGAAATCTCTACATCTTTCTCAGTTAACTTTCTGTTTAAATCAGTATACTCTATGTCATTGTCTTGGGCATTCTGATGTAGCTCAGAAATCTCTTGGTCTTTCTCAGTTAACTTTCTGTTTAAATCAGTATACTCTATGTCCTTGTTTTGGGCATTCTGAAGTAGCTTAGAAAACTCTTGGTCTTTCTCAGTTAACTTTCTGTTTAAATCAGTATACTCAATGTCCTTGTCTTGGGCATTCTGTTGTAGCTCAGAAATCTCTTGGTCTTTCTCAGTTAACTTTCTGTTTAATTCACCAATCTGAATTTCTTTATCTTCAGCATTCTGAAGTAGTTCAGAAATCTCCTGGTCTTTCTCAGTTAACTTTCTATTTATTTCAGTATACTCAATGTCTTTGTCTTGGAAATTCTGAAGCACTTTTGTTATTTCTTGGTCTTTTTCTAGCAGCTTTAAGTTTAATTCACTGACCTGAATGTCTTTGTCTTGGACATTTTGAAGCAATTTGGTAACCTCTTGGTCTTTTTCAGTTAACATTCTGTTTAATTCAGAAATCTGAACATCTTTGTCTTGGAGATTTTGAAGGTGTTCACCTGTGACATCATGGTACCTAGTTTCAAATTCTGTCTCCTTTTCATTCAACTGTTGCTGTAAATCAGACAGATCTTGTTCCTGTTTGGTGATGACTTGACCCATTTTAAAAATGTTATCTTCTTTTTCATTTAGCTTTTTCATCAAATCAGTTAACACCTCTTCATTCAATGAAATATTTTTCTGTGATTGTGAAAGCTCTTCCTCTATTTCTGCCAGCTTTATTTTTAACTGTGTTACCTGATAATCTCTTTCAGCTCCGATGTTTGCAAATTCATCATCTTTATCTAATATATTTCTGTGTAATGTTGCAATCTCCTCAACTTTATGTGTCAACATATCATGCAAGGATGACACTTCCTCTTCCTTCTCAGATACTTTTTTACTCAATATGCCTAGCAGTGCTTCTTTTTCAGACAAAACTTGGTTCATACTTGTGATTTCTTTAACCGCCAGTGTTAGTTTTTGATCCAGCTCAGCTATTTTCTCATCATTTTCTGTTGCTGTCCTATTCAGATCATAAATACTGGCATCTTTTTCTAAGAGCATTTTGTTAAGACTTGTAATCTCCATATCCCTGTCATTTAAATTCTTGAGCAGACCAGCAATATCGTCTTCATTCCCTGAGACATTTTGCAGCGCATTAGAAATTTCATAACTTTTTTGGGATAAACTTGTGTGCAGTTCAATGATTTCTTCATCCTTATGGGTTAAATGTTGGGTTAATTCATCAACTTTATTTAGTTCATGACTTAAATTGATCTGCAGTTCACTAACTTCCTCATCTTTTACTTTTAAGGTTTTGTTTAATTCTATAATTATAGCATTTCTGTGGCTTAAATTCATCTGCAGTTCATTAACATCCTCATCTTTTACTTTTAAATTTTGGGTCAGTTCAATAATTGTAGCATCTCTATGGATTAAATTCATCTGTAGTTCATTAACTTCCACATCTTTTACTTTTAAATTTTGGGTCAATTTAATAACTGTAGCATCGCAGTGGCTTAAACTTGTGCGCAATTCATCAATCACATCTTTGTCAGTGGCATTCACAAACAAATTCGACATTTCTTCTGCTTTTTCTTTTAAAATTCTCTGCAACTCAGCAATTTTATCTTCTTGTTTAACAAATGCCAGGTGATTTTCATCTAATAGTTTCTCCTTCTCTATCAGTACTTTGTTCAGATTCAAAATTTCATCATCTTTTTCAGCAACACTCTTGAGCAGATTGGCCCTTTCCTCACGTCCACTTATCAACTCTCTGCTCATCACAGAGAGTGCCTCCTCTTTCTCCCCAACCATCCCCACCCAACTGGCCATCCCTTCTTCCTTTTGAGACAACTCCTTTCTTAACTCACATTCTGAATTTTCCCTCTCCTCCATAGTATTGTGTAATCTTTCAATTTCATCCTCTTTTAACAAGAGTTGTTTTCTCAATTCAGAGAGAGTTTCTTCCCTTTTGTCTGAAGCCTGCACAATGTTTGCCAACTCTGCATCCTTTTCTGTTAACTGTGTACTTAATTCAGCAGTGGTTTTTTCTGTTTCTCCAACAACTTTCCACAGGTTATCAAACTCGGCATCTTTCTTTGATAACCTCTCCTTCAGATCTGTCACCTCAACTACTTTTTCAGTAATAACAAGACTCATACCAGCAATGTCTTCTTCTTTAAGTGTTACACTTCGGGTCAGTTCATTGATTTCGTCTTCTCTTTTAGCAAGTCTTTCTAAAATACCTGTGGCTTCTCCATTTTTTTCATTCAGCTCCCTGTTTAATCTTTCTATGTGCTCATCTTTTTCAGCTATACTTTTACTCATATCTGATGTGTTGTAATTTGTATTGCTTATGCTTCGATTCAAATCTGTGATTTCTTCATCCTTCTCTGTGATGATTTTAAGAAATTTTGAAATTTCTTCATCATTCTCTGTGACAATTTTGAGCAAGTTAGAAATTTCTTCATCTTTCTCAGTAGCATTTCTGTGTAAGTTTGAAATTGTTTCCTCTTTATCAGTGACTTTCTTAAGTAGGTTTGAAATTTCTTCATCTTTATCTGTGCAATTCTTGAACAAGTTAAGAATTTCTTCCTCCTTTTCAGATAAAAGACTGTCCATTTTGGCAATTTTTTCTTCCTTTTGTGCTATGACCTTTTTCGAAGCTTTTAGTTTCAGTGTTTGGGCACAATGTTTCTTTTTTAAACTCACAGACTCTACCTCAGTTTCATCTAGTTTTGTTTTGTGCTCTTTCCCTTCCCCTTCCAGCTCCATTAGTTTACTTTGAACACTACACAACGTTGACTCTAGTTCACTTAACTTCAGTTTGTGTCCATCCAATTCTTTCTCTTTAAGGGACAGCTCATTTCTTAAAAGGCTAACGAGGGTTTTACTCTCTGCTTGGCTGTGGCTTAACTCGTCTATTACTGTTTGATTTTTGGCATCAAGGCTTTTAAGGATATTGATTTCTTCATCTTTTTCACTAATTCTGCCCATGTCTTCCCCATTTTGAGATTCACTGTATCCTGCTGGTCTAGAGAAGTTCTCTGAGTAGGCTCTCTGAAATCTGTCTTGCTCTCTCACAACACTTTGCATTTCCGATTGCCTTGTTAACAGAGTGCTCCTAAGGTCACAGACCTCCATTTCAACAGCAACAAGTTTTGTCTGACTTTCATTAAGAGCAGATTCTTTCACAGAAATGTTGCTCTTCAAATCATCAATTTCCACTGTATTGTTAAATATAATTTCTTTTAGGCTCTTCAATTCTATATCTCTTTCAGTTATTATAGCCTCTAATTCCAATAATTTACTTTTCACAATGTCCCTCTCTGTCATGATGCTGAATATTTCATTTTCCAGGTTGGAAATTTGTGAGCAATCACTTTCTTGCTGGGATTTAAGAGAATCAATTACCGAACGGAGTGAGTCCCCCTCTTCTTGGTGGGCCCTGACCATGGTAGAACTTATCCTCTTTTGTTCCTCTAAATTCTCCTGGAGATTCTGGATATCAATTTCCTTTTCCTGCACAATGAGCTGGAGCTTTTGCCACTGAGATACTGTCGTTTCTAACTGGGACTGAAGTTCAAGCTGAGCCACCTCCTTCTCTTCCAGCTGGAGACTCACCAATTTCAAACTCACAGCTGGATCTTCATAGCTTTTTGTTGTCTCTAGCTGGCCTTCTTCAAGATGATCAGAGCTTGCCTTGGTGACCAACTGCGCCGTGACAGTCTCTAGAGATTCTTTAGTTATGGCCAATTCTGATGTGGTTGTGTTCAGAGCCATCTGAAGAGTTTTGACTTGCAATGACAGATACCCAAAATCTTCTTTCAGTTTGTCCACCTCACTGAGATGTTCACCATCTGCTTCAGATGGCTGCAGTGAGCCCTGTTGAGATGGGGAAATCTGGTTTTTATTTTCCAAAACTTCACAGCTGGGTGATTTGTCTTCCACAATAAATGCTCCTCCTTGTTCCATTCCACAGTTCTCAGGACTGTCTCCAAATACAACCGCCTGCCACACAGCACCCCTGTCTTCCACAAGGGAAGATTCAGTGGAGCTTCTCTCAAATGACTGCTGTTTTAATTTCAGCTCAAGAGCTTTTACAGTGGCAGTCAAAAGGTCTCTTTCTGAATACAATTCTTCTAGTTTTCCATGCATTTGCTCAAGGTAAAAGTCTTTCTCTGACAATTCAACACCATGGATGTGCTGAGCAGAGAGCACATCATTTTGTAATAGTGTCAATTTTGCCATGTTCTGGTGACTTTCTGATTCCTTTTCCTCAAGCCTAGCAGATAAATCATCAATTACTCCCCTCAAATAAATCTTCTCGTCAACATTTTCTTGGGCACATTGATCAAGGAAATGGCCCTCGGCATGTGTATGTTTTTGTTCATCAACCTGGTGACTAAGCATGTCAACTTCTGTACAACTAGCATTAACATTTAAATTTGCCTGGAATTCAGACAGATCTTGCCCTTTGACAACCAAATGACCACTGTGACTTTCCAAATAGTTATCCCCATTAAGATCCTTGGAACTGTATAAAGCAGTCTGAAGTTTAGAAATCTCCATGCCAAGTTCATTAATTGTATTTTTCAATGAGCTTTGTTCAGCCGAGGATGTCGTGCTCAACTCTGAAAGTCTGTGTTCCAGATGGGAACACTTGTCTACTTCATTCAAGTAACTCGCATTGAGGATGTCAAACTGCTGCTTCAGAGCTGAAAGCTCATCTTCCACCAGGCTTAAGGAATGCAACTTTTCCTGGAGATCAGAACTTAATTCTTTGAAATGCTCCAACTGCAGAAGACAATCTGAATGCTGCTTCATAACAGTCTCATAACTGATTTGCAATGACTGATGTGATGAAAGACATTCAGAATGATCCTGGTTCTTTTGTCGTAAAGCAGCTATTTCCTTAGAATCTATCTCATGAGTGGTTCTGAGCTCTTCTAACTGATGCTCCAGTTCTTGAAGCCTTATATCAGCAGACTCCTTCTCATCAAGAGCAGATTGGAGATGCAAGCACTTTTCCTGTAGTTTATTAGTTTCCAGTTTCCAAGAATCTTGAGATTTCTTCAATGATGATAATTCTTCAGAGCCTGCACTGAGAGATGTGATCAGCTCATGCTCTTTAGTAAACCATTCCTCTTTTAAAAGATTCAACTCGACCTCTTTAGCCTCAAGCTGTGTCTGGTATGCAAGTAGCTGCCCTGTCTGTTGTTCGAGAAGCTGCTGGATATGACTGATGTGCTCGTCTTTGAGTCCGTTAGCATCAAGGGCACCATTGCTGGCCCGCAACAATTGTGTCATGGATGTTATTTCTTTGTCTTTGTGTGTGATAATAACCTGAAGCTGCAGTATCTGTGCCTTGGCTGCCTGTAATGATATCATGGAGGATTCACGCAGGATCAGCTGCTCCTGGAGATCCTCGTCAGCCTGGTCAAGAAAGGAATAGGTCAGTTAGTGTGATTAAATTACTTATGTGTGAGGTTTATAAAAATTATACAGAAAAAGAGCATTTTTAAATGTGCAATTTATTCAATAAAGTATGTTGATTTTCTAACAAATAACTAAGGTCAATATTATATAAATACAATTAAATCAAGCCAAAGAAACATTTACGGCTGTTAATACTTCATATAAACCATCATAAAAATTAACTTTCATTTAAATAAATACTTATATATATAAGAATTAGTTAAGCACCAATCACAATTTACATCTTGCAGCCACTAGAAAAAAATAAGATATGTGGAAATGTGTATGCATAAATATGTTTTGTCATCGCAGCAATGAAATCATCTGGTATAATACATCACATGCTGAGCAACGCAGCTAAAATCTTTAACTTAAAACTCTTCTTTAATCAAAATTCAGGTTTTTTTTTACTGTAATATTTTTTATTTTTCTTGGTTTGAACAGAAAAACCTCAAGCACATTGAAAAAGATATGGAAAAATGATATTGGCATTATCTGAAATACACCAGCTCAAGATTGTTAAAACTAAAGGAAAATCATGACATGTACATATGCATAGGTGGAATTTCAGTTTTGTTAAACTGTAAATGCTTAATTACAGCCATTCTTAAAATGTTTAAACACTAATCTGCACTTAAATTCTATGCTATCAGTGCGCTCCATCCCTTAATCCCAATTAATCAGCCTATAGATGCAACATATTGCTTTAATGATCTACTTAAACATCACACTTCTACTTTGGGAGCTCCATTAGCCTGGGTATCAATAACCTCTATACCTTAAAAATTATGGAAATTCTTCTGCGCTCATCAATATTTTTAAGGAGCATAAAGGGAGTCATTATGTGTTTTAATAATTTTAAGGAAATTTTAAGTTGAATTTCAATGATTAAAAAAATCTGTGGTTAAGAAAAATATTGGTCTATTCCAGGCCTGTACAACATACTGCCAGCCAGCACCCACATGGCGGCCCGCGAAGTAACAAAATATTCTTTATTATTATTTTCTTAATAGCTTTCGCCCCTGTCCTATTATCTTTCGGCCCACACAAGTTTTTCATAAAGTATTACGCCCCGCAGAAGTTTTCATAAAGTATTACGGCCCGCCTTACATTTTGAGCTGTGCAGGCCTGGCCTATTCTATTCTGCTTAATATTTCTATGACATGCACATATTTTTATACTACTACACCCATCTTACAAATAAAGAGATAAAAAACATGTTTCTTGTGCACAACAATTTTTGCAGACCTTAATTTGTTAGAAGATGATTATGAAAAGGTTGCTACAGGGAATGCATTTAGTAAACTGCATAAATGTTATTCATAATTTGATACTTTTTCATGGGCAGGAAATATTCATTACTATCTATGATATTCTTTTACTCCAATATAAATATTATGGGGTAGGCCTCAAAATGTTAACTGAGTTCCACTGGTTAGATTTTAAAAGTTAGAAAGCCCAACTGCCACCATGCTGCTGTTATTGAATTAGTCTTATTAAATGAAGAGAATTTTTTTTTTTAATCACCTTTGAAAACTTGCATTCTGCTTCTTTTATTAGACTTTCAAAATAACACCAAGAGCAGCCATTTTCTGGTTCAACACTATTTTTTGTTATGCATCATCAATAAGTTAAGGCAACCATCAAACTTTAAAGCTTAGAGCCACACTAAATGCTCATAGAAAAGCCCTGATGCAAAACTGGCAGCTATAAATTTCTTAATGGTCGAGGTCAAACAAATTTTAAGTAACGGCAGTCTTTTAAGGTCACTAAACAAAATTTGCATTATCGGTACCACAATATTTCACCGCTAATGTGAGTAAATTCAATAGGTAACATAAGTGCAGATTGCAGTAATGGAGAACCAATATAGTAATGTAAGAAGTTTGTTACTAAAGCCAAATCAATCCATTTTCTCTCAATTTGTTAAAAGAAAATGCAGTGTGCATGTGAAAGATGCTTTAATACTTTACTTAGAATAATAGCATCTCTTCTTTTTTTATTCTTTAATATATTGATCAGAAAGCAAGGTGTTTTTAAAAAAATTTTAAGTAAAGATTTTCTACAGGATTTATTCAAAACAAAAGAAATTGGAACCCCATAAATCCAATGCCAAGCCACTTCTCAGTAATATAAAATATTTTTTAAAATTTCAATCTAATATTTTAAAGAGTGTAATCTAATTGAAACTAGAGTTACTTTAGTATATTACCAGGGTTTTATGAAAAACAATTTCAAATCATCAGTCTATCCCTACAAATAATATAGTTTAAGAATAGACAATGATTTTTTTTTTAAGAAGTCAACTTGTTTATTTCAACAAATTTTTTTTAGAAGCTTCATAAAAGAGAAAAAAAGAAGAAACGAACATGTGCAAACGTGATAAAGAAACTTACTTGATGTAGCTGGGCCTGTAGTGTGCAGATGTGCTCTGCAAGAGAGCAGACTTGTGTCATAAAATCATCTGTCAGTGTTGGGTGTCCCAGTGATGATTGAAGTGACTGAGTGAGTTGGCTTAAAAGTTCATTTCTCTGTGACAGGGCCGACTCAACTTCAGAAAACTGACAAATATAAAAATGGAAAAAATTAATTAATACCTCAGATTTTCATTACCATTCTGGCAATACACAAAAACATAATTGTACATATTTAAATGACATAATTTCTATAGTTTGTCTGTCTAAAAAACTAATGCTAAGAGAGATAACCTATTGAACTGCATTGCATTTTTAAAATATGCAAATGAATCCCCTTTAGATGTCTTAACACATTTTCCTCCCAAACATTAAGGAACAAGTTCTTTTCATTTCAAAGAGAAATGAGTTTTGATTAGCTGGAGTCTAAAATATTTAATTGATGGAAATAGCTATTTACTTCACTGGTAAAATTACTATATATTTATATTCTTGTAATAATCATCTTACGTTCTGAGATCTGCAGAGCAAATATTTTTATGACTTGTATCCCCTTCTGATAAGAAGAACTTACTGTGGACAGGCATTTTACCCACCATTAAAAAGTCAAGCATATGAAAAATTAATTAGCTAAAGAAATAATAAAAATAATTATGTGTCCCTGCAAACTCCACTCAGTGTTAAAAAAAGACTTTACTTACATTATTCCATTGTAAAGAATCCCCAAAGTCAATATCTAAGTCCAGCTGCTTTTCTTGCATTGCTCCTTCCAGCTCTGAGATTCTTATCTGGGTGTGAGGGGAGACACTCCAATTTGTTCCCTGTAAAAAAAAAATGTTTTCCCTTATAGACTTACATAACATAACAGTTTCAATTATTATATTTATAATTTTCAAAGATACTCCTTAAAAATATGACAGCAATTAAAGGGTGCAAATTAAGGCGGTACACTACAATTTAAGGAGCTCTTCAATTAAGACAGTAAGGTGTCATCAAGCCGTTAAGTAAAATAACACACACTCACTCTAAATATAATGAGGTGGACTCTACATAAGCAATTTATTATTTCTTAATGTGATGGTTAAATTTTCAATTTTAATTTTTGGGATTAAAAATTTCATAAGCTTTTATTAGTTCTGATTTTGAATTTCCGACATATCTAAAATATAAAATAGATTTACTCTTCATATTAATCTTATAAGACAATAAATTAACATGAAAATTATTATACATATATTGAGGTTATTACTCTGTTACTGTGTTCAGTTAGTAACTACAGGGATGTCTAAAAATGTTTAAGTTACTGAATTACTGTAGTCTTGTACTGGTTTCATTGTAAATAACTGAATACACTTATTTTTTTTATTTTTGACAAGCATAAGATGCATCAACCAACCTCTTGTGTGCATTCATCTTCACTAGTTGTTGAATATTCATCACTCTGCACTCAAGATAAACAAATAATTTAAAGCATGCAAAATGCAAAAAAGTTGTTAAAAAGATGACAATGCCAATAACAGGTGATGAGCTTCTAAAATGTAGAAAATGTTGTTGATGAACATATCTATGAGTGTTTGTCTCTGTCTTTAACTGTTTTGCTGCTGAGGGCTTTTGGCCGAAACATTCACTTTCTGTTTTTGTCATTCAGGTTTTCCCCTACTCTTTGACTTATATATTTATTTTTCTGGACAATCTTTTTCTTTTCTTTTATACATCATGTCATGTTTCCTTTTTTTCTTCATAAACACATTTGTTCTTTACATTTAGCACCACACAAATCAGCTCCTGTTTTTGGTATTGTTTAATTTCTAAAAACAAAAAAACAACAACAAATGCAATTAGAACACGTCATTATGTTAGTTGCAGATAGGAGTACTGGTATCTAACTTTGAAAGGTAGTGATAAGCCTTAAATTAAAAACCTTTCAAGTAGGTTTTTATTCTTATTTTATTGGAAAACAGCAATCAATATCAATGTTACATTAACTCATCAAACAAATAATTTTTATATCTTCTGCTTTTCTTTAGCGCTAAGTATTTAGATGAACAAAGTAATAGAGGAGAATAAACAGTGTTAGAGTTGCACATCTGCAGATAAACTGTTATCTGCCATTTTAATGAAAACTGCCTTTTCATTTATTAATTTGGCTTATAAGCATTTGGATATTAGAAATGTAACCACATGTTAGTCACAAAACTAGATAATTTTAATAGTTTCACAGATGATTTATTAGCATCTATGTAAATATATTTATGCATTTCTAGGCATGCTATCATACATACAACTTTTTACCCATAATTTTAATACTAAAAAGCTATGATATGGCCTAACCAACTCATTTTATTATTTTTATTTTTAATTCCCTTTTCTTTTGGTATATATTTTAAACATCTTTAGCTTTCAAGTGTTGTTCTCCAGATTAATACAGTCTTAGGATGAGAATTTAAATCATGTGTGCATGATGGAATAACCTAATCTAATATTTAAAATGTAGTGCATTAAACAAATGATCCAGAATCCGAGATGCAAGATCAAATTTATTTAGGTTTACTCCCAAAGGTCATAAAGAAGAAACTGTAACACTCACCATTTTATGATATTCTTATGATATTTCTATCAAAGTGCTTATTTTTCAAATTTCTTTTTCCCTGATATTGATTTTAATTACGTATTATTTTGAATAACCTATAATTAGCTACAATAAAAATTCTCTAAGCACTACATAATTACATCATAAATAATCAAAGACTGATTTATCAACTTATTTACTTATCAGTGCAATCATTATTAAGTGGTGCACAAAAAAGCAACATTAACACTAAAAGATAAATTCTGGCAACTAGTTAATCAATAGATCTTAAATTAAGATGATGAAACATTATTAAAATTAACTTATAATAACTTGGAATTATAATAGGATTATAACATTAGTAAATAAAACTTCAAATAACAATAAATATGACTTTGGTTAATGAAATGCAATCTTTTAAATGAAAGGTTTAAAGAAAATGCAGATAATTTTCTTACATCAGTTGAAGAAAGAGTTTCTGTTGGAGAATTGTCTTCTCTGACATTAAACATTTGATCAGATGATAAATTTTGTAGTTGTTGCATATTTTGGTCCAGAGCATTATCAGAATGTTTTCTTTTGCTTTTGGCTTTTTTGTTTCGGAAAGCTGCTAACTGAAACAGAAAAGAAAAGTCATTGGCAGCTGCAGTTGTTTTGAATTACATTAAGAAAACAATAAACAATTTTTTATTTTAATGTTTTCACTAATACAGCGAGCGTCAATCTTAAAACTGCTGATTATAATAATAATAATAATAATAATAAGTGGTCTTATATAGCGCGGTACCCCAGCCTAGGGCTGGGCTCACCCCGCTGTACATATATAGCAAAGAGGCATAATCATAATATTAAAATAAAATACATAAATGAAATAAAAACAACATATAAGCAAAACAAAACCAGAGGTATATTCATCCACTCACACCAGACATTTTTACAAGGAAACCCATGTACGTTTATCGGTTTATAGGAGGGGAATCAGTCAGGGTAGTATAGTTTAAATAGATGCAGTTTTGAAGGCCTGTATGGTTGGTATATTGCGGATGTGTAGTGGCAAAGAATTCCATTGTTTGGGGGCGCAGAAAGAGAAAGATCGTTCACCATATAATTTAGTGCGTGTCTTGGGAACGGACAGAATACGCGAGTCTGCGGAGGAGCGAAGTTGTCGAAGGGGTGAATAGACAGAAAGAAGTTCAGTTAGATAGGAAGGGCAGGAATCTGAGAAAAAGTTGTGACAGAGAACAGACAGCTTGTAGTCAATGCGTGCCTGTATAGGGAGCCAATGTAGTGAGTGGAGTAGTGAAGTGACGTGATCGCGCTTTTTTGCCTTAAGAACAAGCCTAGCAGCAGAGTTTTGAACTTTCTGCAGTTTCCCAAACATCGGTTATATGAACCACCCTATCTTATTTTTAATATTATTATTATAAGCAATTCACATGGCAATTCCAATACCTGTCGCACAAGCCAGGTAAAATCAAATTTGAAACGACAAAAAAATTGATGAATGATTACTGTTCATAATATTAAGCACCATATGAGCATGAGGTACAAATAAATTGTATCATATGCATTAACTTCCTTAACGCAACCTTTCTGATTGAGTGTGGGATTATCTGAATATTTGATATTCTGAAGATACTATTAAACACATTTTTCACTGAAATTGATTAAAAATAAATTTCTTCAGTCAAATCAAATTCCATGATAAATGCAATTATTAAATAAGAATAAATCTTTCATTTAGCTTCAACACACTCAAAAATTAAATTATTTAAGGAATTTTAAAATTAACTTTTTCATATTAGGCGAATCATTCATTTGCATTATTTTAGAATAAAAGATTTAACAAACGCGATGTCCTTTTTCATCTGATTGTTATAATTATAATGTAAGCCTCTACATTCAAGTTAGTAGGTCTATTAAACCTCTGGAGATGGAGCCTTTTTGGACTCTCTGGGCCAAGAAGACAAAGGCATTTTCACAAATCCTGCACTCACTTTGCAAAAAAAAATATTGTTTATTAACAATGAAGTTATTACTTTACAAATATAAATCTATAAATATTCTTGGAAATTGAATGAAACAATAAGATCTTTATGAATGAAACTGAAATCTCAACATTTATGCCAGATATATATTTTTTTACACCTTGAATATTCTGATTGTTAAAGCCTAAATAAGAATTAAACAATTGAATGAGAGACTTAATGTAAAAAAAACTGCATAAATATTCCAAAGAGGGTGCTTATGCCTTTTCGCATAATTCAAGATCATATATTTTATAAATATTTAAAGGAATCACTATGCACAAAACAGGATATAAAATGACAGAACAAGAACACTGTAAATTATAAATGGAAGCCACCATTAAAATGGAGAGATGAGCAAACAATGCCAGAAGCAATCATTAAAATGGCAAGATGAGCAAGAAATGTCAGAAACAATCTGATTAGCTAGTACCATGACCAGCTACCAGCCAGTCAATCTCAAGGCTTGTATTATGAGGCTGATGGATTGGCCCTTAGTCTTTTTCCCCAGCCATCTCAAGAAGGTTAACATGAATTTAGATATAAAGTCATTATGATGCTACCCCAATTTAGGCAACTTAAACTGATAACCAGCAATTACCCTTGATGCCTTGAATGATGTCATGGCCTCATTTATTTAGATGAGTTCTTTATTCAAAATGGGCAAAGCCTACCAGTGTTAATTTTAGGTTTAGGCTTAGGTATATGTATTAGTTATTAGTAGGACCCATTGTAATAGTTTACGGTATGATTCATGTCATTAATGATGATTTATAATTTCAAAATAGAAATGATGAGACACTAACAAAACTGATCTTTCAGTTAGACCCAAAATTAAATTATAAAATAAGTTGTTTATTATTATTGTCTTCAGACTATCTTTTACTTTTAATTATGTTTTTAATCCCAATCACAATTGTTGAAATACTAAAAATAGGACAATAATAAGACAAGATTACTCAGCCTTATCTAATACTAATTTTAACTTTTTTTCTTTTTATCAAACTTGATTATAGCCTAGGCAATGCTGTCCAATCTTTTTAACTACGTGGGCCAAAAAAAAAAATTCTGGGAACTGAGGGCTGCAAATGACATCTCAACAGAAAATTATCCGTGTTATTAATACTTCTTACCCTAAAGCATAAAGAGAAATATACCCAATAGCAGTATAGGCTCATCCAGAATATAAATAATTCAAATAAAAAATATTTTGTTGTAAATACTGGTAATAATTGAATATTTCCTAAGTACCAGCATCTTCCGCCATTTTTTGTCCCATATTGTGAACTTGTGGGAAAATACCACAATTTTATTATTAAATAGTTTTTTTTATTATAGAAAAAACATTAAAAAATTAAAAAGCATCCTTTAGGATGAAGATGAGGTTTGGCCTCATAACCAGTGCAATAAAAGTGTGTGAGTATCCATTTTGTAGCAGTAGAGCAATAGGCACAAGATCAGTCATGTTCGTAGTAATCAATAATGTGTTGTGATTCATTTGTCCTTTCAAGGCATCCTGTCTCTGGGCCCTTTCCTGGTGTTCTTACCATTGGATCAAATGCCTCATTCCCAGTTAGCTGACGAATCAATGTAAGTTTATAGTCCTTCAGACTCATTCGGTTTTGATCTGCTGCTTTGCATAATGAAAACGAAATGTAGGAATTGACCTGGGTGACTTTCTGATCTAGCTTATCACAGCCTTTCATTTTTTTTTGTAAATATGGATCATTTCAGGTTTGTCCATTTTCTTGGTTTCGGTAGTATGTACTCTTGCATCAGTTGACATTAGTATTACATTCTTTTTGGCCTTTTTATCTCTGAATGCAACACAAAGCATGCTTTTTGTGTTGTTCAGATACCATTTCATTTCTTTGTGTTGTAAAGATAAAGACTTTACCTCCAGTGGAAAGCCAACACAGTTAATGTTTAGAGTTCCTGTATAATAATGACTTTTAGCAAGGAGATAGTCTATGAGTTTTCTGGAGATGTAGTATCTGTCTGCAAAAATTTTGTGACCAGTTCCCATATGTTGAAGCAAAATACGAAAAAAAATAGAAAGGTTGTCTTCCATTTTTATCCACTTCTGGGTTACATTAAGTATTTGCATCAAAATATGTCAAAATGTCTACAACATAACCAGTGGAGGAATCGCACATACCAAATGTTTCTGTGGTACTTGCTAGGCTTACTGGCATTGTATTGTTTAAACTCCCACCTGCTCTTATAGCCTATTACAGACCTGTTTATGCTTACAATTTTAGCGTACAATTAACGATTTTAAGGTGAATAAGTTATACATATGGTATGTTTATTTTTTACCATTAAGATAATGTATTGAACGGTTTTGTGATGATATTGTAGGATTTTAAGAGTTTGGGGGTAAACAGGTCTGCTATTACCATTTCATCTACATCTAGTTCATGAAAGGGGTAAAATGCATTTCTGAACTTATTCAGGAGTAACTTCATAAAAGGTTTAATGTTATATTTGCTTTCGGATTTTTCATCGCCACAGTATAGCATGGAGTGATAAATGTCCTGAAACCTCTGTCTGTTAAATACATGGTGCATCTAAGGGATATGGAATTCAGCCGACATAGACCAATAATCCACAAGAGATAGCCTTTTATACAAGCCCATATAAATCAAAACGGCTATGAACTTATCAAGTTCATGTCTAGAAATGTCCTTCCATCTGCTAAATATAGAGCATCTAAGTGCAGGTGTGTTAACTTGTACTTTTCTTTTGGCATAAGCATTTACTGATTCAACAATGTAATCCTTTACGTTATCATCAAATAATGCATTGAAGATTTCAATAGGAGTAGGATTTTCAATATTTTGTAACATGGGAATAACTCCAGGAGTTCTAAGTGGGTGAAATCGAAAATTGTTTTCAGTTTGTCCAGTTATAACTTCTGACCACTCAGACTCTGTAGTCAGATAAGAGTTAGACCTATGCATTACATTATGAGCTAAGCCTACTGTAACTGTCTAGGTCCAGTGGGTGAAAAAGATGTGATGCCATATTTTCCTTTCACTTTTCATTTCCCCTTGCATAATAATGGTCTCTTTGTGGCTGGAGGAATATATTCCTCATCGCCACAATCAAACAGCAATCTATCATCCAAATCCTCACTCCCATCATTGTTTTCATTCGAGTCCAATGAATCATCCAAGCTAATTAATCGGCTTGCTTCTTCGGCAGTCATATATCTAAATTTTAAGCGAGCACACCTAATATTAGTATTAGTACCACTTGTCGAAGCCACTTCAATCAGCTGATGTTTGTTAACAATTTTTAGAACGTGAAAAACTAGCAAATAATAGTGGTTCAATTCTATAGAAAATTCACGGAGAGGAAGTTGAAACTCTTGTGATAAAAGTTTAGAAAGCTATAAATAAAATATTTCACTGTAAAAGCTCAAACACTAAAGGAATGAAACTAACCAGTGATTATGCACTGTGAATGTGCGGCGATAACGTATTTAGTCGAAATCGGGTTGGCGCACACTGCGGTGAAACATATCAAATGGGTTAAAGCCATTTAAAATCAGCCCCCTGATCCAGCTGAGAGTCGGACAGATCTGGTCTTGATAGAGTCAGTGTGAGGAGACTAAGAATATTAAATTACTAATATTACTATTAAGAAGAGTTCTTAGGTTAGAACTTAGGCCTAGTTCTCTTGAGATGGGTAACAGTGGTATTCCCGTTTTGTCTAGTAATTTGGACAGATTTTATCTTGGAATTGACTGTCCCTTAAATCTGACCCACTTTTCAGTCTCTCAGTGACCTGCTTTGAACTCTGAACTGAGCCGACTTCTGAGACTGAGGCTACTTGAGAGTACTGATTACTAAGAGAAAGAAATCGATTGTTGGTGAATTAGACTGTGTGTCTGGAAGAGTTACCCCTCGATTCCAAAAACTGTTATTAACAGTCTTAACAATATATAAATACCTTTTCTTTTCCAGCTTCGAGTCTCTTTGTACGATCTTCTTTTGAAGCCATAATGAACAATTGTTATTTAATCACTCTCACTCTCATGAAACAAAAACATCAGCAGCCATCATTTTTTTCGAACCGGAAGTTGCTGGAGCGCTTCCACTCCCCCCCCCCCCCCCCCCCTTTTTCTTCTATGACTTTTGATGTGAGTAGTGAGAAGTGTATTGACCACAACGTAGTGAAATAATTTTCAAGCTCAATATTTTTTGGGTGGTACCTTGATTTCTTAGTAAAATGCACCATCAGTGGGATGATAAGAGCGTAAATGTGGGAACTTAATACCCAATTTTTAACGTCATACTAATCAGGAATCAGGGTGGGAAGTTGATAACGATTGCAATGCACTTGCCACCCGGCCCCCACCCTGTCCTTGTAATTATAATAACAACCCCCCTTAAAAATTAGACTTGAAATTCATGGTTTTGGATCTGCTATAATGTGATTTATTCTAGAAAAGAAACCCCACCCCATGCTTTCTTTTCTTTTTTTTTTTTTTAATATTTTTTTTAAGTTTAAGAGAAATGCTCCATTAACCCGGTTTTGTCATCATAAACAATTGATTAGGCCAACTATTCAGAGGCGTAGCGAGGGGGGGGCAGGGGGGACAGATGTCCCCGGGCGTAAGCTAGTTAGGGGTGCCAAAATGTGCTTTGATATTATATTATTGGTAAAAATAATGGGTTTGAGAGTTGAAAACAAGAAAAGGGGGCACTTTAAAATGGATCTTGACCCCGGGCGCCAAACACCCTCGCTACGCCTCTGCAACTATTAACAAAAAATGCACCATAACTAGTCCGTCAACGGGTGCCAAAATCGTCATCTTTGATGTAAAACTTAATGATAAACCGAACATTTTAGGGAAAATGGCGTCTAAATTCAAACTGCCCCAGTTGAAGCTTTTGTGTGACATCGCCAAGGATTTTAAAATACAGTAGTATAATCAAAACTGAAATAAGAATTTTACTTCCAAACCGTAGCCTACTTAAGAATTTGAGACAAGAAACATTGCTACTATACTTTAATTGTCTTACTTGTCCCTTTGTGCTCAACAAAGAAGGCTATTGGTCGACACATGAGTTGTGTCTTTTAACAAGTGTAACTTAATCTGTTGGGGTTGTTGTTGTTGTTTTTGTTGTTGTTTCTTTGCTAGCAGTTCGACATATCCCACATGGCTGCTGAGTCTGGAGGATGTTGTCATTTCAGATCACGAAAATTGGGTTACACAACACGCCTGTTTCGCAGTGTGTTGCTCTGAAAACAGCACTGCTCCATCTGGTCATGATGGGTTTGCAGTACCAAATGATAAAACACGTAGGCCTATTCACTATTGTTCAGTTTCCCATGTTATTTGCACATGTATGAGATTGTATGTGACGTGTGTTTCTTCGCAGCTTCTGGCTAATACTTATACTTTTTAATATAAGCACCGGCTGATGAAAAGCAATGGTGAGTCGCTTTTTAGTATACTGCGTGCTGTAAAAGTTTTGTTAGTTGTTTGTGTGTGTGTGTGTGTGTGTGTGTGTGTGTGTGTGTGTGTGTGTGTGTGTTTTGTGTGTGTGCGTGCGTGTGTGTGTGTGTGTGTGCGTGTGTGTGTGTGTGTGTGTGTGTGTGTGTGTGTGTGTGGCTTGTGTGTTAAAGCCAATACCAGAGGCGGACCTAAGAAAGGAATAATTGCTTAATTTCTTTTCCTTAGCTCTTGCTGTGAAACCTCCAGTTTAGTTTAGAGTTGTTTTTCGTTTTTTTAATAATTTTTTTTTTAATAGTTTATTTAGATCTTACTCTCAATCTTCTCCAACCACCACACCAAGCGTAAAGGAAACTTTGGTATATGAGATTAGGACTCACAAGGGGTGTGTGTAAGCTTGAGATGAACCATCTCTATGAGCCTTCAGGTGTTCCGTTGCGAAGCATTGCTCAACGCTCAGCCTCCCCCCCCCC